AGAACTGAGCTGCAACCCCAGTATGACCTTCAACTTGTGATCCTATTGTCTCAGCCTCCTGACTTGCTAAGATTACACACATCCTGGAATATGGCCTCAACAGTATCTTCTCCTTCCTTTTCCCCTTTTTTCCCCTTCCTCCCTCCCCCCTTCCTTTCTTCACTTCTGCTAGCTGTTTTCTTTCATTTTTCTTTGTACTCCATATTGCACCAATGTATGCTGTACACTGAGCAACATAATCTTTTTTAGTTTTCCTTTGGTGAAAGGATCTCATTAAAACATTGAGGCTGGTGTCAAACTTGCTATCCTCCTGCCTCAGCCTTGATGAGATTTGTTAGGAGTAGAGGAGTGCGCCAAATGGTCTGATTTTTTCCTTTTAAAAAACATTTTCTTAGTCTTAATTTTTCATGATTGATGACATCTTCATTTATAGTTTGTTTCTTATTTAAATAAAGTTTTTTAAACAATTTACTTTGATAAACTATTTTATTAAGATACTGTATATTTGACAATTATTTATAAATTTGATGTTCTATAATAAATGTATACTTGAAGTGCTCTAGCTACTTAATTTCTTTTTTTCATAATTTTATTGGTGCATTAGTTTTATATTCTAGTAGTTGTAATTTTTCCACTGTTTAAATATACTAGTGCACATATTTTAGACAAAAATTCTATCCAATCAATTTTTTTATAATATATGGTTCTTACATTCACATGTCCATTTACTGTTTTGCTCTTTGGAATGCATCACAAGGTAAATGACCAACAGTCTGCCTTGGAACACTTTCAAAGTTATTCTCCTAAAATTGATATCAATAATGAGTTGCATAAAGATTTCCTAGCACTTTTCTAATAAGGCTCCCAAATTCCCTATTTTGAAATCAGTGAGTCTTAAAAATTAGACAACTAAGTTCGTTTTGAAAAATGAAGGTCTTCTAAAGAGAGCCTCACCTGTATTCTTCACATAAAGCCGAACTAATATCTTCATGTGGCTACCCACACCCTAAAACCAGGATGGAAGGAATAAGCATATCCATTGATATCATATCCATGGATGTACATATGTGCACAAGGAAATAACCTCAGTGAACTTAACAATATTTTTCACACCCACCAAAAATAGGACATTTGAAAAAAAATGTAAACAATTTTTTATAATCAAAATTGCTTTCTACAGCATTAAAGATTCAAAATTTCCTGTTCACAGACTGTTTTAATGTTAAGATACTTGTGTGATAAGTGTTTGACTTATGTCATGATGAGATGGACTATTGCAGATGCTTCATTTAGGTCTTTGAGGGTTTAAAAATGTGCAACTACCTTTTGATAATTCACAGAAAATCTATTTTAATAACATGACAAAGTAGTAAGATACTGTTTCTATATTTGACTTTTACATTACAGCACACATACATGAAGCAGAGTATACAACATTTCCACCTAAGAACTAAACAAAGGATACTAAGAAAGAAAAGACTTTAGCAAGAAGCACATAAGGCTTACTAACTCTCCTGAGTTTGAATCAGATCAATTAGTATGAGGCTGAACAAAGACATAAAGAGGCTATGGGAAAACACTAGAGTTGATTATGGAGTATGGAGAACCAGTGGCTAGATAAAATCCAGAGATTGGCTTTTAGACTAATAACAGTCTTCATAAAAGAAATGGATTGCAGTTGGACTAGGGGAAATTGATTGGGAGGAAGATGGGAAACTGCCCTCTGACAGCATAAAGGGCAGAATCACAGAGATCCACAGAAAAGCAGACCCTTCTAAAGTTAACAAATAGTTTCAGTAGAAGAGAGCCTTGGTTTATACCTGAGATGTCAAGGGAGGATGAAATATACCTGTATATTCAGTGCCTCCCCAGGAGCTACCTCCAACTGGTATCTTTTTTAGGCTTTCTTCATGATAGATCAAAAGCTTCAAACTTTTTTATTTTATATCTCCAAGACCCAACTGTGAAATGAATTCACTATGTTAGAAGACTCCCACCAACAAGAGTCAAGCTGAGTCTAGGAAAGAAGTTCAGACACAGATCTTGTGAGAGCTCTGAGCAGCTGGAGGGATGTTCTTGTGGTCTACCTCAGAGATAGAAGCCAAGGACACTTTTTTTTTTAATTTATGTGGTGCTTGGAGCTATGTAACAATGAGTTCTAGGGTTGGATCTCGTAGAAAATTTACTACATGCAGCTCCACACATGTGAGCAATATTCTCCTTCCTGAACACAGTACCATGCTCAGAGGCATTTGGAAAAGTTGTCTACACTTCCACCAAGAAAGTTCCAAGCAATTCCCTGCATAGTCCATTAGAGCCCTGAGGGGGAGTCCATTTCAAAAGATTCCATTGTGTGAGAGACCAGACACTCCTGCAAAACAATAAAACATTAGCTCCAAGACACAGCAGCCACATCCCTTCACAGTCATTGTGTTGCCCATCTTGTAGACTGGGCTCAAGAATGAGACTGGCAGGAATGTACCCCAGGAATGTGAGGTTTGATCTGGCTGTTGAACTGTGTTTAGAGTCAAATGAAGTGGACAGAACTGCCCATGCCCAAGTTCTTCAGGCAGACTGCTTCTGCCATGCTCAGAGACACTAGAAAGAATCCCCATGGAACCTGGATTCTTGCATATACACAAAAAAACCTAAATTCACTGACTGAAGGACTCCAGAAGTGAGGTCTGTACTATGGTCTGGTCTGCAGAGTCCACAGGGTAGAGGGTTTATCAGGTAGCTCTTGTTAGAAACATACCACATCTCTGGGTACAAAAACAAATACTGAGCATGACTATACCTATGCAGCTTCCAACTTTCCCTCAGGACAGTCTTGGGGCCAAGAAGGAGAGGAGCTGAGCATATACACCATTCCCAGGCTTGGCCTGTTTGGGCTGCAACTAGTAAGAAACAGGTAAATCTAGTTCCTTCCATGAAACCCCCCAAAGCTACTAGATTCTAAAACTAGAATCCCTGGATGGACAAATGCAACAAAATGAAATTAAATCTCTATTCCTCACCATGCACAAAACTCAACTCAAAGTGGATCAAGGAACTAGGGATTTAATTTACCAGAGACTTTCCAGAGTCTCAGTTTACCAGAGACTCAGCATGTAATAGAAGAAAAAGTAGGCCCTAATCTTCATCATGTGGGATTAGACCCCAACTTCCTTAATAAAACTCTTATAATGCAAGAATTAAAAATCAATAAATGGGATGGATTCAATCTAAAAAGTTTCTTCTCAGAAAAAGAAACAATCAGTGAGGTGAACAGAGAGCCTACATCCTAAGACCAAATTCTTACCCCTCACATATCAGATAGAGCACTAATCTCTAGAGTATATAAACAAGCACAAAAAAATAACCCAATCAATAAATAGGCCAAGGACCTGAACAGACACTTCTCACAAGAGGATATACAATCAATCAACAAATATATGAAAAAATGTTCATCATTTCTAGCAATTAGAGAAATGCAAATCAAAACTATTTTAAGATACCATCTCACTCCAGTTATAATGGCAGCTATTATGCATACAAACAACAATAAGTGTTGGTGAGGATGTGGGAAAAAAGGTACACTCATACATTGCTGGTGGGACTGCAAATTGGTGCAGCCAGTATGAAGATATCTTGGAAATCTGGAAATGGAACCACCATTTGACACAGCTATCCCTCTCTTCAGCCTATACACAAAGGACTTAAAAATGAGCATACTACAGGGACACAGCCACATCAATGTTTATAGCAGCACAATTTACAATAGCTAAACTGTGGAGCCAACCTAGATGCCCTTCACTAGATGAATGGATAAAAAAAATGTGGCATATATACACAATGGAAATTTACTCAGCAATAAAAGAGAATAAAATCATGGCATTTGCCAGTAAATGGATGGCATTGGAGAGACAATGCCAAGTGAAGTTAGCTTATTCCCAAAAAACAAATGCCAAATGTTTTCTTTGATATAAGGAGGCTGATTCATAGTGGGGTAGGTAGGGGGAACATGGGAGGAACAGAGGAACTCTAGATTGGTCAGAGGAGTGGGAGAGAAAAGGAGGGGGCAGGGGGTTAGCAAGGATGATGGAATGTGATAGACATCATTATCCAAAGTACATGTATAAAAACACAAATTGGTGTCAACATTCTTTCTATATAACCAGAGATATGAAAAATTGTGCTGTATATGTGTAAAAAGAATTGTAATGCATTCTGCTGTCATTTATTTTTTTAAATGGATAAAATAAAAAAATTACTGGATGGAAGTGTGTTCCTTTTAATTACATCAGCAAGGGAAAATCTCAAAGTTTTCTTGTTGTTGTTCTTGGTTTTTGGTCACTTACTGTATATGGGTTTCCCTCAGTATTTGACCCTCATGTTTTTTTCTAATTTGTGGGATCTTTTTGTTTCTTTTGTTTTTTCTCTTTAGACTCATATCCTAATGAAGTCTCATCCTTTATCATTTTTTTCTTTTCTTTCCATTTTTTCTTCTGTTACCTGCCACCACTTTTTTCTTCTTCTATTTCTTTCACTACATGTTGTTAAATTTACTGTCACTAAATCTTATTTTTTCAGCCAGGTGCATATTGTTATTTCCCACTTCTCCAATTTTATTAATGGAGTCATTATTAGTTGAGATATATTTTGCTTCTATGGTGTTACTGTTACTGGTTATTCTTTCCTCTTAGAGGATTCTGGTGAGTGAACCTAACATTTTAGTCCTGTTCAGTTGGGGCTTTAACACTGAGATATAAGTGTGGCCAGGTCACATGCCAAAGAGATAATTGTTCACTAAAAGGATCCACATATAATAGTAGAATAGAAATGTATCCAACTTTATTCACAGACCTCAGCATAGCAACACAGACAACATGAGGAAACAAGACAATACAATACCTCTAAAATTTCATAACTCCCCAATAACTGAATCCACAGATTCATATCCTAATGCTCAATGAAGAAGTTGGACAAAAATCATCTCATAATATTTACTTGTTACCTACATGAAAAGTTTTTCTTACTGATTGCTTCTTTTGCTGAGAAGCAGCTTTTTAATTTGAATCCATCCCATTTATTGATTCTTGATTGTGTTTCTTGTGCTATAGGAATCTTGTTAAGGAATTCAGGGCCTGATATGACATGAGGAAAATTTGGGCCTACATTTTCTTCTATTAGGCACAGGGTCTCTGGTCAAATTCCTGGATCCTTGATGCACTTTGAGTTGAGTTTTGTGAATGGTGAGAGATAATGACTTGATTTCATTTTACTGCATATGGATTTTCAGTTTTCCCAGCAACATTTGTTGAAGAGGCTATCTTTTCTCCATTATGTTTTTGGTGCCTTTCTCTAGTATGAGATAACTGTATTTATGTGGGTTTGTCTCTGTGTCTTCTATTATGTATCACTGGTCTACATGTCTATTTTGGTGCCAATACCATGCCATTTTTGCTTTTATTGCTCTGTAGGATAGTTGAATCTCTGGTATTGTGATGCCACCTGCTTCACTCTTCTAAGGATTGCTTTGGCTATTCTGGTCTCTTATTTTTCGAGATGGTTTACACAATTGTGTTTTTCTATTTATATGAGGAATGTCATGGGGGTTTTGATTGAAATTTATTAAATGTGTATAGTGCTTTTGGTAGTATGGTCATTTTGACAATATTAATTCTGCCTAGCCAAAAACAAGGGAGATCTTTCCATCTTCTAAGGTCTTCTTTAATTTAGTTATTTAGCATTCTGTAGTTTTTATTGTAGAGGTCTTTCACCTCTTTTGTTTATTCCCAAATATTTTGTTTTATTTTATTTGTTTGAGGCTATTGTAAATGGGGTAGTTTTCCTAGTTTCTCTTTTAGAGGATTTATGACTGAGGTACATAAACACATTTGATTTATGGGTGTTGGTTTTATATCCTTCTACTTTACTGAATTCATTCAGAATGACTTCTAGAAGTTTTCTTGTGAAATATTTTGGATCCTCTAAGTATAGAATCATGTTGTTGGCAAATAGTGATAGTTTGAGTTCTTCTTTTTCTATCCGTGTTTCTTTAATTCCTTTCTTTCATCTATCTAATTGCTCTGGCTAGAGTTTCAAGGACTACATTAAATGGAAGTGGTGAAAAGGGCAAAAGGGCATTCTGTTGAGAGCCACAGCCAAAGGGGCCCCAGCAAACTTCCAGCTGCCAGCAAACTTCCAGCTGCTGGCTGATGATTGGCTCACAGCGGCCCCAGCAACATCTAGCTGATTGGCTCCTCGGTCCCAGCAACATCTAGCTGATTGGCTCCTCTGTGGTGATGCTCATTGGGCTGTTTCCCTGCCCTTTCAGACCACGGAGCTGCTCATTGGGGGACTTTTTTGGCTCCGCCCACGTGACCCAGCCAATCGGCCTCAAGAGCAGGAGGATTGTGGGAGGTGGAGAGAAGCTTGTGTGGGAGAGAGAGGCTTGTGGAAAGCCGGTGGTGGCAGTTGAGGCTCTGAGGGTTTTTCCTGAGAGACTGTTTTGTTTGGCGTGTGTGGTTCTAAAAATAAAGTTAGTTTCTTTTGACAAGTGGCTCCTGATTGTGCCCAGCCAGACTGCGGCATTTGGTGGCTCGCACGGGGAGCGACTGAGGGTAAGTGAAACTGCTCGCCCCTGAGGGCAGGGCGAGAGGATGGGTAGCCATTTTAAGATTCCTCTTTTATTTTGCTTCACTTTTGTTTTAAGTTGCCTGTCCCTGGAGATGAGTGAGACGGAAGAAAAACCGCTCACATCTGAGGAAAAACTATTTACGTCTGAGGAACAGATAGGGAGAAAGGACGGATGCACATGTCAGGAGGATAGAAAGGCTATAATGACTTTTTGTTGTTCCCTTTTTATTTCATTCTGTCTCGGTTTTGTTTGGCGTCATCTTGTTGGGTTGTATTATAGTAGAAATATGGGATCAGAAATTAGTAAAAAACAAACTGAAAGAGTGTTAAGTAAATTGTTAGAGGAAGGAGGCATCCCAGTAAAATCAAGAGCAGTCAGGGCATACGTTGATACAATACAAAAATGTAGCCCATGGCTTTTTAAGGAGGAGTTGTTAAATATATCACAATGGAACCATCATGGTGAAGATTTAAAAAGAATAGAAAAGAAAAGCCCAGGGACTCTGCCAGTTGGCACATTGCCATTGTGGACGTTCATATCTTGTTTGCTTAGTCCAAAGCCTTCAGTTCAGACAATGGTAGAGGAAGGAGAAGGCATAATGATTCAAGTAAAAGAGAAGGCCTCTCAAGTTAGTCAGACAGAAGAAAAGATTCAAGTAAAAGAGAAGGCCTCTCAAGCTAGTCAGACAGAGGAAAAGATTCAACTAAAAGAGAAGGCCTCTCAAGCTAGTCAGACAGAGAAAGAAAGTGTAAAACAGAAAAAGCCATCAGGGGGAAAGTTACAACAGGAGACTGCTACTAACACCTTTCTATCACCAGAGGGTGTAAGTGTCCAACCAACAGCACCACCTCTACAGGAGACTGCTACTAACACCTTTCTATCACCAGAGGGCGTAAGTGTCCAACCAACAGCGCCACCTCCATATGCTGGGAGGCCCCCAACCCCCACAGTTGATAGTTGGGATCCTGAGACAAGATCTCAAATATTAACATGCCCTGTATTTGAGGCAGGAGGGCAGCGATTTTACCAAGTTTTAAATTTCAAAACAGTGAAGCAGCTAAAAGAGGCTGTAACAACCTATGGTCCTCAAGCACCCTTCACTGTAAGCATGGTCGAATCCATTAACAACTTGAACATGACGCCAGCAGATTGGGCTAATATGTGTAAAGCTGTGCTAAATGGAGGACAATACCTGTTATGGAAGGTTGCCAATGAGGAATTTTGCAAGGAGACGGCTAGGCGAAATGCAGCAGCTGGTTATCCTCAGAGAAATCTAGATATGTTGTTAGGAAAGGGACCTTATGAGGATCAGCAGCAACAAATTGCATATGATCCTGGCGTATACGCACAAATTGCTGCAGATGCAATTAAGGCATGGAAGACTTTACAAGGACATGGAGGTTTACAAGGTCAATTATCTAAGGTAATACAAGGAGCTAATGAACCTTATGCTGAATTTGTAGATAGGCTTATTCAAACAGCTACCAGAGTTTTTGGGAATACAGAACAAGCAATGCCATTACTAAAACACCTGGCTTATGAGCAAGCGAATCGTTGGTGCAGAGATATCATTAGACCATGGAAACATGAAGATTTAAACACATATATTAAATTATGTAGAGACATTAATGAACAAGAGCAAGTTGTGGCAGTTGCAGTAAAACAGGCTTTAGATGCCAGAGACATTAATGAACAAGGGCAAATTGTGGCAGCTGCAGTAAAACAGGCTTTAGATGCCAGGCCAAGAACATGCTACAATTGTGAACAAACAGGACATTTTAAAAGGAATTGCCCCATTGGAGGAGGGTTTAACAAAACTAGGTATCAAAGGAGTAGAATACCAGGTATTTGCCCACGATGCCGTAGAGGGAGACATTGGGCTAATGAATGCCGTTCTCAAACCACCATAGAGGGTACTCCATTATCAAAAAACGAACAAGGACCAGGTGTTTATCCACGATATCGTAGAGAAAGGCATCGGGCTCCATTGCCAAAAAATGGACAGGGGGGCCCAATGCTCCGGGGCCCAAAACCACAAATATACGGAGCACTCGAGGAACCCAGCAACCCCATCAGGGTAGTGCCCAGGACACACTGTCCATCAGATCCCTCATCAGACAAACCAGAGGGAGCGCAGGGTTGGACATCTGCGCCTCCGCCAGAGCAGTACTAACTCCAGAGATGGGAGTTCAAATCATTCCCACAGGGGTGAAAGGACCTCTTCCCAAAGGAACAGTAGGCTTATTATTGGGACGCAGCTCTTCTACTCTAAAAGGACTTATGATAAGTCCTGGGGTAATTGATCCCGATTATGAAGGTGAAATAAAAATTATAGCCAGTTCTCCAAAGGGTATATCAGTAATTTCACCAGGAGATAGAATAGCACAGTTACTAATAATACCCAGCCTACATGATAAATTTTCCAGTCGTACTGTAGAAAGAGGTTCCAAGGGATTAGGCTCCACAGGTGTAGATTGGGCTATGCTTTCTTTAAATTTAGATTCTCGCCCCATGCTAAAACTAAATATTCAAGGACATGAATTTAATGGGATACTGGATACAGGTGCAGACCTTAGCATCATCTCTCGTCAAGAATGGCCAAAACATTGGCCATTACAACAAGCCACTCAAACGCTTCGAGGCCTAGGAGTGGCGACTAATCCCCATAGAAGTGCAATGGTATTAGATTGGAAGGATCCTGAAGGATGTGAAGGAACTATACAGCCATATGTATTGGATCATCTTCCCGTAAATTTATGGGGACGAGATGTCCTAGATCAATTAGGTTTGACATTAACAAATAACATCAACCAAAATGCCCCCACTATTATGACTAGACAAGGTTTTAGGAAAGGAAAAAGATTAGAAAAACAAGAACAAGGTATAGCAGCACCAACACAAATAGACCAAGGAACAGACAGACATAGGTTGGATTTTCAGAAAGGGCCACTGAGACAATAAAAATTACTTGGAAATCAGAAAGACCAGTATGGGTTCCTCAGTGGCCCCTGACTAAAGAAAAGATACAAGCAGCCCATGACCTGGTCAAACAACAATTAGCGTAAGGACATATACAACCTTCTTTACCTCCCCATAATACTCCCATTTTTGTCATCAAAAAGAAATCTGGTAAATGGAGATTATTGCAAGATTTAAGAGCCATTAATAATGACAGGGTTATTATGGGACCTGCTCAATCAGGGATTCCTCAGTTGTCTGCTTTGCCAAAAACCTGGTATGTTTTAGTTATAGATATTAAAGATTGTTTTTTTTCAATTCCAATTCATCCTGAGGATAGTCCACGTTTTGCATTTACTATCCCTGCACTGAATCATGAAGGTCCTGATCAGAGATATGAATGGAAAGTACTCACTCAAGGGATGGCTAACAGCCCAACTATGTGTCAAATTTATGTTAACAAAGTAATCCAGCCACTTAGAAATCAAAATCCTAAACTACAAATATTTCCCTATATGGATGATGTATTATTAGCACACAAAGATAAAAACACATTGCTAGAATGTTATGCCACACTTACAAACTTATTAAAAAATTATAATCTAGAGATAGCAATAGATAAAGTACAATTAAATTTTCCAATTAATTATTTAGGAGTTCTATTATCCTCAACCATGGTCCGTCCACCAAAAATTCAAATACGAGTAGATCAACTCAAATCACTTAATGACTTTCAAAAGTTATTAGGAGACATAAATTGGATAAGGCCTTATTTAGGTATACCAACAGGAGAGTTGGGACCTTTATTTGATATCCTAAAAGGTCCATCAGATCCAAATTCACCCCGAATGTTAACGCCTGAAGCAAGAAAGGCATTAAAAATCATTGAAACATATATGGAAAATATGCATTTGGATAGAATTGATATAAGTTTGCCTTTATTATTTATTGTACTACCAACAAAAAATATTCCTACAGGAGTATTTTGGCAAGAAGGTCCATTATTATGGATACATTTATCTTATTCCCCTAACACTATTCTTACTAGGTATCCTGAGGCTGTAGGACAATTAATACTCAAAGGAATAAAAGCAGCAAAGGGAGTGTTTGGAACTTCTCCCAATAAAATTATTACTCCATATACTATGAATCAAATTGATGAGTTAGCTAATGAGTTAAATACTTGGGCAATAATCATGTGCAAATCTAATGTTTCATTTGATAACCACTTACCATCTAATCCTTTATTGTCTTTTTGGTCATTGCATCCTGTAATTTTTCCAAAAATGACAAGAAAAACACCTATCATGAATGCTCCAAATATATTCACTGATGGGTCAAATAATGGTACTGCAGCAGTAGCTACCCCTGATCAAACTTTTACATTTTTAGTACCCAAACAATCAGCTCAAAAGGTAGAGCTTAATGCAGTTTTACAAGCTTTTGTGATGTTTAAAGATTCTGTATTTAATTTATTTTCTGATAGTCAGTATGTAGTTAATGCTATAGTATCTCTTGAAGATGCTGGTAGGATTTCCCCTTCTTCTACTGTTTTCTCTTTGCTTTCCACTATACAAAGTCTAATCTGGGACAGAAAAGATCCATTCTTTATAGGACATATCAGGGCACATACAGGATTGCCTGGAGCCCTTAGTTTGGGCAATGATTTAGCAGATAAAACTACACATGACATACATATTTTCTCTACACTAGAAGAAGCTATAAATTTTCATAAAAAGTTCCATGTCAATGCTAATACTTTACAAAAGCACTTTAAAATAACTAAGGAACAAGCTAGACAAATAATAAAACAATGTCAAAATTGTGTGACCTTTTTACCACAAGTTAATCTTGGAGTCAATCCTAGAGGATTGATACCTAACCATATTTGGCAGATGGACGTCACACACTTGCCAGAATTTGGAAAATTAAAATATTTGCATGTTACAGTTGATACTTCTTCTGGATTTTTGATGGGCTCCCTTCATGCCGGAGAAAAAACTAAAGATGTTATAGCTCATTGCTTACAAAATTTTGCCACTGTGGGTGTTCCAAAACAGTTAAAAACAGATAATGCCCCTGGTTATACTTCTACCTCTTTTAAACAATTTTGCTCAACATTTGGCATTACTCATATAACAGGAATCCCATACAATCCACAGGGACAAGGCATAGTTGAAAGAGCTCATCAAACTATTAAAATGTACTTATTAAAGCAAAAAGAAGGAATTGGGAAGGGGTATATATTCCCCAAAGATAAACTTAAAATAACGCTTTTTACTCTAAACTTTTTAAATTTGGATTCATCAGGACTTAGTGCTGCGGAAAGGCATATGTGTCCAAAAAATGTACATAAGCCCAATGTACTTTGGAAGGATATTCTAACAGGACAATGGAAAGGTCCTGACCCAGTAATTGTCTGGAGTCGGGGGTCTGTTTGTGTGTTTCCACAGGGAGAACAGCAGCCGATTTGGATTCCAGAGAGATTAACCAAGGTCCTGACCCAGTGATTGTCTGGAGTCGGGGGTCTGTTTATGTGTTTCCACAGGGAGAACAGCAGCCGATTTGGATTCCAGAAAGATTAACTAAAGCGATTTCTACAGACCAAAAAGAAGATGATTTGGCTCAAATCCATAACAACTGATATCCAAAACTCCAGTTTGGCTATTCTTACATCTGCAACAGAACCAGGATGCTTTTTTCAATATCTATTTTATTATTGCCCTTTGCCATATCATGAAGTTCTATTTTGTTTTTTGAGCTCATACAGACCTAGGTTAATGTTTTGCTGATCAGTTCTATTTTTTGACTATAGAGTTTTTAAACATTGCAATGGAGATTTCACCTGTAAAAAGTTATAAGGCCTTTACTATAATGTTATGTGTTGTATGTATTATATTATGTGTGCACACTTGTGTTTTGTGTTATATGTTTGAATGTACGTATGTCCATATATCATATATGATGAGCGCTCATGATAAAATGGATCCAAATATTTTTTTTTTCACGTGATTTATATGGTTTAATTTAAATTGGGTAAACAACTGTTGAGGATTGTTTTAATATGTAAACAAAAAAGAAGGTTAACAGATCTGTTTGTTTACTTTCACCTTTCCTTTTCATTATATTTAATAATTCTCTTAAAGATAATGTAGATTGTTAAGAAAATTGTTTTCTTTTAGTGCCTTCTGTAATGTTACATAATTTTTTCTTTAGCCATTATTGCCAGAATTCCTATCTTCATCCCAGTGCCGGTGAAGACAATGTAAATTGTTAAGAAAATTGTTTTCTTTTAGTGTCTTCTGTAATGTTACATAATTTTTTCTTTAGCCATTATTGCCAGAATTCCTATCTTCATCCCAGTGCTGGTGAAGTCAAAGATAAAACCAATCTACAGCTTCTACAATAGCCATCACTGAACTGCTTGCAGAACTTGCCTGGACACATTGTGAGCTCACCTGTATGCATTGTGAACTATCTGTTGGTGCATCGACTTGTGGTAGTGTTGGGGTATTTTTGCTGATGGTGTCACCAGTGATTTTTCAAAGGAGCCGTCAATTGGCTTAATGTCATGGCATTTTGCATCCTCCTCTACTAGTGATGGTCTAAAATTTGGGGGCCAACAGAGGTGAGGCAAAGAACCTCACACCCCCACAGGTGCAAAGGCCTATCCACAAGTATGGCTGTATGCTGGACCGGTAGTCAGTGACGGGTATGATCCAATTGCAGTGGTACCAACCTAAGACAGGAGGCTGACGCCTAGAGGTCAGTTCATCCGATGACGGGTAAGGACCATATGTTGAATTGGACTGCCTAACAGGCACGGTCCCTAAGCCACATGCTTGTTGTTTAAACAGAGAGGGGGAGATGTTGAGAGCCACAGCCAAAGGGGCCCCAGCAAACTTCCAGCTGCCAGCAAACTTCCAGCTGCTGGCTGATGATTGGCTCACAGCGGCCCCAGCAACATCTAGCTGATTGGCTCCTCGGCCCCAGCAACATCTAGCTGATTGACTCCTCTGCGGTGATGCTCATTGGGCTCTTTCCCTGCCCTTTCAGACCACGGAGCTGCTCATTGGGGGACTTTTTTGGCTCCGCCCACGTGACCCAGCCAATCGGCCTCAAAAGCAGGAGGATTGTGGGAGAGGGAGAGAAGCTTGTGGGGGAGAGAGAAGCTTGTGGGGGAGAGAGAGGCTTGTGGAAAGCCGGTGGTGACAGTTGAGGCTCTGAGGGTTTTTCCTGAGAGGCTGTTTTGTTTGGCGTGTGTGGTTCTAAAAATAAAGTTAGTTTCTTTTGACAAGTGGCTCCTGATTGTGCCCAGACAGACTGCGGCAGCATTCCACTGGAATTTTGATCAGAATTGCATTAAATATGTATAGTGCTTTTGGTAGTATAGTCATTTTGATAATATTAATTCTGCCTATCTAGGAGCAAGGTAGATCTTTCTATCTTCTATGATCTTCTTTAGGGTTCTGTAGTTTTCATTGTATACATCTTTAACCTCTTTCATTAAGTTGACTCCCAAGTTTTTTTTTGAGGTGATTGTAAATGGGTAGTTTTCCTCATTTCCTTCTCAGAGGATTTGTCACTGATAAACAGAAATGCCTTTGATTTATGGTTGTTGATTTTATATCCTGCTATTTGTTGAATTCATTTACTAGTTCTAGAAGTTTTCTCGTGGTGCTTTTAGGGTCTTCTAGGTATAGAATCATATCATCAGCAAACAATGCTAATTTAAGTTCTTCTATTTCTATATATATCCCTTTAATTTCTTCTGTCTGTTCTGGCCAGTGTTTCAAGAACTATGTTAAATAAAAGTGGTGAGAGAGGGCATCCCTGTATTGTTCCAGTTTTTAGAGGGAATGCCTTTAATTTTCTCCATTTAGAATGATGTCAGCCTGAGGTTAAGTGTAGATAGTCTTTACTATGTTGAGCTATGTTCCTGTTGTCCCTAGTTTTGCTAGAGTTTTGAAAATGAAAGGGTGCTGTATTTTGTGAAATGCTTTTTCTGCATCTATTGAGATGATCATATGACTAGAGTCTATTCCATATGTTGAACCAACCTTGTATCCCTGGGATGAATCTCACTTGATCATGGTGTACAATCTTTTTAATATATTTTTGGGTATTTGATTTGCCAGAATTGTACTGAGAATTTTTACAACTATGTCCATTAGAGATATAGATCTGAAGTTTTCATTTCATGGAATAATTTGAGATGGATTGGTATTAGTTCTTCTTTCAAAGTCTTGTAGAACTCAGCTCTGAACCCATCTGGTTCTGGCCTTTTCTTTGTTGGTAGGCTTTTGATTGTGTTTCCTATTTTATTGCTTGAAATTAATGTTTTTAACTTGTGTATATCATCCTGATTCAGTTTGGATAAATTGTATGACTCTAGAAAATTGTCGATGGCTTCAATAATTTATATTTTATTGGAGTACAAATTTTCAAAATAATTTCTAATTATCTTCTGTATTTCTATAGTATCCATCATGATTATTTTCTTTTTCATCATGGATTTTAATAATTTGGGCATTCTTTCTTCTCATTAGCAGGGTAAAAAATTATCAATTTTATTTATGTTTTCAAAGAAACAACTTTTTGTTATGTCATTTTTTTTTTCAATTTCATTGACCTCAGCTCTAATTTTAATTATTTCCTGTCTTCTATTACTTTTGGTGTTGACTTGTTCTTCTTTTTCTAGGGCTTTGAGATGGAAGGTTAGGTCATTTTTGGTTGACTTTTTCTTCTTTTAGGGAATGAACTCCATGCAATGAACTTTCCTGTTAGTACTGCCTTCATAGTGTTCCAGAGATTTTTATGTATTGTATCAGTGTTTTAATTACCTCTAAGAATTTTTTCATATCCTCTTTGATGTCTTCTGCAATCCATTGTTCCTTCAATAGCATATTATTTAGCCTCCAGTTGTTGGAGTAGCTTCTATTCTTTATTTTACCATTGATTTCTAATTTCATTCCATTAGTATCTGATAGAATGCAGGGTAGTATCTCTACTTTTTTGTATTTGCTAAGAGTTACTTTGTGGCTTAATATATGGTCTATTTTAGAGACAGATCCATGTGCTGCTGAGAAGATAGTGTATTTCATTTTTCATGGATAAAATATTTTATATATGTCTGTTAAGTCTAAGTTATTGATTGTTCTATAGATTGAATTCTATTGATTCTTTGTTTAGCTTTTGTTTGGAAGAGCTATCCAGTGGTGAAAGAGATGTGTTAAAGTCACCCAGTATTATTGTGTTGTGGTCTACTTGACTCTTGAAATTAAGAAAAGTTTGTTTGATGAACAGAGATGCTCCATTGTTTGGGGCACATTCATTCATAATTGTTATGTCATTTTGATGTATGGTTCCCATAAGCAGTATGAGATATCTTTCTTTATCCCTTATGATTAACTTTGGCTTAATGTCTACTGTATTTAATATTAATATGGAGACCCCCGCTTCCTAACACAGTCCATATCAGTCATATGTTTTTTCCCCACCTTTCACATTTAGTCTATGAATGTCGTTTCCTATGAGATGAGTCTCTTGAAGATAGCATATTGTTGGGTCTCTTTTTAAAATTCAATCTGCTGGTCTATATGTTTTGAATAATGAATTTATGTATTAACATTCAGGGTTATTATTGAGACATGACTTGATTCCCAGTGATTTTTAGTTTGGTTTTTAACTTGAATTAGTTTCTCATTTGATTAATTTTTCCTTTAGTATAATACCTCTCTTTGGTGTTTTTCATGTCCTCCTCATGGAATATTTTGCCAAGAATGTATGGTAGTGCAGAATTTCTAGTTGCAAAATCGTTTAACCTTTGTTTAAATGATGGAATGTTTTTTATTTCATAACAAAAATTATGACACACCATTTTCTCTAAAAAAAAATCCATATTCTTTGTCCCTCCCCTACCTAGTTCCCAAGCAGAATTATGATTAAAATAAGCCAGCAGGCAATGCCTCTCTCCTCCCCTTGCATACTAAGAGGCAAAGAAGCAAGTGGATGGTCACCTTGCATGGAATAATATACAAGAAGTCAGGTTTATTTCTGAATTATTCAGAAAGTACAAATGTATTCAAATCCTTGCAGTTATGAGTATAAACAGATATTAACATTTGCAGACCTTCCATAAAGAAGATACAACACTGAGTGATCTGTCCATCCAACCAGGTCACTGTTTCCTAAACTTACTGAACATCTATGTCCCTTTCTTTCTGACCTTTCCCTATCTGTTTAAACTATACTATAAATTCTGTTTCCCTAAAAGCAGCAATGATTGGCCTTTTCCAATAAAATTCTTTACTAGTAATGCCAATAAGCATACTTAGGACTCCTCATACAATGCTTTCTAGGAATTATAAATTGAGGAGCAGGGAAGAAGCAGCCAAGAGGTGGAAGCTACCAAATTCCTAGTTCTGAAAAGCAATGAGTGGGAGGAGAGATGTCCCACATAAAAAAAAGCGCATCATACACACATATAAAAAGCTGGTCTAATCAAGCACATGTATTAATTCTAACATCAATTTATATAAGTGTGTATTCACAAAAACATACATACAAACAAAAAGCAGAACAATGATGTCATATATTTTCTTTCTAAAACATTCGTATTAAAAGCAAAGTTAAAATAAAGTCACACAAATTTAACTTCTGTCCATGAAGGAATATCTGAATCTAACTTTCTAACCCATATAACTAAAAGAAAATATAATGTGTAAATCTAATTCATGAGGACACTAGAGGGTAAATAACATAGCCAGGACTTTGGAGATACAAGATAGGAAGAGGAAGAGAAGAATACTAAGATAAACTCAACATTTCTTCTTCCTCCAAGAATTCATATCACAGACTCAAAAATGTAAGGCCAAAATCTGACAGCTAGTGCTTACTTTAGCCTCTGATTGACAGAGGCAGAAAACATACTTCCTCAATCCTATGGGGAACCACACAATGAAAGCCAAGATCCTGAAAAGGAAAGAATGACCTGGACATATACCTATCTGCCATTTGCCATGTGATCCCTTTATCTTTGAAATTATTATCAAATCTTGGTCAGGAATGGCATCTCTCATTCATGAGGACTTTATTTGATAATTCCATCTCTTATATGAAAAAATGATTTTCATATGTTCTCTGCACAATGAAATGAATATAAAGTAAAGAAAAATACAACAGATTCAAGGCATGGAAAGAAAGAAAATAGAAAAGAAAATGATGAAAAGAATGGATGAGACAAAGAGGAAAAATATTAAAATTATACCTAATAAAATTAGGCATTACTTTAAGTATAGATTTTCTGACCATCTAAACTCAAATAACAGCACACTGTAACCAAAAAACCTTACCATAGTTATATTAATAATTCATAGTTTAGAATTTAAAGCAAGAAGCATTACTGAATAAAGAAATTGGTTACTTAAAAAAAGTAAAATCAACAACAAAAAAGATTAAATGATCCATATATATCCTCATGATGACATTAAAATAAATCAGCCTGAAAGACAAAAGATATAATCATGATAATGGAAGAAATACAATTGTCATTATTTTTAGATAACTTGTTACAAATAATTATAAGACTTTAACAAGGGTACTGGATATAGGCAATACATCCACATAGGAAAAAAATCTCTGCATTACAAATATTTTAATTATTGAATATATTTTTGTTCCAATTTATTATAAATGATGGCAGAATGCATTTCAATTCATAGTACACATATGGAGCACAATTTTTCATTTCTCTGGTTGTTCACAAAGTCAGTCACATCATTCATATCTTCATACATGTACCTAGGGTAATGATGTCCGTGTCATTCCACCATCTTTCCTATGCCTATGCCCTCTCCCTAATGTTCCCTTTCTTCCCCTTTATCCTATCCAAAGTTCCTCCATTCCTCCCATGATCCCCCCACCCCCATTATGGGTCAGCATCCACTTACCAGAGAAAACATTTGGCCTTTGGTTTGGGGGGAATGGCTCACCTCACTTAGCATGATATTCTCCAACTCCATCTGTTTACATGCAAATGCGAATATTTTTTCTCCTTTATGCATTACAAATATTAACCAAGTATTAATACCTATAATTAACTCAATATTAACAAATAGTTCATATCAACAATTATAATTGTTCTAAGATTATCACAAATGATTCAAAGGAGATATCCAATTACATGCCCAGAGGACTTCACAAACTTAATATGCAAATGACAAGAAAAAAGGGAAAAATGCTGAGGTTTATTAGTTGTCAACTAAATGAAAACTAACATAATGGAATACCATTACTGCTCATAAGGATGACTAATTAAAAAAAAAAAAAACATGGTAGCAGGTATTGAGGAGATACTGAGACAACAGGACCCCTTTCATTTACAAGAAATAAAGACTGGGAGAACAAAAATTTTCTATGTAAAAGTTTTTGAATGCATCTACTAAATTACAGAATAGGTATAGTTATGACCCAGCAATTTCACATTTGAATATGTGAAATGAATATGTACACCAAAAACTACAAGTTTATTTTTTGAAACTCAGAAATGAAGAAACAATATAAATTTACATCAGCAATATAATGTAGCTTTAAAATTGGCATATTGAGAGCTGGGGATATAGCTCAGTTGGTAGAGTGCTGGCCTTGCATACACAAGACCCAGGTTCAATCCCCAACACATCAACAAGAACAACAACCAAAAAGTTTCATTATACAATATACATGTATGAAGATGTAAAGAAAAGAAAAGAAAATTATAGCATCTTCAGGTTAAAAAAAAAGACAAATAAAAAAAGACAGTGAAACAAATACACAAATAAATTGAGATGAATGACAACCTCACAATAGAGAATGACACAAATGTACCTTTAAAGGAAGATGGCTCACAAGCAAGAACATATTATCACTTCAAATCCCAAGGGATTACTGCATAAAAAAAAAAGCAATCAGAAAAAATAAACATTTCTCTATGAGGAGGATGGGTAGTGACTGGGAAGTTTCCTCTAAACCGGAAGCAACATAGGTGGTATATACATGGAGATTTTCTTGCTAAAATATCATGGAATGCAACACAAAGTTACATTACATATATGCTCTTATTTCAGAGGGAAACACTTCCTTCAAATCAATAACCTCCAACAAATAAGAAAATAAGACACAGATAGATGATGTATGGAGAATATGTAATAACAATGAAGTAAGTACTCAAAAGAACTACAACTGACACAGTGCTGCCATAGAACCCACAATAAACTCCCTCTTTCCAATTCCAATGGACATGTGTTTGGTCAGAAATCTAAAATGAAATGACCATACTACCCTCCTGGAAATATTTGTTCCTTTGCACTAATTGTCCATGTATCTCTTAGTGTTTTTTTTTTCTATAGCAACATTGTATGCACTTGAGGCTAGGTTGTTGTCTGTGGTACTTTTCTTTTTTCATACTATTTACTTACCTGATCTTATCAAGTTCTTTCCCTTTACCTGTTATTTCATTGCTGATTCCTCCATAATGTATATCATTTGTATCAACACTACTTGAATTTTGTATACAAACATTAAACTGCCTATTTAATCCCCTCCAATGTAAAACTTCAAAATAAGGTTCTCAAACTTTCCTCTGAAACAGTTTCCAAATAGCTTCTCTTACTAAAACTTATTCAATTAATTAAGAAATTAAATTATTCCTAATTCACCTTTTTAATTCATGGGCTCAACCAATCTATAAGCAAGTGACAGCAGGAAGACCTCTAGAATATATCTCAATTGTTTTTATTTTTGTGTATTTGCCCAAAGATAGTTTTGGGGAGAACTGCAATTTCCTCCAAGTCTTCTCCCTACTGTAAACCAAACCTGACTCCATGCCATTTCCTCTCAAACTACCAGAATATGTATTACAGCAATCACTTCAACTTATTCACCAAAACTCTGCTCACTTCTTTCTGCTTTTGTGACAAAAATCTGAATTTGCTACCTTTCTTAGATTATGTTAATGATGTGCCCTTTCAAATATCCTTCAACAGGAAAAAGAACACCAAACCAATGTATCTGTATTTTACTCTGAAGCATGACACCTATCCTAAGCTCTACTATAAGATTATTTGTGATTCTATGAAAAGGAGATTCAGGCATCACTTTAAAGACTTCATCATTTAACCATCCATATCAACAAATCTCATTGTTATTAATCCATATGAATGAGTACACATCTCTCCATAAAATGTCCCTGTAGTGCATGGACAGTTTATTCCTTCTATGGGTGGGTGGGCTCCATGAAAATAGCAGGCCTCTGCAGACAAGCAGCTCTAATAGCTGGTTCTGCCTGTGGATGTGCCAGCTGACTGTGGAAACTCAACAGCCAATTTCTGCTCCAAGTGCTCCAGTGTTCTGAATCCAAAGGACAAAATGAATCTCAGAAAACCCCATAGCAGCTTCTGCCAGTGGGCTCTGCTATGGGCTGTATATATACCTCTTGGGTCAACATTATTGGTCCAAATTTCTGTTAATGTTTTTGCAAAAGTACCCACACAATTGGTTAGCTCTTGAGTCTGAACCTTTAACTCTGCCCTCCCTTCAGTTCCCCATTCACCATCTCACCATGGTACTGGGGGGCAGAGCCCAGAGACAGGCCCAAGGAACCTGACTCCCCTGGGTCCTGTCCAGCTTTGCAGGACAGACTGGGCCAAGGGCCCAACACAACTGTTTGCATTCCAGCCCATCCAGAGCCACTCCTGGAAGAGCAGGCTAAGCAATAAGTGGAGTAATAACTAATAACTTCCATTCTCAAAAGTATAACTAATACCAGCATCAATGGATACATACTTAAAAAAACCTCCATTTATTTGTGCATAATTTTAATAGTAGATAACTGTGTATTAGCTTGTTTATAAAGTAGACAAATATCTCAGAGCCACCAGGCAGGGAAACACACACACCACACACACACACACACACACACACACACACCCTTATCTGTATTGCCTTGATATTTAAGTTTGGACAACAGTATTTTCAAAATGTACCATATTCAGGGCTGAATATGTGATTACCTTTAGTTCATAGTCTAGACATAAATGCCTTCATAATATTTAAGACTGCTTGTTACATGATTGCAGCTTTAAGAAAGCAAAGGTAAATCTTGACCAGATAATTTAGCAAAGAATACAACAAAAGCAGCATTAAGAGAATTTTATACTACAAACCTTCAAGTTGCTACTAAATGAGATTTCTTTGAAATATAGATCAATTGAACTAGATTACTGAATTTTAGCTCCTGTCAACATCATAACAAAATACATATAAAATTGTTCACTGGTCTTAACTCCACACTTCTATCTGCTACCGTGTTATTTATGTTCCTTGATTTACCATGCAGATCTAAAAAAGGCACATTCAAGGAGGGCTTACAACACATGACTTCTGAAACTTTACATCAAGGTATTTTTGAAACTCAAGCCAGGAAAAGGATGCCATCAAAGGCATATCTCTAATGAACTTCATATCATAGAAGGTTTGGTATTTAATACTGATATAAAAAGAAAGATCTACAAATCAGAATGACCTATAAAAGAAAATGCCTACAAATTGATAAGACTAGGACCTCTGAGAATTAAAATCCCAATAAAAATGATGTCTGGTGCCTTGACAGTTAACTTCCAACCTTTGCAAATGTAATGCACTGTGTCAGAGCAGGGAAATCATTTGACAATGTTTATTAAAAGATAAGAAAAAATATTAATTTTCTCCCAAAGCTATAAAATATTTTCAATCCTGTTCATAGTAAATCTATGTCAGAATAAACACACTTGAAGATAAAACACAACAGATCCTTAATATTATTTTCTATGTCACATGCTTTTTATACTATTTTTACCAAAAAAAAATAGAAAAAACTTCAAAATAATATAATTTATAATGACAGTATACAATATTTGCTCATCAATTCTAGTATTTCCTTTTTCTTTCCCCAAAGCAATCTGCTCCAATGGAATAAAATCTCCTGTCATTTTGCAAATTCTGAGAGGCCATTTTTATTATGTCCTTCTGATATCCTTTTTGAAGATATATAGCACATGAGAAGAAAATCCTTCCACCGTTTATTCCCCTGATTTTATTTTCTCACTTTTGTTTCTAATATGCTGAAGTTCAACACAATAATCCAAAAGTTTTCAGCACTTTCTGCTGGCATTACTATTTGAAAATTTCTTTCCCATAAGCAATAAGGTATATAAACAAATGATACATTCTTTTTTTTCTAAAGAATACATTTCAAGGGGTTGGAGTTTTGGCTCTGTATTAGAACACTTGCCTCCCACATGTGAGTTACTTGGTTTGATCCTCAACATCACATGAAAATAAAGACATTGTGTCCATCTACAACGAAAAATAAAAAAGAAAACATTTAAATCATTTATATCATTTTATAGCAAAGGAAGATTCCACAAGCATGTCCTGTTCTGTGAATCAATCAATTCCAAAGGAAAGTAGATGTGGTGTTAATTCCAGTGCCTGGAAATCCTGATGCAGGCTCACCAGATGATGAAAACTGAGGTATGCAGTATATAGGGGCCAACATGGCATTCAGTAGCTTTAGGGCATGTCAAAATTCACAACTACCCCATAGTCAATGACAGCAAACACCTTCCCTGTTCTTGCCTCTGAACATTAACTTGCCTTTCTACCTTTCCTTCAAAGTAGGCGCACTCTTCTGGAAACAAAGTCCAAACAGAAACAACCTCCCATGAGTATACAACAGAAACCACAGTTGTCTTTTTACAGGATTTCAATCCATGTAGGCCATGTTTGAGACTTATTTACAACCATAGGAGACTGTTAACTCTTCTTGCTTAATGAAAGGACAAAACAACATATTTGCATATGCAAAAGCAGGTGCTGTAACAGGTTTTGCTACTCTTAAACTTAAAGAGGTTTATCTACAACAGTTGTTACAAAGGCATTGGTGCTCTGATGGGCAGTCAAAACCTCACCATTTGTACATGTGTGTTCTAAATGACAATGCAATTAAAAACTAATTGATACATCTTCTCTCATCTTTTTACATATCTGTATAAAGCAATATTGGGTTATTTTACCAATCAATCCAGGATAAAAAAAAGTAAAAGAGGAATGCTGCCATCTAAAAGTAATGTGTACATTTGATCATTTCAAGACAATCCTTTTTACCATTGTCATATAGTATAAGGGAACAGATACTGAATTTTAATCTAGTATTATTACATAGAGAAAAATTTTCACAATCTTAATAATTTCAATTTCTGAGATAAGGAACTAAAATAACTGCATTTTCTGATTTCTGCCACCTTAATTGTTTTCCTTAATTAATTTATTTTCAAGTTAGTTTTGGATCTAAAAATAATGTAATTTTATGCATTGGTTTTTACCTCTAACTTTTAGCTTCAATTCAGACAGTACATTATTTTCTACTTAGGTTGCAATTTCCTTTATGAGGCTACTTCCACACTGCAAAGGCCGAGTTTGATCATGAACCCTCACTGACCAGAATGGCTTGCTTTTGACATATACTTAAGTATAGTATATGTCCCAAGCTCCAAGTTGGATGTTCTTTCTATGGTCTAATTTGCTTGTCAAAAGATGTCACAATTACAGATATACACCATCTATGTAAACTTAGCATTACATGAAATAAATTATTATTTTCTGCACTTTTTTATTTTTCAAAATAGACAATCTCTAATAAATGTAAAAGAATTGAAGAGTTCAAGTAAACTTAACTATAAATAAAATAACCTGGCACATGATTGAAAAAAAATACATACACATATAGACACCTTTAAATTTATTATCCATCATCAATACCAAAAACCTTGTCTCCTGTTTAAAAGAACAGAGATAGCATGAAGTTCCACATTTTCAAATTGACTTAAAATAATGAACAACTTATTAAACAGAAGATTTCCAACAACAAAATTTATATCAAATTTGTTATGAAAACTAATCTTTGCAATATGAGGGTAAAACATCCACTTATTCCAAATGTTTCTGCAACTTCAACTGTATAGTTCTGAAATTTAGTATTAACATCCAGGAATGTTAAGAACTTGCTACAACAGTTGTTTGCAAAAGTTTTTATCTATTTGTTTTTATGATGGGAAGGTGGTATCTGACAATGGAAAGGAAGAAAGTCTACACCTACAGTCAACTGATTAAAAATTTCCCCCCTTTTTTTCCTTTGTTTTGTTACTTAAACATTTAAAAATCAAAATACCATTTAGTCAAAAAAAAAAGGTATTTAGTGGCTGTTTCTAACAACTGAGATGAGACATCATTATGACTCCTTCAAAGACTTTCCAAATTTTTTAAAACTAAAATTATTTATTCAATAGGTTGTAACTGCCTTTTCTGAGCCACACTAATTCATATTGTGAATAAATATTTAGACTATATTTTAAATGTGTACAATGTACTTGAGGGAATGCCACAGTTCCAGGATGTCATGTAAATACAATCTGATCAAAAACATCCCACTTTTACATAAAAGCCCAGCTAAGAAACACAACAGTTCAGCCAAGAAGAGAAAATTGTTAACCAGGAAAACTGTAGCCCCAGCCCCAGCAACTATTTTTTAAAATATTTTTTTAGTTTTGATGGACACAGTACCTTTATCTATTTATTTTTACATGGTGCTGAGGATTGAACCCAATGCCTCATACATGTGAGGCAAGCGCTCTGTCATCAAGCCTCAATCCCAGCCCATAAACTATTTTTACTATCATTCTATGTTAGTTTTAAAATGTCCTCTCAAATAATCCATATTTTCTTTAGAACAGTAGAATACTCACTTTCACCAGTTTTCTTTGTCGCCAGCATCTTGGGTATTCTGTCTTTTGTATTTGAGGAAACCTCTCCTGGGTGGCACTGCCTTCACTGCTACTGGAGTAGCTAGGTTTGAGTTGTATTTTGACAAAATCTAAAACAAGCAAATTTTTTTTTTTCTGTCAAGTCATATGAATAACATAACAAATATAGAAAATGTTAGAAAACATTCAAGAAAAGCCATGGAAAATTAAAGGTTATTTAAAACACTTATTTAGCATGCCTGCAGACATTCAACAGCAATGAAAACATTGAGATATTAGAAATTTAACTGGATGTAAAGGTTTGAAAGGCATTATCCTCATTAACTGAGGATAATGCAACCAATACATCCCCAAGAGCAAGTAAGCCTTTACAAGCTGAAGCTGTTAGGGAAAAATCTGAAACAATGTTTAAAAGAAAGCTCATCAGTTATAAAGATCATAAAAGGAAACTCTGAAATGTCAGCATCCTTTTCCTACACAAAGAAGTGACATTAAAGCTGGGCATGGTGGTGCATGCCTATAATCCCAGTGACGTGAGAGGCTGAGGCAGGAGGATCACAAGTTCAAAGCCAGCCTCTGCAAAAGTGTGGTGCTAAGCAACTCAGTGAGACCCTGTCTCTAAATAAAAATAGGGCTGGGGATGTGGCTCAGTGGTCGCATGCCCCTGGGCTGAATCCCCAGTAAACTCCCTGTCCCCCAAAAAGAAGTGACATAAAGGGGTTGGGTTTGTAGCTTAGTGGTAGAGTGCTTGCCTAGGATATTGAGGCACTGGGTTTGATCCTCAGCATCACATAAAAACAAACGAGTAAAATAGTTATTGTGTCTATCTACAAATAAAAAAATACATATTATTAAAAAAAGAAGTGACATTAAATACAAGGCTTTGTTCCTTTCAAATAGAATTGAGAAGAATGAACCATGGGAACATGCTATACTCATTCAACTATTGTAGGTATTGCCCAGAAAAGCAGAAAAGACAGGATAAGAAATAATTAAATATCTTATCCTGGGTCAATTCTGATGACATTTGGTTATTTTCCCAAGTAGCTCAATTCTGATGACATTTAGTTAATTTCCCAAGTGGTTATCCTTCTTATGGCTTTTCTTAAGCCAGGAACCTTTCTAGAGTAGTTACTGAGACTTCTATGTGCCAGCTGGGCATGTTGGTGCAGGCCTGTAATCCCAGTGGCTTGGCAGGCTGAGGCAGGAGGACTGCAAATTCAAAGCCAGGCTCAGCAGCTTAGTGAGACCTTGCCTCAAAATAAAAAATAAAAAGGGCATGCGGGCGTGGTGGCACATGCCTGTAATCCCAATGGCTTGGGAGGCTGAGACAGGAGGATAATGAGTTCAAAGCCAGCCTAAGCAAGGTGAGGCGCTCAGCAACTCAGTGAGACCCTGTCTCTAAATAAAATACAAAATAGGGCTGGGGATGTGGCTCAGTGGTTGAGTGCCTCTGGGTTCAATCCCTGGGACCAAAACAAACAAAATTCACGTGCCTAAGCAATACCAGCCAAACACTCTGTTAAAGAAGAGGATTGTCAAAGAAATCAGACTGGTTATTTAGTACAGTTGGCAGTTAGAAATTAGTAGTAAGACTGGCAAATTTACATTCAAAAATCAGATATTTACATGTAAACCAGTGTTTCTCAAGCTGAGGCCCAAGAAGCCTCAAGTTCAAGAAACTGATATGTAATTAATGATACCCTGCTCTGAAGAATTGAGGGTGAATGACATTTCTGACTTTGTCTGCAACACTTCTAATGGAATAATGGTCAGTGTGGAAATCATAGCTGAACAATATTGATAAGAATACATTTCAAAGGTAAAGAGAAACATGCCCCATTGGTATAACATCCCTAAAAATGTGGGAAGCTCATTAAAAATATGGGAAGTCACTAGCTTATACTAAGCTCAGAAACCAGGTGTTCTTAGGAGGGCCTATCTGCCTAGAATTTAGATTGTGTCAACACTAAAGAGCCAGCACATTAGCCTAATGACAAGACAGCTTACATGCAGTTTCAAGTCTTTAATATCAGAAAAAAATAAAATTGTCTTAAAAAATAACCTGGAGAATATCCTCTGGAATTGCAGTTATTTCTGGGGGTGTAGGTGTTCTAAGTAGATTCTCGTAAGAAGAAATTGTAGGAGAAAAGGGATCCATAAAATTCTCAAAGCACTCATCTGATTTTAAAACTAGTGGAGTGTAATCTTCAACTTCCACATCATTTGATGAATTATTTATTTTTGGTAATGGATAATTTGTGGACACCTAGAAAATAAAAATAAATCATTGAGTTATAGCAGTAATTTAAAAATTAAACAGTGATAGTTCTGTTGGGGTCCCTGAGTAAGCCCCCAAATGACCCTCTTCTTCTATAACTCTGTTCTAAACAAAACCGAAGAAGACAAAGAAATGGCATAAGCTGGACAAAATACCATCTTCGTTACCAATAAAAGAACCAACGTAAGAACTAAATGGAATGTTGGCTAAACTCCAGATTTAGATGAAATGTTGCCATTTCAGGCAACACTAAACTGGGCCAGATGAGAATCCTAGCATGATAAGCAAGTGTTTCCACACCCCCTAGCAAACAGGCTCACCCCCAAGAAGAAGAAAGCAGATATGAAGGAAGCTCAACTTGCAGTTTTCATGCTAAATTAACTACCTGGGTAAATTACTCCATCTCCCCAGGGCCAGAGTTATTAATTAAAAAAGAAGTTAAGATTCTCAGGTCAGCAGGGTACCTTCCACATGAATAGAAACATGAGAAGTAAGTTCATTGTAAATGGCAAGTGCCAGCAGACAGATAACCTGACACTTCAACTGATAACCCAGCACTGCGTTTGTCTACAGCTGCACTGGCCAATATTTAAGTCACAGGGGCTAAATAAATATAAATTAACTAAAATTAAACAAAGTCTTAAGAAATTAAAAATCAGTTCCTCAGATCAGTAGCCATATTTTAAAGCCCCCCAAACTACATGTAATTAGTGGCTACCATATTTAATATCATAGATTATAATTTCCATCACTCCAGATAGTTCTGTTGGATATCCCACTACAGTAGTGGTCGTCTAAAATACTGGTTGTCTTAAGTGTTCATACTGACTCTAAAGAATAATAAGGTTGCGGGGCTGGGGATGTGGCTCAAGCGGTAGCACGCTCGCCTGGCATGCGTGCGGCCCGGGTTCGATCCTCAGCACCACATACAAAGATGTTGTGAACTGAAAAATAAATACTAAAAAATTCTCTCTAAAAAAAAAAAGAATAATAAGGTTGGGCTGGGGATGTAGCTCAGTGGTAGAGCACCTGCCTAGAGTGCGTGAGGCCCTGGGTCTGATCCCCAGCACCACAAAACAAACAAAAATAATAAACTGATGTGGTTTGATTATAATAAATTTGTTACCTAGAAAAATTTGGAGAGGAAAAAAAACCATTAAAACACTCATAAACCTGTTGCCCAGAGAACTATATTTCTACTCATTCATTTTTCTTAAAATATATACATCAATGTGTTGTATAAACAACACATACATGTAATTTTTCATATGATTAAATATTTCTTGAAAATACTCCTTAATCTGTTTTCATCTGGTTTTACGGAGATGCCTTATTGAGTTCTTCTTATCTTTCATTTGATATTTTAAATTATTTCCCTTTTTCGTATTTCTTCCTATAACTTGTTATGAATCTTTATCCTAGGTGGCTTTAGGACAAATTCTGACACATGATTAAAAGGTATAATTTTTTTTTTAAAGTTCTTGATCTATGCTGGTAAAACACCCTCAAGAAATACATTGTAATCTCTCCTGATTTATCTAAGTTTCTAAAGTAGACTGAAATGAGAACCTCTTGGGAGTCAGGAGAGGGTTATCAAGGAACACAAGGAATCTTTTAGGGATGATGCATATATTCTTTTTTCTTTTTTGTGTTGGTAGTTTTATAAATTAATACATATGTCAAAATATAATTCTGTACTCCAAATATATGTAGTTTATTTCATGTCAATTATTCCTTCCTAATGCTGATTTAAAAATAAATAAAAATCCTATTTCTCTTTAAGGAAGGAAAACAAAAACCTAGGTTTTATGTGAGTTAGAAAACAAACAAAAACAGACCGTTGGAGTCTGGAAGCAGTATCTGAGTCATTAGGAGAAAGATTAGAGCTTTCAATTCTATAGGCATTTACCACAGCTGTGCTGTTCTTTGTGGAAGGAATTTTCAAACCAGGAGTGCAGAATGTAGGTGCCAATGGAGAATTTGTGCACTCGACATCTAGAAGACACACAAAATGTTCATGAAAATGAAGATTTGAAAACAAACAGAAGATTTCAACTTTTAAATTGTAAGTATTGTCAATATAATTTGTGCTTTTGTGTGTGTGTGTGTGTGTGTGGTGCTGGGGATTGGAATTCAGAGCACTGTGTTATTAAGTACACCCCCCATGTGCTTTACTATTATTATTTTTTTAATATTTATTTTTAGTTTTAGGTGGACACAATATCTTTATTTTATTTTTATGTGGTGCTGAGGATCAAACCCAGTGCCTCATGTATGCTAGGCAAGCACTCTACCACTGAGCCACAACCCCAGCCCCATGTGCTTTATTATTAATAACTTTAAAAATGTAAGTGTAATCTAAGCATGGTGGTACACACCTGTAATCCTACAAACTCAGGAGGCTGAGGTAGGAGGACTACAAGTTTGAGGCCAACCTCAGCAACTTAGTGATACCCTATCTTAAAAAATGGGCTAGGGATGTAGCTCAGTGGCAAATCACCCCTAGATTCAATCCCCAGTATTAAAAAAAGAAAAAAGAAAAAGAAAGAATGCTCAGCAGGATATTAAACACAATATTGAAGAAAAATAACTCTCAATCTAGTGATCTTTACCCAACTAAATTATCATTCAAGAATGAGTTTAAGCCAGGAGTGGTGGTACATGCCTTTAATTCCTGCAGCTGGGGAGGCTGAGGCAGGAGGATTGCAAGTGCAAAGTCAGCCTTATGAAAAGCAAGGTGCTCAGCAATCAGTGAGACCCTGTCTCTAAATAAAATACAAAACAGGGCTGAGGATGTGGCTCAGTGGTCAAGTGCTCCTGAGTCCAGATACCGGTACAAAAAGAAAAAAAATATCAGTTTAAACCAGGTGTGGTGGTTCACATCTGTAATCCTAGCAACTCAGGAGGCTGAGGTAGGAGGACGGAAAGTGCAATGCCAGCCTCAGCAATTTAGTGAGAACTTGTCTCAAAAAACAAAAAGTGTTGGGGATATAGCTCAGTGGAAGGGTGCCCCCTAGGTTTGACCCCCAGAACCCCCCACCACATACAAAAGGCAAAAACCCCAGCTAAATCCAGAAGAAGTGAGTGGGCTATAGCAAACAATGTAAGCTATAAATAAACTACTGCATTTTATTAAGTATGGGCTATGAAAATGTTAATAAAGATACTCTTGTGGGATAAAAACAGGGTCAAACCAAAATACAATAACTTTAACAAAGTTCCCTTTAACTAGATTACTTTTTTCTATTCCCCCAATAAACACATTACCTCTGATTTACTACAGGATTTTAATAAGCAGTCTATTCTTTAATAAATCCATTCCACTTTCAGGAGTTCTTCATTTTCTAAAATGTTTACATACTTCATTGGGAATTGAGTTGAGCTATAAGCTACTATGAGTCAGTTATATTTTTTAAACCTGTTTAAGTGAACAGTACTTATTAATTTAATAACATAATTTAATTACATGTCAGTGAAATTAGTACAATAAGAACTTTTCTGAAAATATGTCCAAAACTTTGGAAAGATCTGATAAAGACATTTTAAAACTCTACCAATAAATTTGGTATAGATCAGACAGCAATAAATAATTATTCAGAGAAATCATAAAACTCTAGGATTTATTTTGTATTTTCTTTTTTTTTTTAATTTTTATTGTTGGTTGTTCAAAACATTACATAGTTCTTGACATATCATATTTCACACTTTGATTCAAGTGGGTTATGAACTCCCATTTTTACCCTGTATACAGATTGCAGAATCACATCGGTTACACATCCACTGATTTACATATTGCCATATTAGTGTCTGTTTATTTTGTATTTTCATTAAAAAAAACAACAACAATGTTTTTCTGGGTTCAATCCCTAGCGCACGCATACACACACACAAAACAAACCTGCATGAATATTTTATTTAAGTTATTGAACCATTTAAAAAAATTTGAAATGATAGCTGGTGTATTCTGGGTGTGATTTATGTAAGAAAGATAATGTATAACTCTAACCAATAGGTTCAAGCTAAACTAAAAGAAAAAAAAGTACTACGGCTCTACATCAAGATTGGTGAAAGAATACATATGTCTTAAGTTAAAACGTTAGAAACAAAAAAGCTGACAAATACTAAACATAATCCAAAATAATATTAAAAACACACCAGAAAATTTTATATTTCTCTTGCATGAAGTCATGCTTACCCTGAATGGGATGGTATTTTTATAAAATTCGATATTACAAATTAAAAAGATATGGAAAACTATAAAATGTCTAAGGTGATAGAACCATTTCTTTTTAATACTGTTTAAGTTGTAGATAAAAGTAAGCTTGATGTTTGCACTCACCACTTTTTTCCAGCTGCTGAATTATGGGGCCAGGAGTAACAGAAAAATTATTGGTCATGGGTTCTCTTTCTAGGGTCTTCTCACTGGTGTGGTTCAGAGGGAAATTATAAAGTAAAAAAAAATTAACATTAAACCTCTGGGATAAAACTTAATTCTTATTACATAACATAAATTTGGACTAGTTCAGTTCTCTTTTATGGACAAGATGCCCCATGGAACATTTTTCTTTCTCTTTTATTCTTCTATTGGGGAATAAACTTGGGGCATTTGACCATAGAACTACATCCCCAGTCCTTTTTCTATTTTTTATTTTGAGACAGTCTTTCTAAATTGCTGAGGCTAGCCTTGAACTTGTAATCCTACTCCCTCCTAATTCACTGGGATTACAAGTATATGCCACCCTGCCTGGCCCTTTAAGAAAATGAACAACAAAACATTTAAGTATCCATCCACCCATCCACTCGTCCGTCCGTCCGTCCGTCCATCCCCATGGTTCAAAAGAGGTTAACAACCTCTGACTTAAAGGAAAGCTATAAATTCTCATTACTTCAAATAAAGGAACTGCATACTTCATAACTTCAAAATCATAAAGTAGAACTTTACAACTAGTACACAGATACAGATTAAGAATTTGTTGCCAGGCACAGGTGGCGCATGCCTGTAATCCCAGCAGCTCAGGATGCTGAGGCAAGAGGATTACAAATTCAAAGCCAGCCTCAGCATCTGGAGAGGTGCTAAGCAACTCGGTGAGACCCTGTCTCTAAATAAAATACAAAATAGGGTTAGGGGTGTGGCTCAGAGGTCTAGTGCCCCTGAGTTCAATCCTTGGTACCCACCTCCCCCTCAAAAAAAAAAAAACTTGTCATTTTTTTTTTCAAGACTAAAATTACTGGTAGATCAAGTGTATTTTCTTTGATTGTTTAATATATAAAATTGCTACTTCTACTTTTTAAGCAAATATTTACTTTTGATCTACCTATAATTTATTTTGACATGAGGTAAAAATTACTTGATCTTTTCCCACTTAACCAATTATCCCAGAATAATTTACTGAATAATCTTTACTTCAAAAATACCTTTATTATATATTTATATTATTTTGTCCTTAGATACTGTTTGCTATTTTTTTATTTATATTCGACAGCAGAATGCATTACAATTCTTATTTCATATATAGAGCACAATTTTTCATATCTCTGGTTGTATACAAAGCATATTCACACCAATTCATGTCTTCATACATGTACTTTGGATAATAAAGATCACCACATTCCACCATCATTAATTACCCCATGCCCACTCCCTTCCCCTCCAACCCCTCTGCCCTATCTAGAGTTTGTCTATTCATCCCTTGCTCCCTCTCCCTATCCCACTATGAATCAGCCTCCTTATAGCAAAGAAAACATTCGGCATTTGGTTTTTTGGTATTGGCTAACTTCACTTAACATTATCTTCTCTAACTCCATCCATTTACCTGCAAATGCCATGATTTTATTCTCTTTTATTTCTGAGTAATATTCCATTGTGTATATATGCCATATATTTTTTTATCCATCTATTGAAAGGCATCTAGGTTGGTTCCACAGTTTAGCTATTGTGAATTGTGCTGCAATAAATATTGATGTGGCTGTGTCCCTGTAGTATGCTGTTTTTAAGTCCTTTGGGTATAGACCAAGAAGAGGGATAGCTGGGTCAAATGGTGGTTCCATTCCCAATTTTCCAAGAAATCTCTATACTGTTTTCCACGTTGGCTGCACCAATTTGCAGTCCTACCAGCAATGTATGAGTGTGTACACCCCAACCCATCCTTGCCAACATTTATTGTTGTCTGTATGCATAATAGCTGCCATTGTGACTGGAGTGAGATGAAATCTTAGAGTAGTTTTGATTTGTATTTCTCTAATTGCTTGTGATGATGAACATTTTTTCATGTATTTGATGCTATTTTAATCAGTGGCGTGTTCATTGTAACTCACATGGTTTTAATTAGCATTTCAACACTAATCACATCCAGATCTTTTAAATCTAGTACTGAATTCACATTAAGCTTCAAATTATTATTAAAATATTTAAGAGGAAATAAATATTTACAGGCACCTCAAAAATCAACATGCACACACATTGCCTTTTCCCACAAGCTGCAGGTATTCTTACCTTAGTTGCTTTCCCTAGCATCATCCCAAGGCAATAAACCAGAAATCTGGGGTTTATCCTAGACCCTCCGCTCTAACCAAAGCAATCACAAACTCTTATTAATTTTACTCCTTTAATTTTTTCTCCTTTCCTATTTCCATAAATATCATCTTTTTTCAGGCTTGTATCATGATTCCTTCTATGTAGCCTCTCATCTAAAGAAACCAACAGTTTGTAGTTCATTTTAAATGAAAAACGTTTGAAACATTGCATCGAGGACAAAAATTAATAAATACAAAATATTTAGGAAATAAAATTAAAATGTACCTTTTAATAAAGTTGCTTACCTTTTAATATTCTTCACATTTTTAAGTCCCATTGTATAATCTTCATTTAAACAGAAAGTATGTTCAGAGATACCAAAATGTTCTACATTAAGAGTTACACACTCAAAATCATCCATTTTTAGAGCACATTTTGGAGTTTTTAGTATTTTAACTAGTGACTGACTGGTAGGTGGAGTTTGAATTTCAGGCTCTTCCTTATGGTTGTTTACTACCTGTGGAGGGTTTGGTAAAACTTGGGATATCATATATCGCTCAAGTCCAAAATCCGAAAGTTGTGGACTACGTGGAATCTTCTTAGAAACAGAACTGCTTGGAACAGAAGGATCAAACATATCATCCTTCACGTCAGGCTTTTCAAAATTCTCACATTTAGCCATCTCTTGGGTAGAGTTAGTGAGTTCTTGCTCACAAACTAGGAGGAAGAATCAAAGAGGTAACATTCTGGTAACAGCAGAACAGAACATCTTAAATTCTATTTCATGGGCTGGAGTTGTGGCTAAGCCGTAGAGCGCTGCCTCGCACGTTCGAGACCCTGGGTTCAATCCTCAGCACCACATAAAAATATATAAGTGAAATAAAGGTATTGTGTCCAACTACAACTAAAAAATAAATATTAAAAAAAATTCTGTTTCAATTATCCCTTCAGTAATTTTCTGGTATGTACCTCTTACTCATATGCCATTTTGATCATATATTAGAGAGGGAAAGCAAACTAAAGTGTTAAAGATGAAAAATCAATACTCCCAAATTAAAGGCCAATTTCCTTCTTCGATTAATGTGCTTTACCAGTTTTTCTTAATATATTCTGACACCATTCTATCATTAATTAGTGTGAAATTAATTAAGTGTAGAATCAGCTCTCTTCTAGATTTAACACAATGTATAGTGGTATTTTAAAACATTAATTTTCAGATGCTTAAATTAAAAAGGAAAGGCTACTACACAAAAATAATTTTATCTTATTTCAGTCTGGAACACCTTTATCAAAAAACCCAGTTGAGAAGATAATGGGAGAACATTTGAAACATACATACTATCTCAACCATCTATAGATTTTATACTATGATTACATGGCTTCTGAATCTTGGAAGAGTTTCTCATTCACTGAATTCTGTTCTGGTTTTGTGCTTTCTGTAAATTCTAAGAAATGTTACAAGAGTTGCCAAAAATCTGTTGTATTTATCACAGAGCTATCATTGATAAGATTAATAAAATAAGACCATCACCATTATTAATGCTTAATCAATGATAGAACTATATTCCCATTTCCCAAGGGAGGAAAAACAATTCAGAGAAATTATTCAAGGTCACACGTTATACTGGGAGAGCAAATATTTGAATGTGTGGCTGTTTCACAAGAAATACTTTATACTTTGTATTATACCATGTGCACTACTTAATACACCTTCCAAACATATCCTCCAATTTTTTTTTTTTTGACATTGAACCCACAGCCTCATACATGCTAAGCAAGTACACGTATGAACTGCATCCCAATACATATTTACTGAATTTAATTAATGTTTTATTTATGTACAAAGACCATTTTTTAAAAGAATTTTTTTGTTGTTGTAGATGGCCAGCATGCCTTTATTTTATTTGCTTATTTTTTTGTATGTGGTGCGAAGGATCAAACCCAGTGCCTCATGCGTGCTAGGCAATCACTCTGCCACTAAGCCACAGCCCCAGCCCCTACAAAGACCATTTTATTACAGAAATGAAGACAATGAAGCATATTAAAGTTAGTCATTTGTTCATCTAGAAGTATGAGCAGAACAATAACAGCTAATAATTGAATGATGGACAGGCCAGGCATTGTTCTAAGCAAATTTTATGTCATTTAGTCTTTACACAATGCAAACTCATAAAGCACCCCTGCCTTACAAATGAAAAACTGAGACACAAGGTTAAGTAATTTGCCAAGATAATACAGCAAGTAGTGGCAGAATAAAGATTTGCACTAAGGTAATTTGGCTACAATGTGCTATACTACCCTGCATTAGAATTTTAGAACTAAAAAAGGACTTTACTGATTTATATAGCCAAAATCGCTCATTAGATAGAAAAGGAAACTGAACATAGAAAAATGAAATAGCATGCTGTAAAGTTTCTCAGCTATTTATTGGCAGAATCGACTAGAAATTATTCTAAGTTGTACTTCTTCATTTACAAAGGTCAGAGGTCTTTCATGTAGCATGATGCTGGTTCTCATTTAGCATGGTGAAAAAGAGAGCAAAACCCATTTTTCTATTGTGTCACTGACCAGCACATAATGAGTACTGAATAAATGTTTATGAAATGATATTCATATAATGGCAGACATAGAACTAAAAACTATGGCCAAGCCTACAGTTGTTATCATGTTGCCTTTTTAAATACTAAGCCATATTCTATAAAATGAAAGTCAAACAAACCTGAACTTTCCTTGACACGCGGATTATATCCATACTTCTGGAAAAACTCTCTTATTTTTATGATATCCGCTGAATTTTTTTTCATCAATATTTTTGCTGCCTTTATGAAACCAATGTTTTCTTGACTTTCCAATCTTGCTTTATCAAGAAGAATATTAACATCATCCTTTCATGAGGAAAGAAAATATATTACAATTTCTCTAAGTTCTACTTAAGCTAAAAAAAATTACCACAGAAATACAACAAATTAATATCGTAGGATTAATACCTTTAAAGTCTGGACTTCTGAATGAAGATCATGTAAAATTCCCACTGGATAATCATCAAAGTCTTCAATACATGTTGAAAGAAAAAAAAAGTTCAATAAATACAAGAAAAATAAGGAAGAAAAAATTAAAATAAAAAGATTAAATGTAGTTTCTTAAAATCCTTGTAGATATTTACTTATAATTTATCTCTTGTCAACTGCTAAAAAAAAAAAAAAAGACTATTCTTTAAAACCTTTATTGAACCATAACATAATACAGCTGTAACAAAAAATCTTAAGTATATAGCTTGAGGAACTTCACAAATTGTTAGCTGGATAACCAGCCCTCAGCTCAATAAATAAGAAAAGAAGAGAAGGGGAAGGGAAAGAGGATTACTAAAATTTGACAAGCCCACTTTTAGTCCCTCTCTTCCCTTGTTGAGAGCCATAGACAACTCAAGATGGCACTTTGCCAAGAGGAATGGTTTGAGAAGTAATACCAGCGAGCCATTAAGATAACGGAGATTCCTTAATGTCTGACTGCTGTGTCTAGATTATGTCAATTAAATTAAGCTGTGTATAATTAAGATGATGAGGATTCCTTATTGGTTGACTGCTGTATCTAGTTTATGTTAATTAAGTTAAGCTGTGTTTTCAGTTGTGCATATATACCCCTACTGTCCTACAATAAAGCGGCTCCTGCTCCTGCTGTATCAATCTTCAAAGTTCCTTGTCACTCACCCCCCCCCCTCCCCCAACCCGGTTACTTTACTGCAGCCAGACTGCAGCAGATGGCGGCCCGTCTGGGGAGCCCCGGGACACTTGGGGGTAAGACGGGAGCAAATCTGCTCATCCCTAAGCAGATAGGGTGAGAGGAAGAATGGCCATTTTGAGAAAAAGGAGAGGATAGATACAGTATATTTGTGTCTTGTTTTGTCTTGGTGTGTTGTATTGTCCTTGTGATGAAAATATGGAAGGGGTGTTAAGTAAATTACTAAGGGAAGGAGGCACCCCAGTGGAACCAAGGGCAGTTAGGGCCCAGGAACTCTAGTCAGGAAGAGGAAGAAGGTTCAGAGGAGGAAGGACTATCAAGAAAGGAATTGCAAAAGGCTACTACTGAATACTTTTCGTTACCGGAGGATGCGTGAAGCGGCGCAGTGGCTGCTGAGTGTGCGAGCCGGTCACAGCACAGCAAGGACTTTCCAAGCGGGAGCTGGGACCCGCCCCCCCCCCACCCCCCACAGCGGAGCGGGACACCACTGCTGCAGCCCAAATCCAGACCTGACCAGGAGGCACGGTCTCCCAGGCTCTTGCTCCCTGTGCCCAGTGGCAGTTTGAGTCTGGGACACTCCCTGGGGCCGTCTGGGGCTGCCCAGGACACTACAGCCATGGCTCAGGGCGGATTCCTCATCACCCCCCTCCCTTACTTTGCTGCATCCAGACTTCGACATTCCCCCCAAGGGTAAACCTTACTCTGAATTCTAAAACCATGAAGTGTTTTACCTGCTTATGAACTTTCTTTAATGAACTCAGATAATATGTATTTTTTTGTGACTGTCTTTTTTCATTCAACATTTTACATGACATTCCTCTGTTCTTATCTAATCCATCCATGTTCGTTGCTAAACAATATTCCGCTCTACAATATATCTATTCTATTGTTAAAACTATTATGAATATTCTTGCTTTGAATTTTTCTAGAACATCTTTTTTAAAAAAATATTTATCATATGGTTCTTTAGTTTGTTAATTGCAGTGTTTGGGATTGCGCGTGCTAGGCAAGTGCACTACCACTGAGCCACATCCAGCCTTAGCATGTCTTTGGGGTAAAGAATTGTGCATATATTGGCAACAAAGACCTAGAATATGTGCTGTATTATGGGTTATACATATATTTAATTCTAGTACATAATGCCAGATGGTTTTCCAACTTGCTGTTACCATTTACACTCCCAACAGCAGTGCATGCCAGTTCCAGTTTTTACACATCTTTACAAACACTTGGTACTTTCCTCTTTTCAATTTTAGTTATCCTAATAGCTATGCAATTGTACTATATTGGGATTTAATTTTCATTTCCTTGATGACTAATACATTTGATACTTTTTCATATACTTAATGACTATATGAAGATAATTTGAAGTAAGGCTTGAATTTTTATATGGTATTATCTGCCTTTTTCTTATTAATTTGTAGGTTTATTTTGGGGTGGGGGTACTGGGAATTGAACACAGGAGCACTAAACCACTGAGCCACATCCCCAGTCCTTTTTTTTTTTTTAAAATTTTGAGACTGGGTCTCACCAAAATTGCTTAGGGCCTCGCTAGATTCCGAGGCTGGCTTTGATCTCGCAGTCCTCCTACATCAGCCTGCCCAGGCACTGGGATTACTGGCACATGCCACCATGCCCAGCTACTCTATACATTTTGGATATAAGTCTTCTGTCAGAAACATGTATTATAATATCTTCCACTCTTTACATTGCCTTTCCACTCCTTTTTTTTTTTTTTTTTTTTTTGTACTAGGGATTGAACTCGAGGGCACTTGACCACTGAGCCACATCCCCAGCCCTATTTTGTATTTTTATTAGAGACAGGGTCTCACTGAGTTGCTTAGCACCTCGCTTTTTTGCAGGCTGGCTTTGAATTTGCCATCCTCCTGCTCCTCCTGAGTGGCTGGGATTGCAGGCATGCACCATCACGCCTGGCTTCCACTCTCTTAATTTTAATAATGTGTGTGTGGGGGGGGGCAGGGTTGCTGTCAATTAAACAAAGGGTCACACACTAATTAGTTAAGCACTCTATCACTGAGCTATATCCCTCCTTTTTTTATTTTGTGAAAGGTCAAGCTAATTGGCCAGGTTTGGCCAAGTTAGCCTTAAACCTGTGATCCTCCTATCAGCCTCCTAAGTAGCTGAAATTACACACATGGGCCACCATATATAATTTCTTAATCCTAAAGTAGTCCTATTTGCCGAATTTTCCCTTTATGATGAATACTTTTTATTTCCTACTTTAAAAATCCTTGCCAATTATAATACATATTTTTTTCATGTTTTCTTTTAACAGCTTTATGTTTTTTTCTTTTGCATTTAGAGTTATAACCATCTGGAATTTTTTTTTTTTTTTTTTTTTTTTTGTACAGAATACAGTAAGGATCAAGATTCCATTCTTTTCTTCTATGTAGATAACCATCCAATCAACCTGACACTGCTTCCTCAAAAGACATTTTTGAGTTGGGAATGTAGCTCAGTGACAGAAGACTTGCCGAGCATGCATGAGGTTCAATACCCAGCATTGTTTAAAAAAAAAAAAAAAAAAATATCCTGTACTCACTGCACTGTCTCTTTTGTCATTAATCAGTTGGTCACATAGTGATTAAAAGTAGTTTTTAAAAGAACTCTATTTCTCTTTTCCGAAACACATTCATTTTGATGATCTCTTTCTTTAGCTGTTAGGAGTTCCCAATTTTCATTAGGGAAATGCAAATGTGCAGTGGCCCAGGCCTGTCAACCCTGATACTCTTGAGGCTGAGTCAGGAGGATGCTGAGTTTGAGGTTCGAATCTAGCTTATGCAACATAACAAAATCCCCTTCTCAAAAAAAAAAAAAAAAAAATCCCCAAAAACCCCAACCATGATGAGATTCCACTTCATACACACTAGAGTAACTACAATCAAAAAGACAGATAATAACAAACAAATATTGATGGGGATGTGGAGAAACTGTAACCCTCATTGCTGATGCAAATGAAAATGGTGCAGCTACTTTGGAAAGCAAATTTGCCTTTCTTCATAAAATTAAATATAGGATTACCATGCAATTCCACCTCTAGATTTGGATATGTGTGTGTGTATATATATATATATATCCAAAAGAACAAAAAAAGTGTTCATATAAAAATTTGCACATAATTTTTTTTTTTTTTTGAGAGAATTTTTTAATTTCGGCGGACACAACATCTTTGTATGTGGTGCTGAGGATCGAACCGGGGCCACACGCATGCCAGGAGAGCGTGCTACCGCTTGAGCCACATCCCCAGCCCACACATAAATGTTTATAACTGCATTATTTACAACAGCTTGAAATAAAAACAACCCAAGTCTGATGAGCAGATGAACAAAATTTGGTATATCCATACAATTGAATATTATTCAGCAATAAAATGAAATACTGACACACATTACAACATGAATAAACATGGAAAAATTATGCTAAATGAAATAAGCCAGTATTTCAGTCACAAGAGACTACATGTTATGAGATTCCATTATATGAAATGTTCAGAATAAGCAAATCCAAAACAGAAAATAGATTAATGGTTACCTAAAGCTAGTGTGGTGGGTGGGGATATGGTTATGGGGAAGAATGGAGGCATGGAGGATTGTTTTGGAAGTGACAAAAATTTAAACTTTTTATTATGACAGTTGCACAAATCTGTGAATATACTAAAAATCACCGAACTAATTCTTTTAGAGTAAGTTCTATTATATGTAAAATGACATCTCAAAGATATTTAATAGTCAATCAATTTGAGTAGGGTGTGGTGGTGCATGTTTGTAATCCCAGTGACTCAGGAGGCTGAGGCAGGAAGATACCAAGTTCAAGGCCAGCCTCAGCAACTCAGTTGGGTCATAAACTTAGCAAGACACTGCCTCAAAAAAAAAAAAAAAAAAAAAGAGAAATAATAAAAAGGGGGCTGGGGATGTGGCTCAAGCAGTAGCGCGCTCGCCTGGCATGTGTGCGGCCTGGGTTCGATCCTCAGCACCACATACAAATAAAGATGTTGTGTCTGCCGAAAACTAAAAAAAATAAATATTAAAAAATTCTCTCTCAAAAAAAAATAATAATAAAAAGGTTTGGGAATATGGCTCAGTAGTTAAACACCTCTGGGTTCAATCCCAGGTACCAAAAAAAGTCAGTCAATTTGGGGCTGGAGGTGTGGCTCTGCACTGGGTTCATTCCTCAGCGCCACAGAAAAATAAAGGTATTGTGTCCAACTACAACTAAAAAAAAAAATAATATTTTTTTAAAAAATCAAGGGCTGGGGTTGTGGCTCAGCTGTAGAGCGCTCACCTAGCATGTGCTAGGCCCTGGGTTTGATCCTCAGCACCACATAAAAATAAATAAAATAAAGGTACTGTGTCCAACTACAATTAAAAAATAAATACTTTTTAAGAAAGTCAATCAATTCAATGATTCATCAATGTAATCATAAAAGGTGAAATTGTGATCATTTTCTCTAATTACCACAATTTCATTTTTTCTATAATACATACCAACAGTACTCTTGAGTGCTAGTGTTTGTGTTGGCAATATAATTTACTGGGGAAAATACAGACGTTTATTGTAACTGTGGACACTACAGGTAAGACAAAAGTCACTACACATGTATAAAGAACAATGCTAAATAGCTGCATTTTAAAAAAGAAATTAACTTTTTACATGGTTTTTACTGATAAGCACAAAACACGACTTGAAGGCACATCATGTATAAATGTGTGTACATTTATGAGCTCAACCTGGCAATTTAGGATTTTATTCATAAGGGCTGTTCTCTCTTTTACAATAATAGTAATTAACATAATAACAAGCTACTTTCATCACATGAGAAGAACACTACAGTGGGTTGGGGTTGTGGCTCAGTGGTAGAGTGCTGGCCTCATATGTGTGAAGCACTGGGTTCGATTCTCAGCACCACATATAAATAAGTGAATAAAATAAAGGTCCACCACCAACTAAAAAAATAATAATTAAAAAAGAACAGCACTATGGTTATCCATGGAACTAAAACCGGACACATCTATGCAATTGAGGAGCATAAGAATAAATCACGTCCCATAAATAGTTCAATTATTATGTGTCCATTAAAAAAGAAATCATAAATGTGGCACTTGCATCCCGCAGAGCTATGTTAACGACAAACGTTGAGCATTTCGATAGACGCAGCATCCGCACCGGTATCTCTCTCCAAGCACTTCTAGCCACTGTCAGTAAATAAGCTCTTCGGTCAATCGGTACATTTTTAGTAGCGGGTACCCTTCCGGCCGCCGCCCGGGGCCGGTCCGAGTAGCGGCGAAACTCACCAAATGCGGCTGAAAAGCGGAGACCCTCACCTGGCCCGGCCTGCCCGCCCGCCCGCCCGCCTCACTCACCGCTTTCCTCTCCGTCCAGGGCTCGCTGCAGCCGGGCCGTCTCGCAGTCTAGTGTGCTGGCCAGAGACCGCAACTTGCAGTAGAAGCTCTGGATCGGGTCCATGGGTGAAGGCAGATGAACAAGAACCTAGGAGCCAGCGGATAAACCTACGCTACGGATCCCTCCAAACCCGCCACTAATTTGAATCTGTAAATGCCGGAAACGTCCTTGCTTCTGCGCAGGCGCAAAAGTCTTCTCTCGTGAGAGCTGAAGTATCACGAGAAGGTCCCGGGTGACCCCGAGAGGCTCACGTGCTTCCATATAGCGTTTGCTGGCCGCGGCAGGGTCGCCAAGTTCTTGGTGAGTGGCTGGGCTCTATGGGTGCGAGGAGAGGCCTTTTCCTCCACTTTAGACTGGTTCCTGTCGCTGTATTGCGGGGGCGGGGGTGAGTGCGCATTTTTGGCTGCTAGGACTAGAATCGCCCGTGGCGTGTGAGCCCGGATTGCGAGCCCTCTTCTCCTCTGGCCCGGCGGTCTCCAGCTTGTGTCTCTAGCTCTGTGCCCTTTCCTCAGCAGACACCATGTTCCTCACTGCTCTTCTCTGCCGCAATCGCATTCCTGGAAGGCAGTGGATCGGGAAGCACCGGCGGCCGCGGGGGGTGTCTTTGTTGGCGAAGCAGAACATGATCCGTCGCCTGGAGATCGAGGCGGAGAACCACTACTGGTTGAGCATGCCCTACATGACGGCGGAGCAGGAGTACGGCCACGCCAGCGTGCGCAGGGCACAGGCTTTCGAGGCCATCAAGGCGGCCAACACTTCCAAGTTTCCCCCACATAGATTTGTTGCAGATCAGCTCAACCATCTCAATGTCACCAAGAAATGGTCCTAACCCTGAGCCATCATCTGCCCTGTCTTTACCTGATCCTGGAACAAAAACCAAGCCAAAAAAAAAAAAAAAAAAAAAAAACAACCCTGTAGTTTCTATGTACATGTGAGACTTCAGGCCAGAATCTTTTTAAAAACAAACAAACATGAGCTTAGTCAAAACGCCTTGATATTTAAAAAAAAACCTAATCACTGACCTAATGTGTTTTGTTTCTTTAACCTGATAGGGAGAGATCAGGGATTTCCTGAGTCATTAATGATATAAACTATTTTACATGGAAGCTTAATAAAACTACGAACTATGATTTGGGGTCTTGGCTTCAGTGGATCTGATAGGGCTTTATTGTGCAACAATAGTTTGTCTACCTTCTGTCAAGAATAGTTGCCTCAACTTAAATGGAAATACGTGCTTTTCCAGTTAAACATACTTCAAAAAATAAATAACATGCTCTTAAAATTAGCATTTTCTGGTCCAGTACACACCTGTAATCCCCTGTACTGGGAGGTTGAGGCAGAGGCCAGCCTCAATAATTTAACCAAAAATAGAGGAGTGGGGGCTGGGGATGTAGCACAGGGGTAAAATGTCCCCTTGGGCTGGATATACACCTCAGTTGGTACAGTGTTTGCCGTGAATGCACAAGGCCCTGGGTTCTAATCCCCAACACCACATAGACACATACACAAATCACCCCTGGACTCAAACCCAATAATACACCTCCATCAAAAAAAAAAAAATTTTTTTTTCTTCTGGGATTTAACTACTAAAAGTAGACATTTAATTGGGGTAAAAGGTATTTATCAGGATTGTTGTCATACCATATCAACCACCAGTTAAAGATTTTTTTTTTTAAGTAAGCTTTTTTTCAGAGTAAAGGTAACCCCAAAGGGGGGGTTGGGGGGTTAGGGAGGGTATAGTGGTGCATGCCTGTAATCCCAGTGGCTCAGGAGGCTGAGACAAGAGGATTTAAAGCCAGCCTCAGCAAAAGTGGGGCACTAAGCAACTCAAGACCCTATCTCTAAATAAAATACAATAGGGCTGGTGATGTGGCTTAGTGGTTGAGTGCCCTTGGATTCTCTCCCCAGTACCAAAAAATAAAAATAAAGTCTTCCTTATAAATTTAACCAAAAAGTATACAAAAATATGTTCTATCACATGAAAATAGAACATACGTTATTTAATATACACTATAAACAGCAATGCTAAATAAATGCATAATTAACTTCTCCCTTCTATTTACTCAGTGAAAAGTATTGTTAGATGTATTTTATTTATATTTATTTTAATTAGGTATATACAATAGCGAATGCATTTTTGATTCATTGTACACAATTGTAGCACAGCTTTGCATTTCTTTGGTTGTACATGATGTAGCGTAGTGTCACACCATCTGTGCTGTCATACCTAGGGTAATGATATCTATCTCATTTCATCATCTTTCCTGCCCTCATTTCCCCTTCCCGCCATCCCTCCCCTTTGCCCAAAGTTTCTCTATTTTTTCCATGCTCTCCCCCATATGGATCAGCATGTACATATCAGAGGGAACATTTGGGCTTTGATTTTTTGGGATTGGCTTACTTTGCTTAGTATGATATTCTCCAGTTCCATCCATTTACCTGCAAATGCCATAATTTTATTCTCTTTTAGTGCTGAGTAATATTCCATTATGTATATGTGCCACAGTTTCTTCATCCATTCATCTACTGAAGGACATCTAGATTGGTTCCAGTTTAGTTATTATTGTGAATTGTGCTGCTATGAACTTTAATGTGGCTGTGTTACCATAGTATGTTGATTTTAATTTCTTTGGGTATAGACTGAGGAGTAGAATAGCTGGGTCAAATGGTGGTTCCATTCCAAGTTTTCTAAGGAATCTCCATACTGCTTTCTGTTAGGGTTGCACCAATTTGCAGTCCCACCAGCAATGTATGAGTGTGCCTTTTTCCCCACTTGATTAATGATATTTTTCAGAGTGGTTTAGCCCATTAGACAATCTAAGAAAATTGAAAATATTGACACTATTTCATGTTGGGACCTCTGCTGACCATGGAAGTGCAATCACTGGGGAAAAAGAAATCCCCAGTCTTGTGATTCTGGTTTTGTGATTCTCCATGTACATGACAGTTAGAGCTTGAGAAATGGCTTCCATATACGTGCCTGAACGGCCCCAAGATATGGCTTCTGCAAACATAAAGAATAACTCCCCAGCAACGGGGCACACATATCTAATGGGGTATTGTTTCTATAACTGGGGTAATGGGGCTGTTTCTGTAACTGGGGTGCCTAGGCTACCCCAACCTGGGGGACTCTCCGATCTCTGATTGGCCCCTGCTTTTGTCCCCCCCACCTTCTCCTCTCTCTATATAAATCCTCTCCCTCTGCTTCTCAAACTAGCCTTCCTTTCTGTATAAATCCCCCAAAGTAGGGTTGCTACAGAGGTTATGTACAGTAAAAACTTTGACCCTTATTGCCCAATTCCTTTTTTTAAAGTTAGATCATTCTATACTCTTACCAAAAATGCTTCTATGCCTACAACCTCAGCAATTATTCTAAGAAAAAATAACATTAATTGCTTTCATATATTTATTTAATGAAAGTAAACATCTTTTCATATGTTGTACTACTGATAATTATTTTTTTGGTGTGAATTTTGTTCATTCTATATCCACTAAAGTAATTATTGTGGTTTTGGGGATTAAACCCAGGGCCTTACACAAACTAAACATTCTGCCCCTGAGTTATACTTAGACCCTCATTTTTTATTAGTGTACTGTTTTTTTGTTACCAGCATTATACACCTTTCTTATCCCACTATAAAAGACTTTACCCTTATTTTCTTGAAGTACCTTTCATCTTAAAATAATTAAGTTAGTGAGACATCTGGCATTGTTTTGAAGTACCATTGTGAAAGACAAGGAGCTCTATTTTTTCCCAAATGGTTAGCAGTGGTCTGGCATCATATCTTTTCTTCACTGTTTCTTTTTAAATAGTATGCACATGGTACAAAAAGGAATATGGAGAAACAGAGCCTTTTTTTTTTTTCTTTTTTGGTACCACGGATTGAATTTAGGGGCTATTAATCCCCAGGCCTCTTTAAGAAAAAATAATTTTTTTTGAGACAGGGTATTCCTAAATTGCTTAGGGGCTTGCCAAGTTGCTGAGGCTGCCTTTCAATCTGCAATCCTGCCTCAGCCTCCCATTGTTGGGATTATAGGCATGCACCACCCTGACCAGCTAGAACATGGTCTATTTCTGGTTTCCTTCTTTGGGGGCAACCTTCTTCATATTGACTGTATATCCTTTCAGATATTTAATTGCACTTACAACCATAAATTAAGGTGAGACATATATGTCATTTGCAATCTTGTTTTGCTTCATACAGTCCTGCGATGAATATCCTAATATAAAATACAACATATCTATACAACTCCTAAAAGTAGAATTGAGGTGTCAAAAAATATGAACATTTGAAAACTTGATGAATGTTGCCAAACCAAAGTGCTCTCCAGAGACTGCACCAACATGAACAACTACTAAAACATGAAAATTTGATCAATTTTTTTCAAATTTAGGAAAATTTTGTAGGTTCTGGAACTCACTTTATTGAGAACCTAGGAACACTACAGGAAAATTTAATAGATATGAAATTCATAACAATTCCTTTCTGATCTTATGTTCATTTTGTGCGTGGCTACTACAAAACAAATCAGTCTTCAAGAATTTATTGTAGTTCACTTAAAAGTATGTATAATAAACAACAAAGCGAAATAAGTAATAGAAATACAGTGTTCTAGGTAGCACTGAAGGTATTAACCTGGCTTAGAGGCCAAGAGGAAGTACAACAGAAGGTTAATAGAGATAGAAATCCTGATGAAAACAATCTCCTTATATTGAGAATAGAGAAGATAGAGGGTTTAAGAACCACAAGTGATGAATTACTGAGTATAAACATCACCTAAATCCTATCTCCTATCTGGTGGAAGGCACTGACAAGGTGGGGTCAAAGACACTAACATTAATGTTACAAATTTGTTAAAACACCCATAAAAATCTGTTGTATTGAAAAACTTAGTTCCCATCCCTGTAAATTCTGGAAGACATAGTAAAACATATATATAAGAGAACAGCATTACTAATTGCCAGTGGGGCTCCAAAAAGCCAGTCTATAAGAAATGAGAAAAGTAAAGCCATATTGATGTTATTTAATGAAAGTAAACATCTTTTTTTGGTGTTAAATCAGGCTTTTGGCCATTTAGTCGTTACTCCTCCTCTCTAGTCCCAAAATAATGTTTTGAATGGGGTAGGGAAAGGTTGGTTCATCTCTACTGGCCTCTATTGTTCTTGTGAACATTTTGAAATTTAACTATCCTAAGAACTGGAAATCAGCTCAACCTCAGAGCCTTCTGTTTTTATTTGTCCGTCCATATTAGAACTGAAGGGAACCCAAACACAGATGGCATAAAAGAATAAACAAGATAAAATCTATTACCTGGCATTTAGCCACGACTCAATAACTTCATAGTGATGTGAAGATACTCAAGATCCTAAAGTAACTTCTGAAATTATGATTAGTAAAAGCTAAATGAAACTCTTTAGGTATTAAATTAAACTAGTAAATACAACTTTATTGCACCGTGTACATATCATCTTAGAGGAGGTTTTCCTAAATTATTAGTCTATTTCTGTAAAATACTATAAGATTTTCAAATTGACCAAAATAATAATTATTTTTCTCATCTGGCAAATACCACTTTATAACAAAAACAAACAAAAAACTCAAAAACAAGACTGTATATATATTTATTTATTTATTAATAAAGTAAATATGATTTTTGAAAAAAATTGTTTAATTGTTCTGCATAAATGTTAATGTAGGTTAGGCCATCCAAAAGACAGAGTCAACATTAAGTAATGGTCCAGGATTATACAAATGAGAAATAAATACAAGGTTTATGGTTCTTCATAAGACAACCAAGGTAAACTGTATTTCAAATTTGTTTCTATAAAAGCATTATTAAAGATCACTTTTAAAATAGAGTCCATCTTTTCTTTTAAATGGGCATAGACTCATCTGCAATCATATACAAATATAATTAACTTAGCTAGTAGCTTTCTTACTCTTTTATTACAAATGTATCCTTGCTTCTTTATGCAACCCAACAAAATAATATAGAGGAGTCATCAGAAAAATATGGACTTTCTTAATCTACACTGCATTTTAAATTGAAATTGAAAAAAATACAGTTTAGATCATTATGAAACATGGATTTCAGATTTACAGACTACCTGTATCTAACAGGTTATTAGATATGGTCTTTATTTTGGCTGAAATGCAAAAATATGATTAATTTCTTAATAACACATTAGTTAAAAATATTTTTCATTGACAGCAGTGCTAGTCCTAAAACAAAATGTAAGTGAAACTTACATGTAAGTTACTGTCTATTCAATGCCCCAAATATGCAGGTCCTTTGTGTATACATTTTCAAGACAACTGAATGGAGAATCTCACATCTGATCATCTTAAATGCTCCTGTAAACATAGTCAAAATTTGCTTTCTAATAGAAATAAAATTCAAGTAAACACTGTATATTTGATTCAAACTCATCTTACAATTATACTCACTTGTGACACACTGGATCATAACCATTGAATATGTAAAAAGTTTTTTTAAAAAATCATTTTCATGTAAAGATGCACTAAGCTGTGTAAACATGTTCAACCACTAATATACTGCAGCTGCTCTTTGGTTTGGCATAATGATATTTTGTCAGAGAACTCAGGTATCAAATCTTCAAGTAAGTCTGTGCCCAGGTAAACCAAGACTCCTAATTTGTTTTTAATGGCAATGGCAAGACCTGAAATTCAACCTTGTTTTTCCTCAGTATCATCACAAATGTTCAAGTGTTTGAAGGATGAAAAATAGTAATAATTAGAAATTTTGGCAAGGCTTCATTTTGACCTTTCTCCTCAAACAGTTGATATCAGTAATCAATACCAGTTGAAATACCAAAGAGGCAGCCTTTTCCTGGTTCCTATACCACTGGTAGGCTCTTAATGAATTGTCAGTAAAATGTATGAATAAATTCAGCTAGATTATTTAGAATATGGCAAAATGTTGGCTGTAATTAAATCAAAGGTAACTACAGTAAAAGTCTTAAACTGAAAATTTCTGAAAAGGTGTTTGTTTACTATGCTATTAAAGATATTAAATAACAAATGAGAAGAATTAAGAAAGATTATAATTCCACTTTTAAAAGTGCCTGAATAGGTTAAAGGGGAAAATTAAGCTTTTGCAATTGTTAGCCAGGTGCATGCAAATCCTCTGATCTAAATATAGATATACAAAAAGGATCAGAACATTTCTGAAAATAGTGAAGTACAGATAAACATTTACTCACTCTTTATAATATACAAACCACCAAACTGACATGTTCTTGGTTGGTAACTGATTTCTCTTAACTCTCATTCTAGTTTTCCAGAATTAAGATTAAAGAATTGAAATGAAGATAGAAGAAACCATATTATAGGACTCCAAAGTGTTTTCAAAGCTTAATTGTTCCTTTGGTCTAAAGGGGAAAAAAAATTACTTTTTAAGATTTAATAGCCGGTGGGAATTAAGCAAATCCTTCAAACTATAATCTTGGAACATCAGCTATAAAATTTATGCTAGATTTAAACAGTTATCCCTAGTATACTGGTTAACATTAGAAGAAACTGCTAAAATATTTGTTAGAGGGATGAAAAACAAGGTTATTTTGCAAAATCAGGCATTGCAGAATGTTAGAAATCATCCAGTCCAAAATATTGAGGACCCATGCTTCCATTTTATATATATGGAAATTACAGCCTCTGATACTTACTTAAGCTGCTAAGATTTCACTCTACCCATCTACTGGAAGCAACCAATCATTTCAAGGATGTGTATCTGATTCAATAGTATAAATGAGAAGTAACATTTCTACATTATCTTTTAATATGATATTGTACTATTCTCTAGAATACAGCAATTCATGTCATTTAAGTTAAGATTTTAAAAGGAAAAGTGTATCTGGCGAGAATAAACTGCTAATAAGAAGTCAGATTTAAGATTTTGCAGTTAAGAGTAGAATCCACTTCTCAGAGACTGGGACTTTTAAATGACTACTCAGATTTAGAATTTCTTCCTAAAAGCAGTATTACTCTCAAGTATTGTTCCTACTTTATACTTTAAGTCACTGTTTATAAGTTATAGGATCACTATAAAAAGTTTCAAAGAAAAATTTAGTTATTACTTAAATTGAAATTTAAAAGTCAACTCAACAGCATGTTTTATTCTCAATACATTTAGCACTGAAAAAGAAAAAAAAATTTTTTTTTCCCCAGTACTGGCAATTGAACCCAGGGCCTCATGCATGCTAGGCAAAAACTCTACTACTGCACTAAATCCCCAGCCCTTTTTATTTTATTCTGAGACAGGGTCTTGCTAAATTGCCTGGGCTGACCTCAAACTTGCAATTCTCTTGCCTCAGCCTCCCCAGGAATTGGGATTGGGTGTACTAATGCATCTGGCTTGAAAATATTTTTCAACACCTTACAGTATCCTGTCTACCTTTTTCTTTATTTTTCTTTTAGCCACTTCCATCTATCCCTATTGTGCCCAACTTTTCTATATCACAAATACCTTTGTGTTTCCCCTACCCATATAAATAACCCCTGACAGTTCAACAAAAAGTAATAAAAAAAGCATTGTACCCAAAATATTTCTTATACTTCCAAGATTTTTTTAAGCCTTTGGCATATACTATACTACATGGTTGTAGTAATGCTTCTAAGCCATCAATAAATTATCCCCATGAATTCTATGTTCTAAATGATTAGATATCTGAATCATTCTGAGTGTTATTATAGCCAACAATAAAAAATTTTATTAAAAATGTTGAAAAGTATAAAATAGTAATTATAAATTAGCAAATACTCAATAAAAAAGCAGTTATTTTCTTTCTCTTATACAGTACAAGCAACAGTAATTTGGATATTATTCACTTTCAGCCACCATTTACCCTAGATATACTTCATTTAAGACAAGTTTTTAGTTTGTGTTTTTGGAGTGAGAACCTATCTGAATACCAAGAAATAATTCTAATATTGTAATTCAGATATCAAAAAAAATACTTATGCACATAAGTGATGACAGCACATATTATAGCATGTCGTAACAGGTATTATTTCCAAAGTAAAATCAAGTCACTTTTGAGCTGTGAGTCAATGTTGCACAAATGGACACTTAAAATTAAGGCATCATTCTGCTTGTAGTGCTCCTGTGGATCCAGCGAACTGTACAAAGGCTTCCTTTTTTAAAAAATATATCTTCTGTTATACTCAAATTATTTCATTCCTTTGATCATTTTCTTGCAAATAAAATTGAAAATATCAGTCGACAATGTGTTTTTATACACCTATGAAAACAGAAACAATTGAATTAGTTAAAATTAGATTTTTTTATTTCTCAAAATATTAAATGGCTCTGTGGGCTAAGATATAAAGATGATTCTATTATAAGATAGGAAATAAATTCTTTATTGTTACTAAATTTGTTTATTTTTTAATTAAAAAAACTTTTTGGTACCAGGTACTGAACCCGGGGTACTTAACCACTGAGTTACATCCCCAACCCTTTTTATTTTGAGATAATATCTCACTAAATTGCTTTGGACCTTGCTAAGTTGCTGAGGCTGGTTTCAAACTCTGGATCCTCCTGCCTCAGCCTCCCGAGTTGCTGGGATTACAGCTGTGCACCACAGTGCCCAGCTAATGTTACTAAAGTTTTTTACTTTTTTTTTTTTTTTTAGTTGTAGATGGATACATTTATTTATTTTTATGTGGTGCTGAGGATTGAACCCAGTACCTCACAAATGCTAGGCAAGTACTCTACCACTAAGCTACAACCCCAGTCCCAACGTAACTAAATTTAATAAAGATTTTTTAATAAACAGTAAGTAGGGAATAACCCTTTCTTTTCCTAAGGAATCAAGATTAACAGAGGGGGATTCTTTTTTAAAAAAATTATTTATTTTCGGGCGGGGGATGTGGCTCAAGTGGTAGCACGCTTGCCTGGCATGCATGCGGCCCGGGTTCGATCCTCAGCACCACATACAAACAAAGATGTTGTGTCCGCCGAAAACTAAAAAATAAATATTAAAAATTCTCTCTCTCTCTCTCTGGACTCTCTCTCTTTAAAAAAAAAAAATATTTATTTATTTTAAGAGGGGAATTCATCACTTCCTGATGTTAACATGGGAATCATCAGATGAGGTATCTACCTTCACCTCTTCAGAGTTTGCTGTAGATGTGGGGAAGTTCCCACAGTGTCCATTAGAGAAACTTCAGCTAGTGACTCTCAACAACCACAAGTTTCAGTCAGTATCCTGCCTACATTAAGAAACAATGTAGAAGCAGTACTGAGCGCCTCTCCAGGAACAAGGGCTGTTTCATAGCTACGGCTTTTGGTACAAGTCTATGTTTGCACATACACTTTAGTTCCTCTTCAGACCACAGCCTACTCTGCCCAATGTGACACTCTGCCAAGCCATCCCAAGCTTGTGATCTCATTCTGTCCTAGGTCCTAGGCTTCAGCTCTACTTGTGGACACAGGCACCAGGTCTGCTGTAAGGACCTGATTAGCCTCTGATGAGCCTGAAATCAAGTAAGCTGATGCTCTGCTAGTTGAGACTCCATGTGAGATACCTTTGGAAAACTGAACTGCTGGAAAGGAACTGGTAGTAACTGTGCACAGTTGTCCTAAGCAGTAAATTTGTGGTAATTTGTTACACAGCAACAATCTGTTGGTGTGTCTTTATAAAACTAAATAAATAACATCATGAACATCTTAAATCTTTTTCAGCCTGTAATCATTCTTCTCTGGATCAAATTGTGGGCAAAAATCATCTTTAAAAAAAAACTAATAAGGTACTGTTTACTGAAAAGTTAGTTGTCCACATACCAATCATAAACTATTTCTATTTTTCCTTCATTTATCTCTCCAACAAATGTTTTTTTCATTGTGCTAGGAGTAGTAAGAGAAACGAAATTTTGGCATATGTTACCCTCCAATCTTTTCTATACTATTGTATTGATATAATGAAAAAAAAAAAGCAAATGTTTTGAGGTTATGAAATATGCAAATATAAACTACATTTGCTCAAGGAAATTACCTTTATACTGTCTTACCTTGGTTTTATCAAATGGTTAGTTATGAACAAGTGGTACTCAATTTTCTATTGCCACTGTAACATGATTATTTGTCCCTGTAAGCACATAATTATATATGACATGAAAAAAATATTAAGTTCCTGGCTAAATGATAAAATTGATTACAGTAAAGACAAATATTATGTAAGCACTAAATATGTTTATAGCACAAACCATTTGCCTTCTCTACACGGAGAAGTGAATAAAGAGCATTGTGTCAGAAGTCTAGTTTCATATTTAGCCCCATAGTATACAACGGCATTAAAGATGTTAAGCAGCAATAATTTAAAAGTCCATAAAATGAATTTTTCCACTTATACAAGATCCTAAATAAGATTCTAAACTTACTAATTTAAGAAAATGTTTAAATGCTGCTAAAAGCCAAAGAAATACTTCTTTCTAAAGAAGATAAATTCTGACAGCAAGTTTTTAGTATTATTTCCTAGAGTTGGTACAAATTGATTTTAAGATCTCAAACTTTTTTTTTTTTTAACAGTGCAGGAAGACACGACAATATTATTATTCCTATTAAGAAATACCTCATGCTGAGCATAGTGGCGCATGCCTGTAATCCCAGTGGCTCAGGAGGCTGAGGCAGGAGGATTGCAAGTTCAAAGCCAGCCTCAGCAAAAGCAAGATGTTAAGCAACTCAGTGAGACCTTGTCTCTAAATAAAATACAAAATAGGGCTGGGGAATGTGGCTCAGTGGCTGAGTGCCCCTGAGTTCAATCCCTGATACTGCCCCCCCCCCAAAAAAAAAGAAACACCTCAGACATGTATTCAGCTAGTTAAGTAAACCCAGATCTGATTAAAAATCCCACTTCAATTTTATCAACTACTCTATAATTCATGAAATGAGTCATTAAGAAAGGTTAAAACAAGAGGGGGGAGGTGTAGCTAAGTGATAAAGCACTTGCCTAGCACCTGTATGGCCTTGGGTTTGAGCCTAGAACTATATAGAAAAATAAAGCACATTCAGTGTATCTTTTCTTTTGTGGGGGCGAGGAGAGTGTTGGGGGTGGAACCCAGGCCCTCATGCATGCTAGGAGAGTGCTGTACCTCTAAAGGTACATCCTAGTCCCCATATTCCTTTAAAATATTTTTGAGACAGGGTCTTGCTAAATTGCCTAGGCTGGCCTTGACCTATAGTTTCTCCTGCCTCAGCTTCTCAAATAGTTGGGATTACAGGTGGGCCTTACCACACTGGGTCCAGTGCACTCTTAAAGAGTACTATAATTTTTAAAAATTAGTTTCAATAAGTATGAGCTAGAATCCTGAATAATAGTTATTTAGAACATTATTTGAAATAGCGTATGTCAAAAGGACTTTCCACACTACTGAAGAAATGTGTGGTTGGAAAACAAAAAAAACAGCTGAATGCAATAAAAAACATTATACCTGCCTTTCTCTGCCCCCTTTCCTCACAGAAGCCGCCAATAAACACAAACATCCCATTTATAAGACATTTTATTACAGTTTCACATTTCAGTATTTCAAAATATCACATTGCTTTGTTTTTTTCAACATTTATTAAATCTGTTGCTTTTCATTTGAACCAAATAGGTGAAGCAGTGTTTTCAGGTGAGAATTATTACCTGATCTGACAACACCTTCTTCAGCTCCATTCTCTAGCCATTGAGATTCATTGTCCAACAAACGGTTTTTTGATTCACTAAGTGGTCTGATAGGAAAAGGTTGATTTGAGCCAATACTGAAAAGAGGAACAAATAACTTAGTAAATTGTTTAATGCTAAATTAAGGATACTTAATAAATTAATAAGCAGCATATTAGTATTCCTTCTCCTAAATATGTGAGGGCAACTCATGGGATCTCAGCCATCTGAAAAAGCCACCTTGAAAAGGAAAATATGCCCACGGACCCCCCCACCCCAATGAAATGGCTCTCTGGACCCAAGAATCTGTATTCTAAAACTGCAAATGAAACAATTAGACAAAAGAAAAAAGCTTCAGAGGCCAGTCTGAAAAGTTTTAACACTATGTTAATCAGGTGCCATAAGGTAGTATGAGGACAGGTGAGGAGCTATGACTGTGGCCAGTACAAAAAAATTACCTGTCATTTCCCAAGTTTTCTGCTTTCTACCTCGCCAGTTTAGATCTAAGGGGAAAAAATGATTTAGTGATTTAGCGTTGACTTATTTTTCTAGCTAAGAGAACCAGGGAAGGAGGGGAATGGAGGAAGGAAAGGAGGAAAAGGAATAAAAATTTATTTGGTGTCTGATGTGGGCCAGAGAGTGTGCTAGACTCTATAAATGTGTATGTATGCACATCATTTTGACCCTTTCAGTAACCCCTGGAGGCAAGTCTCATTATCTTCATTTTACAGAGGTGGAAACTGAGGCTCAGACAGTTTCAATGACTTGTTCAGAGACTACAATAAATGTTAGAACTCTAAGTTCTAAGGCCTTAGGTTGTAGGTTCTAAGGCCTATGTCTTCTAATATTAATATGTTAGCTTGGAACTTATGACCCCTCCTCCTCTATAATCTATTTCTGTCATAAATATGGCTCAACTATTTCACTTTGGCAGAATTTTCTCTAGATTCTTTAAAATTTCATTTAAATTGAACTATTTCACGGAATTGATGAAAATTTGCTTACCATACAAATATTATGAGAAAAAATTCCTTAAGATGAATAAGAAAAAATTGTTTAAATCCTCATTATTTTGATAGTATAGCTAAAAACCTACTTATCATAATAAAATGGTAACTAGTATAATGACTAATTTCTTTGAAGAATACCTCACTTTTTAGGAAGATGCACCATATTTACTTGCTTCCTAGTTTGCCCAGACATTTCCAACATTTTGTGATTGTCCTAGTTTTAAATTTTTTTTTTCTTTCAGTAGTGGGATTGAACTCATGGCCTCACATGTTCCAGTAAAGAGCTCTATCACTGAGCCACATCCCCAGCCTGCATATTAGGCACATATACATATTAAACTTCAGTTAAAAACTTTAAATAGATTTTTTTCTTATCTATGGTGGCTTACTGGATTATTGTTGTACATATTCATAAGATATGTATGTATAACACAAGTATATAGTTGTTTAGCAAAAAAAAAAAAAACTTAGGGACAAAAAAAGCACACCTTCTGGAATGTTCACTTTGGCCTGTAGCAGCTTGTTCTGGATCCATCCCAACAAGGCGAGTTGGAAAACTGCAACCATCACCCAAACTGCATAATGAGAAACAGTGATAACCTGAATCATATTAAGTTATTCAAAGTGGTCAAATTTAATGTCTTTCAGGAGCATGGGAGAAAGAAATGTTCTTTTCAGAGAATAATTCCTAGGATTTCTAATTTAGAAGGCTTCTACCTCTAATGAAGGCTCTTTTCTTTTATAATTTACACATAGTTAGAAATAATCTACTAAGATCTACTAAAGATTATGATGCCTAGTTTACACCTCAAACAGAACTATTCAAGTATGTGGATAATTGAGTTTTCATTATAATCATTTAAGACATCATCCAGGCTAAATGAAATTCAAGATATAAGTTCCACATGTTTATTCATTCAACAACATTCATTAAACAAATATCTAGGGCTGGGGATATAGCTCAGTACTGAACTCCTTGAATGGGTGAGTTCCTGGGTTGGTTCTCTAGTTAATATTGAGCACTACAAAACAATAAAAACCCCAATGTCATAGGTATCTGTTGAATACCTATGATATTCTGGGTAATATTTTACACACTAGGGTTATAACAGTGAACAAAAGAAAATCTCTATCTTCAAGAAGCTTACAGCCAAAAAAGGTTAAGTTATATCTTACTTTCACTTTTTTTTTTTTTTTTAATATGGAGCTTCATGAATTTATATGTCATCCCTGTGCAGGGACCATGCTAATCTTCTCCATATCATTCCAATTTTAGTATATGTGCTTAACATACCACAACTGTATACAACAGAGCAAAAAAAAAAAAACTTAGGGACAAAAAAGGCCAAGAGAGAATAACTGGTAAATTTGCCCATAGTCTTAAACAGCCAGAAACTGGACAGCATACAACATAACTTTTTAAAAAACAGAACAGGACTGTGGTCTCAGAAAGAAAAAAAAAAAGAAGTGAGTCCCAGCTTTTTGCCAGAACCTCAGCATCAGGAGGGGAATCCAAGCAAAGTAAGGTAGTTATATTGCATTGAGGTAACAGAGATAGGAGCTTTGAGAAGCCAAGTGGCAAGAATTTATAAGACATAGCTGAGAAAGAGGAAGACACACAGAGAAATGGCTACAGATATATCCACATACTGTACTTGAATCTTTTGATGAACAGTAAGCTACACAGGTGAACTGGGAAAAGAACATTGGGAAGTGTAAGTTGAACAGATTCACAGTTTCCACAAGGAGGCATTAAAATTGACCAGCCAGAATACAGAGATCTCACTGAACACATGGTTTTGAAAGAAACCCCACCTTTATTATAGCATTAAACTAGCTGCAGAGAAAATGCTATGCTGGATCCATCCTAGTGAAGCTTAAAATAAACCTCAAAAATCCCAAACTGAGCTTGACATGATGGTGCATGCCTGTAATCCCAGTAGCTCGGGAGGTTGAGACAGGAGGATCACAATTTCAAAGCCAGCTTCAGCAATTTAATGAGGCCCATCTCTAAAGTAAATACTAAGAAAAAGGTCTGCAGATGTGGCTCAGTGGTTAAGCACCCCTGGGTTCAATCCCCAGTGCCAAAACAAACAGCAACAACAATCCCAAGCTGAAACATAAGTACCCACCTGCCAAAACAAAATTCAATTCTTTATACAGACAATAAAATCTAGATACTCAGCAAAATAGCATTCAAAATGTCACCAGCCAAAAGAAAGTTACTAGGCATAAAAAGCAGCAGAAAATGTGATCTCACAGCTAAGGGGTGGGGTGGGGGGTGGAGGTGCAAATCAATAGAAAAGAATCAGAAAATCAGCAATTTCAGTGAAAGACTTCAAAACAGTGATTATAAATGTGAACTTAAAGGAAAAGTGGATACACAGAAAATAAATATGAGATATAAAAAAGAACCAAACTGACATTCTAAAGCTGAAAAATGCAACATCTATAATGAAAAAGTCATTGGATAAGTTTACCAACACAGTAGACAATGTAGAAGAAGAGATCCATGAATTTATAGATAAAACAAGAGAAACTAACCAAGATGGAGCAAACACAGAAAAGAAGATGGGAAACAAGGATAGAACAGCAAATCAGAAAATGACTTGTGGGTCACTACAAAGCAATTTAACATATATATACTTGAGAGTAGGAAAAAAAAAAGCTGTTGGGGAAAGGGAATAAAAGAGTGCAGTAGGCAAAAGAATAAAACCACACAAACAAAAAATATAAAACTACAACAGAACAACTAAAGACATAATCAATAAAAATTTTCGAATCTGATGAAAACCATAAATTTACAAATTCAAGAAGCCTTAAAGATCACTAGGTAGAATAAACACCAAGAAATATCATCATGTTCAAACTGCTTAAAACCAGTGGGGAAGTTAAAATTTTAGAACCATGGGGATGTGCTGACAGTAATTTGCAATTTGCAGAATAAAGTAAGAGGTTGGTTGGGCAGAAACCATGCAAAGCAGAAGATAACAGAAACATATCTTTAAAGAAAGGGAGGAAAAAAAAACATGAATTCATTGATTAGAGGAAATAACAATTAGTCCTGTTCCAAACACTGGGAATAGAAAAATCTTGAACACATGAGACAATTCATAAAGTAAACAAAAGGAAGTAATGAATCTGAGTACATAGCAATAAGATCTATAAAAAATGAAACTTACAAAGATGGAACAAAAATGTACATTAACTAAGCTGTGGAAAACCCTTCAGAATAACTCATATGTAGTTGATGTTGCTGCAGTAATAAGAAAGAAGATAAAAGAAAAAATGGTTAACAATTTTTCCTATATTGATGAAAACTACAAAACCAAGGCAAGAAGGTCAACTAATCCAAGCACAAGAAACACGAAGAAAATTAAACCAAGGTTTGCCATAATCAAACTTCATCAAAGTAATAACAACCAAAGAAAAGACACATTATATAGAAAGTGAAAAAGTAAGAGTGACCACAAACTTCTCAAAAGAAAAAATGCAAGTCAGGAGACAGTGAAACAACATCTATAATTCTATTAAGAAGAAATGTCCTTCACAAATGAAATCCAAATAAGTCATTTTCAGCCTCACAAAAAAAGGCAATTTGGTTAATTAAGGAAAAACCCTATGACTCAAACCAGTCTGCCACACTAATTTCAAATTTCCCTCCCTTTTCTATAATGTCTTTGGTATACAGATGGCCTAAAAGAGCTGGGAATTACAGGGAGAAATGAAAATTCAATCAACTTGAACATATTTTTCTTTTACCCTTGAGGTAAAACTGCATATGTGTTTGGTTTTCTTTTTCTTTTTCTGAATGAAGTGTTTTTAAAACAAGCTCTGCCAAGTTTTATTAAAGAAAAATTTTAAATGTTTTACTTTTCACCAGTCTGTTCTGGCATGCTTCTAATGATATAAGAATCACCTGGATCAATGATAGACAGTGTGCACACTCTGTAGTATTTTCCACATGCTGTGCCCAATTCAATATTATTGCCACTGTAGTGATGGACACCAGTTTTGGCCAACATGGCATAGTACTCTATTTCAGATTTCCTCAAAGTGGACAATTGTTGGAGAGGATGACCAATTTCGCTTTGCCCTGTCTGATCATCTTCAGAGTTTGCTTGTAGCCCAGTACATACTTTCCTCTTTTCAAAACAAGATGGAGCCGAGAGTTGATCGACTCCAGAGACTTTTTCGTCTTTTTTGGGGCCACTATCTTCCTGCCTTAGATGTAGGAGGGCCCCCCACCAAGAGCAGCCATCAAGATGGCCAGAGAGCTAGAAAGGAAGGCGTGTTTGGTTTTCTTTAAGAATGAAAAACACATAATTCACATCCGTGATGGAATCTTTGTAGCTATGGGTGAGAGGTGTAAATTCTTAAGATTCTTTATTTTAGTTTATTTTCTTTCTTTTGATTTTTTTTTAGTTGTAGATGGACACAGTAACTTTATCTTTATTTATTTTTTATGTGGTGCTGAGGATTGAACCCAGGGCCTCACATATGCAAGGCAAGCACTCTACCACTGAGCTACAAATCCAGCCCATGTTTTCTTTCTTTTTTTTTTTTTTTGATGCTGGGGATTGAACCCAGGGCCTTGTGCATGCAAAGCAAGCATTTTACCAACTGACTATATATCCAGCCCTTCTTTCTTTTTCAGTTGTCAGTTGACCTTTATTTTATTTATTTATATGTGGTGCTGAGAATCAAACCCACTGCCTCACACATGCTAGGCAAGCACTCTGCCACTGACCCATAATCCCAGCCCGCAGTTTATTTTCATTTGGAAGGAAAAAGTGATTCTTATTGTTTTACAAGTCATCTTTTTTTTTTCCACTTACCATTCAAATATTTGTTCAAACTTTCCTTTACTGTTTATCTAATAAAAACATTTTATATGCAATCAATGTATTTGAATTTTCATTTCAAGGCTTGTAAAAATGTCACAATGTATTATATTCTCTGAATGAATCTTAAGATATTTTACCAGAGATATTGATTACACAGACTCCATAATTTCTCAGAACTACATTTTATAAATTACCTTGTAAATATTGGAAGTAACCAATATTTCTTTTCGTCACCAAAGACTTGTCTCCAGTTTTTACTGTATCCAAGAGAGAAACCATGTGCATCAACTCCATATGAAAATGTGGGTGTACGAAATGATTCTGTTAAAAGAAAAAAAAAAATAACTACATATATACTAATTAACCTATTTAAAAAATTATAAAATAATATAATTATTTGTGTCTTTGACAAGAAAAACTAAAACTTCAACATAAAAAACTATAAATACCATTTAAATAAAGACTTGAAGCAATTAAAAGAAAAACTAGAATAATATGAGGTGAGAGATATGGCAATTATCCTAATCTGATCATCATTATACTTTTCATACATTTATTGAAATGTCACACTATATTTCATAAATATACAATTACTATGTGTCAATTAAAAATAAAATTTTTTAAAAGATAAATTTCTGAAACTTATTTGGGAAAAAGTACATTTTTCATCAATCATATAAAATAACATGTCAAAATATAATTATCTGGTATTACTGAAAAATCTAATAAAGTATGTTATATCTTATTTTACTTGACTTCTATTTTTAAAAGATACTTCCAACTTTACTCACCATTTATGAACTTCTTACTATGTTCCTGATATCACAGTATCAAGTATTTGGGACTCAAAGATAAAATGAGACAAAATTTCTATCAAAGAACCTACAGTCTAACAAAACTACATGTGAGAAGCACTAGGGACACAGAGTTCCCTAGGGACACAGAGGTGAAAGAACCCAATTTTATCTAAATAGGGACCTATGTGGGTCTTGAGGGGTCTTGATAGAAGAAGGTGAAAGATGGAGATGGTGGCACTTGATCGTGATTATCTTGAAAACCAAGTAAGGGAATGAAGCAGAAGGTGGTTATAGACCATTATTTCAACCTTGGTTGTAAAGTGACATAGAGTGAGGTCTAGAGAAAGATAAATGTTTTATGAGTTTTATATTTTTAAAAACATAATGTGCTTCAGCATATTTTATAAGCTAAGGATAATGAGAAGAAGCCATGGCACTGGGAGAAACTGATGAAAGAGTAAAATTGAAGGAAAGGATCCCAGAAGAGATGAGAAGGCATTTAAAAATTAATTTTTTTTTTTTTTGTATTGGGGATTGAACTCGGGGGGCACTCGACAACTGAGCCACATCCCCAGCCCTATTTTTTTGTATTTTATTTAGAAATAGGATCTCACTGAGTTGCATAGTGCCTTGCTTTTGCTGAGGCTAGCTTTGAACTTGCAGTCCTCCTGCCTCAGCCTCCTGAGCTGCGGGGTCTAAAGAAAAATTTTGAACAAGAGAAAAGACATCTTTCCTCAAAAGTTATATGGAAAGTGACAATGAAAGGAGAAATGTCTGTAGAAGGCTAGAAAGGTGTGAAGACAAAGAGTTCACTTATGACTTCTAATTTTTCTGCGAAGGACTAACAAATGGGTAAGAAGAGTAGGAAAAATGGTGATAATCTGGAATTATATCATGGGTAACAGGTGAAGAACCTCACCAGAAATGCATGACATTACAGTCAAACAGATTTGAGGGTTCCAGTGAGATCTGAGACCTTCAATCTGTAATTATAATATTTTCTATGGAATTAAGGTTTCTTTGATCTGTCAACAGTCCTGTTTATCCATGTGGATAAAGTAGATGGTTAGAAAACCCAGGTCATGGATTAGCAAAGGAATCATGGGAGAAACCTAGGGACAGAAGATATAAGAATGCTGTGAAGAGTTGCTGAAGTCATTTTATCATAGGATATAAAATGGCCAATGGTAAGAAATGAAACTAGAAGAGAAAGAAAATCTCATGAGAAGTGTTGGATAATGGAGCACTCAGTAACAGAAAAAAGGCTACAAGATGGTAGTCAGAAAATGAAATACTGAAGTTTAAAATTTCATATTCAGAAGTTCTTCAGTTCCATGTGATTAAAAGGTTCGATGTGTGCTTTATGGGAATGAGCAGCCAACAGAACTGAAGAGATTACTTTGCTTGTTTGAGATAACAGCATTAGTTTGAATATAGAAATTCATTAAATATGGAAAAATGGCTTTGTGGTGGGTAAGTGACAATTATGATGAAGGGCATAGATGATATAGCAGAATAAAGTACTCTCAAAAACAGAAGAATAGGGCTGCGGTTGTGGTTCAGTGGTAGGGCACTTGCATAGCATGTATGAGGCACTGGGTTTAATCCTCAGCCATCGCATGCAAATAAATAAATAAATAAATAAAGGTATTGTGTCCATCTATAATCAAAAAAAAAAAGGACAGAAGAATAAAAATCTGGATGAACAGTAGAACACTAGCCAAAGACACAGGGTTTGGGAAGATGAGACTGTGAAGAAAATGGTATGCTAAGGCAATGTGTTTTTCAATGTGTGGTCATATAATCAATTTAGTTGATTACAAACTAGATCACAAAATATGAGTGCTATGTACGTAGTTCACATTAATGACATTTTGTGAAATTCTTGCTTATTTATATAATTTTAAGTATTTTATATATGTACTAAGTCAAGATATACAATGATGTGTTTCTTACTGTGGTCACTGACAAAAAATTTTGAAAAGGTGTCACTTTAGCCCTGGCCACCAATGGTTGAGAGGCAGAGCAGGGGTACCCTTGGTAGCCTTATGAACACAGTGCTGCAAATGGTGTAGAGCCCGAAGCTACGACCTAAGGCCTGCATTCAGCCCCAGGTCCACTGTGCCGTGCCTACCACGGCCCTGGTGGCTGAGGGTGGGCGCCGTCTAGATGCTGCACATGGGACCCACTCTGCCTCTCATGTGTAAATTCCCTGAGGAACATGAATGGATAACTACAGAAAATGGTATTGGAATAGTTAGGAATCAGCATTTTGGCACAGGAAGTTCTGGGAAATGTTTACTGTAGTCTGCCTGAAATTGGAAGAAAACAGAAACAACAAAAAGAGTTTGGTGCTTTGAAAAGTGTGAAAGCTGCCAGAGAACTCTTTTTCCTCTATCAGAGAAGAAATTGAAATTAATGAGGCACCTGAAGAAAATCTAGAGTTTGTGAACAAATCTTAGATAAAGATGACTGGTTGATGAAGATAATACTGAGTGACCCTTCAGAACTAGATGACCTACTGAGTGAAGAAGCATATGAGAAATATGTAAAATCTATTAGAGTGAAAATGGTACCCCATTACTTCAGCATAGTTGTCTTAAATTAGTGGTAGAGAAAAGACTTAAAAAAGAAACTACTCTTAACACTGTAACTGGAAAAAGATACCCTGAACTTGCCAATGACTGCACATAAACACAATTGTATCATTTTTACAGATCTTTATGATTTTTAGAGTAGGCTTTAGACTCTGGTATCAAAATTCACATAATTATCTGTGATAAAAACTACTACGGTGGGCTGGGGTTGTACCTCAGCGGTAAAGTGCTCACTTAGTACGTGTGAGGCCCTAGGTTTGATCCTCAGCACCACATATAAAATAAATAAAGTAAAGGTATTGTGTCTAACTACAACTAAAAAAATAAATATTAAAAAAAAAAAAAGAAAGAAAGCATGTATGTGGCCTGGGGCTTTAGTTCAGTGGCTCCTTGCCTAGCATGTGTGAGGTACTGGGTTCGATGCTTAACACCACATAAAAATAAATAAAATAAAGGCATTCTGTTCATCTACAACTAAAATAAAAGTATGTACATCAAAGATAATCTTGTTATAAGTCTTCTATAATATTGTAACTTGCTTATATCCACTCCTGGATTTGGGTCAATATACTTACTGATCTTTCCCACTGGAAAAAACTGGGAATGGAGGAAAGTATTTGTTATATAGTGTCAAAAGAACAATACTGTCTTAATTTTATAATATTCTGCATTTGCTGGTGTTATTTTTATACAGTCAAACAACAGGTTTGCAGCAAAATAATAAAGAAATATTCAACTTCAAATAAATTTTTTGAAAAAGATTATTCAGAAAGAACAGTGAGTTCCCTGGAAATTCCAATCCCTCAAATACTAAAAGGATGAGAAATGAAACAGGCTCAGTGAGAGCTGTAGCAAATTAAACTGTTCATTCCCCATCTATTAGCAGTTGGCTACTATTAAATTCTAAGATGTGCTTACCATTACCAGATTTGTCAATTTTAAAAAGAATAATTCTGGTTTTCTATGTGAAATCACTTAGTTTTTAATTAATATGGGGGTTATAAACTCTGAGCTTTGCATGTAGGCCAACTCTTGTCATCTCTGATTAAGGGTAAGGCAGTATGAAGAAGACCAATAATTCTTCTATGAAGAAGACCAATAATTTAGTTAATAAATATAAGGAAATTTAGGGCTGGGGATGTGGCTCAAGTGGTAGCGCGCTCGCCTGGTATGCGTGCGACCCGGGTTCGATCCTCAGCACCACATACAAAAGATGTTGTGTCCGCCAAAAATTAAAAAAAAAAATCTGTCTCTCTCTCTCTCTCTTTAAAAAAAAAAAAAAAAACAGAATGAGAGAGAACTGTGAGTCTTCCATTAAAAAAAATATATAAGAAAATTTATTTACACAGAAAAGGAATGCAGACATGATGGAACTGGAAGAGAATTCAACAATGGAGGTTGAGCTGGGGAAGAAAGGGCAAAGAAATCCTTACAATTGAAGACCACTGAAACTTACGTGACCCAGTAACATAATAGATTAGAATGATCTAAATGCTTCTCTAAAATCTCTGCTCATTTTTCCGTATTAAAAACTATTTCCTTCTAATTCTCCTCACGGAGGTGAATTATTACCTTTGGACAATCAGATAGCATATGGTCTTTATTTTTCTATGAAACATTACAGAAACCACTATTCTTTGTCTTGGTATATTAGTAGTTACATAAATGTTTCAATTAAAACACATTAGGGGGGCTGGGGTTCTGGCTCAGAGGTAGAGTGCTCGCCTACCATGTGTGAGGCCCTGGGTTCAATCCTCAGCACCACATAAAAGTAAATAAATACAATAAAAGTATTGTGTCCAACTACAACTAAAAAATAAATATTAAAAAAAAAAAACACATTAGGGTGGCTGAAATGCCATCTCCTTTGGTTAAAAATGTTTGTCCAATTACTTGAATACCTCACTGAATTCTTCCCCAATATTCTGATTTTTAAAAATAAGCCAAAAAAAAAAAATGCTGATACTAGTGATACAGTGCATTAAGTTTCACTGACAACTGACACAAAGATGGAAATAATGACATATCAAAAACACTATTCTTTAGCTTTAACTACAGAACATCTGCCAGTTAAATGTGTAATTGTGAGGGAAAAATATAAAGAACATATGTGAAATATGTTGTTGATGAGTTTTAGCTAAAAGGTAAACTGTAATTAAAAAATGTTTTGGCTCTCGGTGGATGAACTTCCTTTAAGCATGAAAACTTTGTCTATCTTTCATTGATTTGTTTTTGAAAAGATACTGTATAAATGCAGGAGGTAAGTTTTTTTAAAAAAACATTTATATTTTAGAAGTAGTCGGACACAATACCTTATTTTATTTATTTATTTTTATGTGGTGCTGAGGATCGAACCTAGGGCCTCGTACGTGCTAGATGAGTGCTCTACTGCTGAGCCACAACCCCAGCTCCCAGGAAGTAACTTTTATTAAAATTTATAAAATAGTTTTATACAGAATGCATTACTGAAAGTATATATAAAAATCAATTTTACTTCTTCATCCTTCAACACAATGATCCTTCATATTTATTATATAATAAATGGATCCAATCAGTTTATTTAAACACAAAATTATTTGATAATTCTTTTACTCTCCTTCTCTAGATTACATATTCATTTGTGGTCCTTTTCCTAAATAGTTATAATAATTTATTTTAGCCTACTTACCTATTGTTGTTCTATTTTTTCCAACTAGCCAGCAGTGGTAGCTGAAGAGTGAAAGAACGCTGATGAAGAACATTGCAGACACAAAGAAAAGAAAAAGTACATGGAATTTTGCACGTGTATCTGTCAATTCATTCTGAGGAAAGAAAAAAGAAAAGTTTGAGGATACTGAACCTCTAAAATGTAATGTATAATGTATTAGTTCTGCCTACAGATTGTTGAATGTATCAAAAAGCCAGATATGAAGGATAATTAAACAGGTAATATATATTCCAAAACAATAATTGTAAAAGCAAAGAATTGGTATTATCAAAGCAGGTTGCTTAAATGTGATGTCAGAGAGAGTCATTTAAAAATTCCGCCTAAAAAAAAATTTTAGGAATACTTATAATAAAATGAAAAGATGGACTCCTCTACCCAACAATTTTCTTTTGTACTTTATATATTTAACTTTTTTCAACATCCAGAATGTACAGGTAAATACTTGTACATTTATACTAAAATATTTATTATTTTAATAATACTGTAACTGAAACTAATTGTGATATATTTAAGTTTATTTTTATGCTTCTATAATCTGTTTTTGGAACACCACTTTGAAGGTGCCCATACTTTTAGCTGCTCTGATTCCTACCTTTATAGGAAATTGAAATTTTTCATAAATAAATTTACTACAAGGAATTAATGACTGAAAACAGTTTCTCTGTTTTTCCTTCTTATAGTTTCATGAATTTTTTTGGGGGGTGGGGGTGGTACCAGCAATTGAACCCAGAGGCACTTTTTATTTTGTGAATAGGGTCTCACTAAGTTGCATAGGGCCTCACTAAGTTGCTGAGGCTGGCTTTGAACTTGCAATCCTCCTGCCTCAGCTTCCAGAGCCGCTGGGATTACAGGCCTGCGCCATCATGCCCAGCTCTCAGCTACATGCATTTTAATAGAAGCAAAGTCTTAACCTAGAAGAAATTAGCATCTATTAATAGGAGGAAGAGGAAACCTTTAAATCCTATTAATTCTTAAAATGAAACTATAGGCAAAACACCTTCTCAATCAGAACAAAAGGCTTCCCCTTTTGATTTGAAAAATAACATGAAAAAAGTTATTTGCATTATTCTTTTTCATAAGTCTTCTTATTTTTTTTCATGTGTGCTGGGTATTGAACCCAAGGCCTTATGACACTCTATCACTGAGCTATATCTATATCCCCCCAATCCTTCATTATTGTGAGATTTCTTTTTTTTTCCTGCCAAAGTAATCATTTTATCTTTTAAACATGTTAAGTGATTCTTCTATCTTACCATGTCATGAAACAAATTTTTATTATATACATTCACTGTAAATGTCATAAAAGAGATCATGAGAATGTCATGGCAACAATGTGTTTTACCTTTGGACAATTGTCTGTAGATTTCCTGCGGCAAAGCTTGTATAAATAGAGACAATGTATTAAGAAACCAATTTTTATACAAACACTAGGTTTTATAAATCCTGTAGGTTTTAAAGGGATTCTAAGATGTTGCTCGTAGTGTTGCTCTCTCACAACATTTTCTCAAAAAACACAAGAGAAAATATCAAGAACACTTAGTTCTTTAAGAACATTTCAGGTACCCTTGAGATATGCACTTTTCCACTCAGTGTTTAAAATAACAGAGATTTGTCTAGAGAGAATAAAGCCAAAATATTTTTTAAAATATATATTTCTTTAAACTTCTGATTAACAAAAACTAGATGACTTCTTACCACCTTTGGTGCTACTATCTTGCTGTGACTGTGTTGACTCTTGCCCTCTACCATCTGGTGTCAGCTCAGTAATCAGAGTGACCCTTTTACAAGTCAGATCATGTCATTCCTTCTGTATTTTATCAGAGTAAAAGCCATGGTCGTCTTAACTTTCCAAGGCCCTTTCCCTTGGCCCACGGCTCACCTGAGCTTCCCCTTAGGTGCTTATTCTACTCCAGCTACATACAATAGTCTCCTTGCTGTTGCTCAAACATCCCTCAAACTTGAGGAAACTTAAGTTCCCTCAACCTGAAATGTCCTTCTCTCTGAAATTCACGAATCCCCTTCAAGTCTTTGCTCAAATTCTACTTTCTTAATGAAGCCACCCTATGTTTCTTTAAAAAGATGTAATTTGCCTATCACCTGCCCCACAAACACAAAATCAACAGATCCCTCACTCTGATCTCCTTTTATTATTTGTTTCCCTTTTCTTAAAAGTAAACTCTAAAAAACTATGATTCTTTGTTTTTTTCACTTACATATCCCAACTTCTCAGAAAACTGGCACAGAATAAGTACTAAATAAGTATTTGCTAAATGAAGAAAAAGGTAGATTTAAGTTTACTAGTATTTTTTTCTTATTCATGATTAATATTAAAAAAGTATCTCTTCTTTTTTTTTGGGGGGGGGGGAATACTGGGGATTGAACTCAGGGGCACTTGACTACTGAGCCACATCCCCAGCCTTATTTTGTATTTTTTAAATTTAGAGACAGGGTCTCACTGAGTTGTTTAATGCCTCGCTTTTGCTGAGGCTGGCTTTGAACTCACAATCCTCCTGACTCAGCCTCCTGAGCTGCTGGGATTGCTGGCATGCACTACCAGGCCCAGCCCTAAAAACATTTCTTCTTAAATAACTGCTATTACATTCAAATGCTACTGAATTTTCTCACAGACAAATATGAAATTATGCAATTTTGACTTTAATTATCTGGCACTGAATCCTCTTTAAATAGGGACACTATGTATGGCTAATGGGTTGTAAACTAAACAAACATGCCCAGCAAAGCAGGACAACAGAGGCCAAAATCTGGGTACTAAGACCACAGAGTTGGGATTGGTGCTCTCCTTAAATCCATACAAAGGTATTTTAAGTGCCAACAGCCTCTGGTTTTGTTTCCTGTGAGAGGATCAGTACTGGGGATCTCAATAGTTCTATCACTGAGCTATAACCTCAGTCCAACTCCCTGGTTTTAAATACCCAAACTTTAAAAGGCTAATGATGTTTAAACAAAAATTCTTCTTAAATTTATTAGATAATTCCTGGAAACATAATTGTGCTCTGTGACTCAGGGCTTTAAATATGTTGACTACAGGGAGCAAGTAGACAGTGGATGCTGGGATGGACAGATCCAAGTGTCAATTCTGGCTTCCAATACTACTAAATAAGTGAACTTGGGTAGTTACGTAACTTCTCAATCTCAGTTAATAACTCTGAAAACCATAACTGATCCTCTGTATTAAACCACTTTTCTTGTTCTCTGTATTCCTGATGCTTTGCCTTATTAGAGTTTTGCTGACCTGGGGAGAGACCACCTTCCTTTCATATGCAAACTAACTAATCCAGAGCCCAAATTCCCAACTACCTCCTCCACCAGGCTACAGGGGGCAATACTCCTCTGTCCCATTTTTCAGGGCCAGGTCTAAGACAACTAGAGATGGCCAATCCTAAATCTGTTTTTGGCATTCTCAGAGAAACCACAAAACAGGTTCTGGCCCTCCCTCTTTATGCCTCCTAAATAACCAGGCCCTGAGAGGCTTCCCATCAAGGTGTGCCCTCTTTTGAAGACTATGAGTAAATAAATATCTTTGCAATGGCAACTGGCTCCTGATTTATGGGCCTTACTATACCTAAATTAAAAACAACAACAACAACCAAAAAAAGCCGCGCATTTTAAAACATCTTCACAGGGGGCTGGAGTGGTAGAGCGCTCTGTTGGCCTAGCCCTGGCCCTGGGTTCGATCCTCAGCACCACATAAAAATAAATAAATAAAATAAAGGCTTTGTGTCCAACTACACCTAAAAAATGAATATTAAAAAAAAAAAATCTTCACAGGGTTTTTAGAAAGAACAAATGTGAAAGAACTTTTTAAACACAATAATTTCCCCTTCAAAAATCAAAGATTTAAATGTAAAAGTGAAAACAATAAAAAGTACCAGAAGAAAACTGGTGAATTTTTGCATAAACTTGCACTGAACAGGCAACAGTGAGAAATCATAAAAAGGCCATATTTATAAAAAAAAGAAGAAATTTAATTTTGATTAAAACAAAACAGCAGATATCAACAAAAAATGTGGAAAAAAATATTTATGACATGGGGTAGAAAAAGGATTAATATCTTTAGACATGCTTCATTATTCTCAATGAGTCCTTTGTGATACCTTGCAAATATCTTCTCCCAGACTTGCCTTTTCACTTCAAGAGCAGCTTTTTTTCTTTGCTGCACTGGAGAGTGAACCCAGGATTGCTCTACCACTGAGCATCATCCCCACTCCACTCTTTTTTTTGAAACAGGATCTCACTAAGTTCCTCAGTCTGGTCTTAAACTTAGGATCCCTCCTGTCTCAGCCTCCTGAGTGGCTGGGGCAACAGGTATGAGCTACTGCATTTGGCTTTAAGAGCTGCCTTTTTTTTTTTATATATATATACCTTTATTTATTTATTTTTATGTGGTGCTGAGGATGGAACCCAGTGCCTCATTCAAGGTGAGCACTCTATCCCTTGAGCCACAATCCCAGCCCCAAGAGCTGCTTTTTAATAAAAATTTATTTATTTATTTATTTTTAAGGAGACTGGGTCTTGCTCTGTTGCCCAGAATGACGTAAAACTCCAGGACTCAAGCAAACCTTCTGACTCAGCTTCCTGAGTAGCTAGGACTAAAGGCATACTATGGTGCCTAACTAAAAGAAATTCTTAATTTTAATGGAGTTCAATTTATACATCTATTCTTGCATGGTTAGTGGTTCCTATATTCTATTTAAGAAATGCTCATATACACCAAGATCAATAAGAAATTATTTGCTATGTAAATATTTGAACCTACCAGAAAACAATGGGCAAAGAACAAAAAAGAGATTTCACAAAAAAGACATGCTAATGGCTAGTAAACACATGCTCTTAGGCATATGCAAAATAAAAGGAGATTTTATATTTTGTTCATAAATTAGCAGGCACTAAATTGAATAAAGGGAGAGGATAAAGATGGAATTACGGGACAGATATGGCTTAGGAGTAGTAACGCTCCAAGGCACAATGAATTGGAAAAAACAAATTCAAAGACATTTACTGAATGTTTTCTAGCTCATCAAATATTTATACTAATTTAATCCTCACATCAATTCTATGAGATAAGTATTACTCAAAATTTTAATAATAAAAAAAATAAACTAAAGTTTAATTATTTTAACTGGCTAATATTTACTGAACATCTGCTGTGTGCCAGGTAGTACTCTATATCAATGAACGGAGGAAAAAAAAAAACAAACACCTTTTTTTCTTTTTGGTATCAAGGATTAAACCCAGGCGTGCTTAACCATTGAGCCATATCCCCCCAACACCCTGGGGGGGCACTTTTTTTTTTTTTTTGAGACAAGGTATTTAAATTGCTTAGGACCATACTAAATTCCTGAGGCTGGCTTTGAACTTTCTATCCTCCTGCCTTAGTCTCCAGAGCCACTGGGATTACAATTACAGATGTGTACAATTACAGGTGGGTACCACAGTACCTAGCAAGGCAAAAATTCTTGCTTTCATGTATCTTAGATTATAAAAGATGTTTGTATTTAAACTAAGCCTGTTTCTTTTTCTAGTATACTACTTTGATTCTATGTTTAATAATGAAATAACAAAAATTCAAAGATGACATTAATTTTCCTACCCCAGCAATTGATAGGTTTGTATAGGTTTTGTTCCCATTATATCAGATAAACATAGGAAGAACAATGTAAGAAAATAACATGACATTGATTTGAGACATCTTCATCACGTCAATGTTTAAAAAAATAGCAACTACAGATTAGGAACTAGGATTCAGCAGTGTTAAAGCTAGGGCTGAGGTGTGACTGTGAATGCCACAGAAGTACACATGACCACCAGGAACAATTAGAGATAATCAAGAATGTAGCAGCTAAGGATGGAACCTACATTTACGGAAGCTGAGAGAAAAGTGATATAAATAATAGCGAGAAAGTTAGAGGTTTAAATGAAGGGAGAGAGTTTTAATGTATTTTAAAATTATTTCTAAATTTTAATAAAATAGTACATGAACAAACAACAACAACAACAAATCAAACAATGCTAAAAAGCTATCACTGGAAAATAACAGTTTTCTACAGCGCGGACAACAGGCAGCACCTTTACACATTTCTGGCATTTCCCCCCACCCAAAGAACATAATTAAATACTTTAAAATATTTAAACTTTATTAATTATTTTAATTAGATTGCTATCTGTACATTGCATACAAAATTTAATGGAAAACTGTAAAAACTATGTCTCTCTTCCTTATTGTCCTTCCAGAGGCAACTATCATTAGCAACTTTATTTATCTATCTATTTATTTATTTATTTTTGGTGGTGCTGGGGATTGATATGAGGCCAACACTCTACTAACTGAGCTATATCCCCAGCCCCTATTAGCAACTTTTTAATGCTTTCTTTCAGAAGACAGTATATGCTTATATTTATTTTCATATATAAATGGGAGCATACTGAATGTGTTCTTTTGGGGTCTTTTTCCCTCCATATAACACATCTCAAAGATCACATCATTTGTCATAAAGAGCTTCTTTATTCTTTCTTAAGCTATACTACATCCTCTGTATAGATACATAATAACTTAATTAGTCCCCTGTTGATAAAACATTTGATTGTTTTCAGCCATTTGCCATTTTTAAAAATGGTGGAAAATTTATACAGACAGGAAGCATGTTAGTGGGTGCCTGTAGCTGAGGATACCACTTTTACTGTAAAACTGTAATAAGTCTCATTAAGTCCAAGAAAGGCAATTATTTCCTTAAATTTGATATGCCTTTATTACAGTGTGGTTAAGTACAATTTGGATTACTAAAAGAAACTCACTATTTGTGGTGTAACGTACCTTTACTTATGAATAAATGTGTATAAAAAGGTAAACTGTAGCCTTGCCCTATATACCATTATAAATTCTAGCTAGTAAAATTAATTATATCTACTTATAATGAAGAATAAAGTAATTCTTTAGAAACCCAACACCTTAAAAATATTTAATATATGTTTTAGGATAGAAAAAAGACTTACCGTCCAAAATTTTATAAAGTACTCTAAAACTGATATAGCCACGTAAAGGCAATATATTAGGGAATACAATAAAAACAGCATGAAGAATTTGTAATTAGAAAATCCCACACAGTTATTCACCCTAGAAGAATAAAGAAAGTCACACTATAAAAATAAGACAAAACACAAATTCATAGAAATAGAAAGATTCTAGAATGGAGGTTGTGAAGGGGAAGAGGGTGAAGGAAATGGGGAACTGGTTAATGAGAACAGAGTTGCAATTTTATAAGATTTAAAGTACTGGAGACTGTACAACAAGGTAAACACTACTGAAATATCTACTTAGGTATAACATGTTACTTTCTCACTTGTGAATAAGAACTAAATTCTTTCAAGTGGTTAAGACAGTAAATTTTATGTTATGTGTTTTTTGCCATAATAAAAAAAAGATAAGTCAGAAAACTTAAATTATTATTACTTGGAAGTAGCCATTTGTGAAGCAGAAAGCAGTATCTTAACTATGGATATGTGTTTTTAATGAATTCTAGAAGAAATACAGGATTTTAATGTTAACTCTTAACACACCAATATTTGGGGGTTAATAATATTAAAAAATATTTTTAAAGAAAAATATACAAATAATGTCCCTATGCATATAGGCAAATATATAAATAGATCAATCATAATATTTATAATTAAATTAACATTCAAAATATAAAACACTAGGGCTGGGAGTGTAGTTCAGCAATAGAACGTATTTGGTATGCATGGGACCCTGGGTTTAATCCCTAGCACCAAAAAAAAAAAAAAATTTAAAATAATCATTCTAAAAATTCTCTCCTCCCACCTTTCCACCCTCTTATGCCATTTCCTCCATTTTTTTTATACATACCAAGGACAGTGATGATCCATCTTAAGAATACATCTAAGAAACAAATAAACATAAGAAAATCCATGCAGAAAAATTCCCTATTTTGTAATAATTTTATTTTATTTGACTTAAAAATTTCCCTTTAAAACTGTATCTTAGAGAACCAACAGAGAAGCATCAGGGCAGAGATAATTTCTGGTATGGCTACAAGTACTTCTATGGTAAGAGGTCATAAATTTTTTACACTGGGAAGTAAGCTGAGAATATCCAGTGACACTGTATCACATTAAATGACATTTTACAATATATCAAAATGCATTCTATTGTCATATATAACTAATTAAAAAAAGAAAAAAAATAACATTTTAATATTCAGATCTGAGGAAATACTTTGATTATTAGAGAAGTCTAGCTTGAAAATTTGCTGAAGGAGATAAAATGGAAAACAGATTATCCCTTTGTTATTTAAACATCTGCAGGTCATAAAAATAAAACTTTAGAATCAAATATGTAAAAACATTAACAGTGATGGGCTTAGACATGGTTATTTTTTCCATGTTTTATAAAACCCCAATTTGCCCTTCTACTGGGATACATATTTTGTTTATATAAAATTAGACTATAGATCATCTCAAATAATACAATAAATGAGTAATCTAATACCTAGAAAGTTAAGTAGTTTGTCTAATTAAAAGTAAAGATTAGTGTGATTCCCATTTAATGATCTTTCTTTTAACGTATCACCTTCTCACTTATGTATTAGAACTAAATTCTTTGAAATTTTTCTAGTTAAGATGTTAGGATGATAACTGAAAACAATTGTTAAGTTATTTTGGTGGTTTTTTAGGTTTTTAATATCAACATCAATTTAAAAAAGAAAAGAAAAGAATCAGAATAATCTTTCAAATCCAGGAAATAAAGTTTCTTTCTCAAGGGGATTATCAACTATTTGCTCATCAATATTACCTTAAGCACAAGCATAGAAAGCATACTTAAAAAAATCCTATAAACTAGACATGAAGCATATCAAAAATTACTTCTAGGTATATTCTAGCTTATATAAATATTTTTGTTAGTTCTCTGTGCATAGAAAATAAAGGAAGAGGATGAAATGCTTAAAGTATAAAATACGAAAAAAGTTCCTACCTCTCACTGTCACCAATATTCAGTGCTAGGTTTAAATAAAAGCAAACGAGGAACACTTACTTGTCACATGCTGAGCAGTGATGTGCCCGATCAGGTTTAATCAACTGACATTTTTCACAATATCTGATAGCTACATGAAAGAAAAGGAAGATGCTGAAGAAGGCACGAGCTTAACTAATTTGAACACAAATCTTAACATTTTAAAATGAAAAACTTCGGGAAATCAACAACTAATAATTTTAACCTAAAGTAAAAATGGACTGGAAAATTTCTCAAATGAAAATGTCAAGAAATAGAAAAGAACCTCAAAACTGTGTTATCCCAGCAGTTTTCAAATTAAAGTAAATCCAAAACACATGTTAAATGCAGAGGTAAGCAGTGCAACTAGTACAAAACTCAGATTTACTAAGTCCTAAACCCAGTGTTTTTCCTACTATACCACAATGTCTAAGGTAAAATATCAAATTTATATTATAAGGCATTCTATGGAACTTGGGTCTTGAAATTCTGAAACAGCTTTAATTAAAAAAATATATTTTTTTTCTGTCATCCCTACTTCCCCAAACAGAGAATACATTTTTAAGAAAAAACTGTTTCCCACTAAATTCTAATATATGCTACTATTGCCCAATTCATACATTCATTCATTCAAGATACTGAGCACCTTCTAGCTGCCAGATATTGTTCTAGGCAAAAATCTATGCCTTCCACCATAAACATACATTGGAGAAAAGATAGCCTCTTCAACAAATGGGGCTGAGAAAACTGGAAATCCATATGTAGTAGATTGAAATTTAACCCCTATCGTCACCCTGCATACAATTCAACTTAAAAGTGGATCAAGGACCTAGGCATTACACCCAAGATTCTGCACCTACTAGAAGAAAAATAGGTTCACCTCTCCATCATGTTGGTTTGGGAAATGATTTCCTCAATAAGAGTCCTAAAGCACAAGAAGTAAGATCAGGAATCAATAAATGGGATGGTATCGAACTAAAAAGCTGCTACACAGCAAAGAAAACAACCAAGAACGTGACAGAAAAAAAAAAGAATCTTTGCCACCTGCACTTCAGATAGAGCATTAATCTCCAGGATATATAAAGAACTTAAAAATTAACACATACACACACACACATCAAAACAAACACACAAACAACCCAACAACAACAACAACAAAAAACAACCCAAGGGGGCTAGGGTTGTGGCTCAGTGGTAGCGCGCTTGCCTAGCATGCGTGAGGCACTGGGTTTGAGTCTCAGCACCACATACAAATAAATAAAATAAAGGTGCATCAACAACTAAAAAAAAATAGTTTAAAAAAAACCCAAATGACCCAATCAATAAATGCACAAAGGAACTGAACAGGCACTTCACAGAAGAACTACAAATGGTCAACAAGTATATGAAAAAAATGTTCACTATCTCTAGCAATTACAGATATGCAAATTAAAACTACACTTGAGGGCTGGGGATATGGCTCAAGCAGTAGCGTGCTTGCCTGGCATGCAAGTGGCCTGGGTTCGATCCTCAGCACCACATACAAACAAAGATGTTGTGTCCGCCGAAAACTAAAAAGTAAATATTAAAAAAAATTAAAAAAAAAAAAAAAATACACTGAGATTTCATCTCACTCCAGTCAGAATGGCAATTGTCAAGAATACATAATAAATGCTGGGAAGAATGTGGGGGAAAAGTGGGTGCAAACTGGTGCGACCACTCTGGAAAGCAGTATGGAGATTCCTTAGAAAATTTAGAATGGAACCACCATTTGACACAGTTATCTCACTCCTTGGTTTATACCCAAAGGATTTAAAATCAGCATACTAGAGTGACGCAGCGCCCTCAATGTTTACGGCAGCTCAAGTCAACAAAAGACAAGCCATAGAACCAACCTAGGTGTCCCTCAACAGATGAATGGGACCAAAAGCATTATACAGATTCAATACAATTCCAATCAAAATCCCAATGACATTCCTCATAAAAACAGAAAAAACAATCATGAAATTCATTTGGAAAAATAAGAGACCTAGAATAGCCAAAGAATTCTTTAGCAAGAAGAGTGAAGCAAGAGGCATCAAAACACCAGACCTTAAACTATATTATAGAGATATAGTAATAAAAAAATGGCATGGTATTGGCACCAAAATAGACATGTAGACCAATGGTACACAATAGAGGACAAAGAGACAAACCCATATAAATACAGTTATCTCATACTAGACAAAGGCACCAAAAACACTGGAGAAAAGACACCCTCTTCAACAAATGGTGCTGGGAAAACTGGAAATCCATATGCAGCAAAATAAAATGAAACATCTACCTTTCACCTTGCACAAAACTCAACTCAAAGTGGATCAAGGACCTAGGAATTAGACCAGAGACTCTGCACCTAATAGAAGAAAAAGCAAGCCCGAATCTTCATCATGTCAGCTTAGAACCAGACTTCCTAACAGACTCCTAAAGCATAAGAAATAAAATCAAGAATCAATAAAATGGGATGGATTCAAACTAAAAAGCTTCTTTGCAGCAAAGGAAACAATCAAGAAAGCGAATGGAGAGCCAACAGAATGGAAGAAAATATTTACAATGAGCACATCAGAGCATTAATCTCTAGGATATATAAAGAACTCAAAAAACTTAACACCAAAAAAATCCCAGTAGGAGCTGGGGTTGTAGCTCAGTGGCAGAGCACTTGCCTCGCACACGTGAGGCCCTGGGTTCAATCCCCAGCACCACATAAAAATAAACAAATAAAAATAAAGATATTGTGTCCATCTACAACTAAATAAATAATAAATAAATAAAAATAAAAAACCCAAATAATCCAATCAAAAAAATGAACTAAGGAAATGAGCACACACTTCACAGAAGAAGAAATACAACTGATCAACATATATATGAAAAAATGTTCAACATCTCCATCAATTAGAGAAATGCAAATCAAAATTACTCTAAGATTTCATCTCACTCTAGTCAGAATGGCAAATATCAAGAATTCAATGCCCCCTCCCCCTGCACCTGCAAGATAGGTGGAACTGTAACCACCCACAGAACAGGCCAAGTGGCCCGCGGAGGGGCAGAGCTGCCAACCAGCCCTGCAAGGTAGGTGGACCTGCGACCCACCAGCAGAACAGGCGCAGCGGCCTGCTGAGGGGCAGAGCCGCCCCCTCCCCCCGCGCCTGCAAGGTAGGCGGAACTGTGACCACCGACGGAAAAGGCCCAGTGGCCCGCAGAGGGGCAGAGCTGCCAACCACGCCTGCAAGGTAGGCGGGCCTACGACCCACCAGCAGAACAGGCGCAGCGGCCTGCTGAGGGGCAGAGCCGCCCCCTCTCCCCGTGCCTGCAAGGTAGGCGGACCTGTGACCCACCAGCCATTATGAAGTCAAACAACAACAAGTGCTGGCGAGGATGTGGGGAAAAGGGTACACTTGTACATTGCTGGTGGGACTGCAAATTGGTGCAGCCAATTTGGAAAGCAGTATGGAGATTTCTTGGAAAGCTGGGAACGGAACCACCATTTGACCCAGCTATTCCCCTTCTTGGTCTATTCCCTAAAGACCTAAAAAGAGCATGCTACAGGGACACTGCTACATCGATGTTCATAGCAGCACAATTCACAATAGCAAGACTGTGGAACCAACCTAGATGCCCTTCAATAGATGAATGGATAAAAAAAAATGTGGCATTTATACACAATGGAGTATTACTCTGCATTAAAAAATGACAAAATCATAGAATTTGCAGGGAAATGGTTGGCATTAGAGCAGATTATGCTAAGTGAAGCTAGCCAATCCCTAAAAAACAAATGCCAAATGTCTTCTTTGATATAAGGAGAGCAACTAAGAACAGAGTAGGGACGAAGAGTATGAGAAGAAGATCAACATCAAACTGGGATGAGAGGTGGGAGGGAAAGGGAGAGAGAAGGGAAATTGCATGGAAATGGAAGGAGACCCTCAGGGTTATACAAATTTTCATACAAGAGGAAGTGAGGGGAAAGGGGAAAATAATACAAGGGGGAGAAATGAATGACAGTAGAGGGGGTAGAGAGAGAAGAGGGGAGGGGAGGGGAGGGGGGATAGTAGAGGATAGGAAAGGCAGCAGAATACAACAGACACTAGTATGGCAATATGTAATTCAATGGATGTGTAACTGATGTGATTCTGCAATTTGTATACGGGGTAAAAATGTGAGTTCATAACCCACTTGAATCAAAGTGTGAAATATGATATATCAAGAACTATGTAATGTTTTGAACAACCAACAATAAAAAATTTAAAAAAAAAAGAATTCAAGCAACAATGGGTGCTGGTGAAGACATAGGGAAAAAGATATACTGATTCATTTTTGGGGGGACTGCAAAATTTTGCAACCACTTTGGAAAGCAGTATGGAGATTCCTTAGAAAATTTAGAATGGAACCACCATTTGACCCAGCTATCCCACTCCTCAGTCTATATATACCCAAAGGCCTTAAAATCAGCATACTACAGTGAGGCAGCCACCTCAATGTTTATAGCAGCTCAATTCACAATAACTATACTGTGGAACCAACCTAGAGGCCCTTCCAAAGATGAATGGATAAAGAAATTGTGGTATATATACACAATGGAATATTACTCAGCATTAAAGAAGAATGAAATTATGGCATTTACAGGTAAATGGATGGAGTTGGAGAATATCATGCTAAGCAAAGTAAGCCAATCCCCAAAAACCAAAGGCCAAATGTTTTCTCTGATATGTGAATGTTGATCCATAATGGGGGGGGTAGGGCAAGGGAAGAATGGAGGAACTTTGGATTGGGCAGAGGAGAAGGAGGGGAGGGGAGGGGAGGGGAGGGAAGCGGGTAGGAGGGAGATGATGTAATGAGATGACATTATTATCCTCTATGTGGGTATGACTGCACGAATGGTGTGACTACATCATGTACAACAAGAGAAATAAAAAGTTGTGCTCCATTTGTGTAAAAAATAAAATTAAATTTAAAAAAACGATGAACAGATAAAGAATCTGTTGTATACATACACAATGGAATACTACTCAGCCTTAAAGAAGAATGATATTATGCCATTTGCTGGTAAATGGATGAAACTGGAGAATGTCATGCTAAGTGAAATAATAGTCCCCTCGAAACAAAGGCCAAATATTTTCTCTGATATGTGAATGCTAACCTACAACAAGGGAGGGTAGGGAGGAGAAGAATAGAAGCTCATTGAATTGGATAAAGGAGAATGAAAGAAAGGAAGGGAGTATTGGGCTAGGAAACACAGTAGAATGTATTGGACATAACTTTTCTTTGCTCATTATGAATACACGACCAATGTAACTTCACATTATGTACAACCACAGAATGGAATCCTAATTGGAATGGGTTGTACTCCAAGTATGTAAAATATGTCAAAAATACACTCTACTGTCATGTGTATCTAAAAACAGTTACAATAACAAAAATCTCTGCCTTCATACAATTTACATTCTGTAAGAAGAGATGAGGAGCCAGGTGTGGTGATACACACCTGTAATCCCAGCAGCTCGGGAGGCTGAGGCAGGAGGAGTGTGAGTTCAAAGCCAGCCTCAGCAACAGCGAGGCACTAAGCAACTCAGTGAGAACCTGTCTCTAAACAAAATACAAATAAAGGACTGGGGGTGTGGCTCACTGGTTGAGTGCCCCTGAGTTCAATTCCTGGTACCCCTCTCCCCGCAAAAGATGAGGTTTAATGAATAAGTTAAAATAAATAGTGCATTAGATAGTGATAGCACAGAGAGCACAGAAGAGGAACGGTAATTTTAGAAACATCTGAGAAAACTGAAATTGAAGTGAGTTCAAAATTGAAAAGAAACATATTAGTAAATGAGACATATTACTATCTGGGAAAAAGGGGATTCTAACCAGAGCCTGAGGCAGGAACATGCTTGGCCTGTTTGAAGAAGAGTGAGGAATAGAGATGTTCATCATAGCATTGTTTTTATTAAAACAGAAATAATTTGATTTAGGAAAATGGTTAAGCATTTTTTATGGGATATCCATACTGTGAAATACTATGCAAACAAACATTTTCCATACAAAATACATTTATTTTCCATTAAGGAAAACATAGCAGGCTCAAAATATAGTCACTCATACTAAGGGTTCACATACCAAAGAGAAAGGCCAAGTGAATAATAAGCTCAGGATCAGAAATCAAGTATCCTATTTTCCCTTTCTCCTATATCCTCCACTAAACAATGTGACATTGTGGAAGTTTTAAAATTAACTGGGCTCTGGGTGGGAATAAATCAAATAGATCTTATAAAACAGGGATTGATTATGGATTTCCAAGTCTGAATTGAAGTAAAAGTTCTTGTCAAGGATGGCTTAGAAGAATGATAATGCCAAGGACAGAAATATAGCAGAATTTAGGTAGGGTGGGTGGGGGTAAAGGGTATTCCTTTATTCATTCAATGAATATTTAGAGAATTTACATGTGACAAATATCACTAGATGGCTGGGGGAAAAGGTGAACAAGTCAGACTTGCTTCCCACCCCTATGAGACAGCTAAGTTGCTGAGGTTGGCCTCAAACTCACAATCATCCTAAGTAGGTTTTAAATGGATGAATTTGGTTTTACATGAGTTTGAGTTTGGATAACAGGTCATGTAAGAACAGCTATCCTTAGAAAGATGGAAATATAAGAATGGAACTGTAGTTCAGTGAGCTACAGATAACTGAATTCAAAGGCACATGTCAAGGTGAATATGAAGTATAAATAATGGTTGCTGGATTCTGTGGGACAGAAGTTTGCAGTTCTCCACCTGCCCCCTGAAACAACAGAAAGAATATAGCTAGATCACAGGGTGTTCTGTAACATGTAATCCTTGTGTGTAGCTGCAACTTCACCCTTTGCCTGGCACAAAGCCAAGGTTTACAATGTTTGTGTTAGTATAAGATGCCTGAATTTGTTCTAATTAAAGAAGAAAACTATTAAATTATGAGGCACAATAAATGAATGATCACAATACTGTAGTATCAGAACTCCATAATTAAAAGTTATAGCTGAAAGGACAGTACAGAAATAAGAATAGGAACAGGGCAACCTTGAGAAGTAGAACATAAAAACTGGGAAGAAGAAGCATTTAGGACTCATTTCTGAGTAGATGACAGTATGTCCAACTTAGTGAGAACCTGTCTCAAAATAAGGAATAAAATGGACTAGGACTGTAGCTCATGGGTTGAGGGCCCCTGGGTTCAATCTCTGGTCCAAAAAAAAGAAAGGGAAAAAAAAAAAAAAACCCTCCACATTTATTTACATTTTCTTAGGCATGAATAAATACATTGAACTAAAGAAAGTACTTTGATTATAGGAAAAAGTTGTTTAGGCTCTTGCTTGGCACACCATACAATCATTATATATCCACACAATAGTTAAACCATAAAACATATCCTGTAAAAATAAACACATTTGAAAAATCATTTGGAAAGGAAAGCTTAAGACCGTTTTTCTTACTTCTTGAAGCTGATGTGGTATAGATAGGTAAGTCTCTTGCTGCTCTTCTCAAAATTTGTTGTTGTCTTTCATGGCTGAATTCCTTTTCATAACGCTCCTTGTCAGAATTGGACAAGTAGAACTATAAAAAGATGTGAGGTATCTCAGTGGTAAAGCACCCTGGTTTCAATCCCCAGTACCAAAATAAATAAAAAATAATAATAACATGGACTGCAGATCAAATTCTAGCTTTTTCATGTATGTGAAATACAGTATATATCTTGGTGTGTAATAATAAATTTTCAGCAGATTTTACTTTCAGTAAATATTTCTAGTAAATTATCTCAAATTTTAATTACATTTTGCTACATTTTTACATTTAATTCTGAAAAATATGGTTTACAATAATTATTAGCAGTTATAGTTCTACAAGGTATTTTTAACCCAAGATTCCAAGTAATTAATGAATCCCTGAGATCATAGGCAAATTTGGGGTAAGTGTAGTTTTCAGAAAATCCTGTTCATAACAAGATCATCTGTTTTCAGAGAAGTACATGTACTTCTAAAAGTAAAGAGCCATCAACACTAAAACTTTGCTTTTAAAACTCTACCACTTTTTATTTATTAATTATATAATGGCTTTCTTCTAGCCCAAATAATACCCATTATTACACCAGAATTGTGCTAAGCACTTTAACAACTCATTCTTGACCCAACCCGTAGGGATCCACTTGGTATTGCAGCTATCCAGGACCATGCTTCTGTCACTTAAATTCCCCAATAAACTGTAATCTGGATCTGCAATCCCAGATCTGCCTGTTTTCTTCAATCTTGTAGCACCTTGGGACTAGTACTCATATAGTGGGAATAGGTTGTCCAGAAACAGTGTCTTAGCTTCTTCATCTGCAAAATGGGGACTCTGGTATCTACCTTATAGGGCTATTGTGAAGTATACATGAGTTCATATGTGTAAAGCACTTAGAAAATTGTCAAGTTTTTAATATTACCTAGTATTTGAACCAATTGATGAAGTATATAATACAATTTTTTAAAACTTTATGTATTTAAATGATCAGCTTGGCTACTCAAAATAGACTCCTATCATGAGGCTAAAAATCTTAGAAAAGGACACTGCTGTAACAGGCATTTATCTCAATGGAGACAGCACTGCAGAGGAACTCATAGCTTCATCTTAGAATACCAGCTTTTATAATCTTGAGTAGGTTTCTTCCCCTTCATATTTTTTACTTCTCATTTTTAACACATTCCCTTTTTGTTTTTCTTTTATTACTCGGTGATGACACACAATAGTCAAATTCAAATCAGAATTTCTAAATGACAGTTTACTAGGAATAATAACTGAAATTTTTAGCTGTGAAGATTGAGTCTGGAGGAAAAAAATAGAGAAAATATTTTACATTAAAGTGAACACCTTAAAAATTGTATTAATATATTCATATATTCATCTATATCTGAAATACAAACAGAAAATCTTATTCCAGCAGATATTGCTTATGGTAACAACCCATCAATATTATGTTTCATCAAGAGAAAACTTACCTTCAAACTGACTTTCAAGTATATTTTAATAAAACTACATAGATTAAAAAATATTTGCCTTCCCTATTAATAATGGCAAAGAAAATAAACACACTTCTGCATCTTTGCTTTTTATAGATAAAAAAATTAATTTCCTTCATCAAAAAGGCTTAGTACACATTTTTTTTTTAATTAATAAAAACTTTGCTGTTTAAAAGTTACTGTCAAGAAATTCTATATTTTTGGAAGGACATCATAAGATTACTTTGGGTAATAACTGAAATCACCAACATGGAGTAACAATAATTTTTGGCTAAAGGTCATAATGAGTTAAATCATTCATTTATTATTTTTAGTCGTTCAGAAGCTAAGAAATAGTACTACTTTCTTCAGAATTGTCAAGAGTATCAAGGCAATCTAACTCTCCTTTGCTCAAGGGAGATTCCTTTCCTTTACTGAGTTATTTCTGGTATTCCTTTCCTAGTGTTTTTCCCCATGATGTGGTCAGCCTCTGGTTCATTTTTTTAAATAACATTTTCTCTACCAACTAATTTAGTTGTTCTTCTTTTCATATGCTATCCCAGTATTTTAAGGACTACCTCCTTTTATGTCTTGATTTTAATGTAATCAAGGAAAACTTTGAGTTTCTACCAGTATTTCAGATTTGCTTTTGGCTTGAGACTTGCTTTTAATCATATTTTATATTTTAAACAGTAGTGTTCCTCACTCTGTATTAATTTCCTTAAAAATCCTAAGGAATCATAACTGGAATTTTACCTCTGCATATTTGGTCTACTCACTAACTCAAATACAAAACTTCCCTGTCTCTTACCTGGGCATAGTGGAGCACACCTATAATCCCAGCAGCTTAGGAGACTGAGACAAGAGGATCGCAAGTGAATTCAAGGCCAGCCTTAGCAACTTATCGAGGCCCTGAACAATGAAGTGAGACTCCGTCTTAAAATAAAAAATAAAAAGGGCTGGAGATGTGCTCAGTGCTAAAACATCCCTGTGTTCAATTCCCAGTACTAAACAAAACAAAAATACCTTCCCTTATTCTTAATGCCCCAACACTACTAATAGTTATTAGTTTAATAATAGTTATTTAGTTTAATTGACTGTTGTGTTATAAATAAAGCAATAGCTTGTCATAGCAGAGTTGGGAAAGTTATGATTCAAGAGGGTTAGGGAATTATTTGAGATTTCAGAATTATTGGCATGTCTGACATTAAAATGCAGGTCTTCTGTGTTCCATTCTAGTATATTTTCCTCTATTTTGCTAACATAAAGGTTCTGGGTTTTTACAGATTGTTACCAGATTTAAATTAATAGTATATTTTATGAAGTAGAAGAGTCTATTTTAGATTACCTTGCTTGGCTTTCACAATTAAATGAACAGAACAGAAAGCAGTCAGAAAAGATTCACATGACCCCCCCCCCACCAAATACAAGGCAGGGAGCTTCAGACATTTCTGACAGATTCATCTGGTCTTGAATACTTTTGGAGATAGAAAGAAAATCATATGGTATAATGTTAAAACTATACTTGGAAAGGAAAGGGTCTGATCAAATTTTAGTTTCCTATACAATCTCAATAGACTCCCCTGGAGGAATCCATTCCTAGACTGTGGTAGTATCTCAAATCTCCACTTGCTACATCTTCTTCCACTTGACAACCATTCCTTCTCCTTAATAATTAAGGATATAAAATTTAAATCAAATGAAAATTTCTAGAGATACCAGAATTTTAATGGAACAAAACTAAAATTAAAATAGATTAGACTTTTGAAATTGGTACTGAAAGTCTTATTTTTCATCCAAAACTGCCAAACATAATTCAAATTACAAAATGCCATTACTATCTTAAATTCAGAGTTCAAATGGTTCCATTTAAATATGTGTTAGGCAATAGCTACATTATGAAACCAACCTAGGTGCCCTTCAAAAATGAATGGATAAAGAAAATATATACACAGTGGAATATTACTCAGCCATAAAAAATGCAATTAAGGGCTGATGTTGTAGCTCAGTGATAATGCACTCACCTAGCATGTGTGAGGCACTAGGTTTGATCCTTAACATCACATAAAAAGAAAGAAAGAAAGAAAGAAAGAAAGAAAGAAAGAAAGAAAGGCATTGTGTCCATCTACAACTAAAAATATATTTTTAAAAAATGCAATTATGGGGGCTAGGATTGTGGCTCAGCGGTAGAGCGCTCGCCTCGCACGTGCGAGACCCTGAATTCAATCCTCAGCACCACATAGAAAAATAAACAAGTGAAATAAAGGTGTTGTGTCCAACTACAACTAAAAAATAAATATTAAAAAATGCAATTATGGCATTTGCCGATAAATGGAGACTCTCATGCTAAGTGAAATAAGCCAATACTCCAAAACCAAAGGCCGAATGTTTTCTGATATACAGATGCTAACACATAATAAGGAGAGGTAGAGAAGCATAGAAGTATTTTGGATTAGACAAAAGGGAATGAAGGGAAGGGCAGGGGTAGAGAATAGCAAAGGCAGTAGAATGAATCAGACATTATTTTCCTATACTATATATGAATATGACCAGTGTAACTCCATATCATGTACAACCACAAGGATGGGAAGTTTTACTCCATGCATGTATAATATGTCAAAATACATTCTACTGTCATGTGTAACTAAAATGGTACATATGTAGTACTGATATGGTACGGTACATAATACTCAATACCCACTGACTAAAAAAATTTAAAAAAAATGTTTTATAACTTAAACTTTCCTAAATATTTATTGTTTTTTTTTTTATATCCAATCAATTCCCCTAAAGCCAAATATTCCAAGCATTGCTGTAACCTCGGAGATAACAGTGATTAACACCAATCTCATAGCTTTATAATTACTTCTAAGGCACCATCTCAATCAGCATACTGTAAACTTAGAGTGTTGAGAGCCACAGCCGAAGGGGCCCCAGCAAACTTCCAGCTGCCAGCAAACTTCCAGCTGCCGGCTGATGATTGGCTCACAGCGGCCCCAGCAACATCTAGCTGATTGGCTCCTCGGCCCCAGCAACATCTAGCTGATTGGCTCCTCTGCGGTGATGCTCATTGGGCTGTTTCCCTGCTCTTTCAGACCACGGAGCTGCTCATTGGGGGACTTTTTTGGCTCCGTCCACGTGACCCAGCCAATCGGCCTCAAGAGCAGGAGGATTGTGGGAGGTGGAGAGAAGCTTGGAGGGGAGAGAGAGGCTTGTGGAAAGCCGGTGGTGGCAGTTGAGGCTCTGAGGGTTTTTCCTGAGAGGCTGTTTTGTTTGGCGTGTGTGGTTCTAAAAATAAAGTTAGTTTCTTTTGACAAGTGGCTCCATCTCAATCAGCATACTGTAAACTTAGAGAACCTTAAATTCCTGTTCTTGGCTGTCACTAGGGCTTTATTTGGTTGGTTCCTGAGAACTAAATAATTAACTAATTCAACATTTATTGAATCTGACACTAAGCATCAGATTGTGTATGGGGGAGGTACAGTGGTGAATACAATGGAAATACCATCCTCCTCACAGAATTTACATTTAATAAGGTGATAGATGTAAGTAAAGAGGCAATTACAGTGCCAGATGATAAGTTCCACAATAAGGTAAATGGAAAGTGTACAGTAGAGCCACCAGATAAAATCTTGGGCACTTATGTAGAGTGCATAAAAAGGCTTAAGGTCTGGACTGAATGCTAAATGGATGAAAAATGCCAAAATAACAATCAAAGAGGAATACATAACTTTAGAGAGTATTTATTATGTGGTAGACATTGTCTTAAGAACTGTACATATCTAGATAAATACACATATATATAACTAATTTATTCAATTCTTACATTCTGTGGGGTATATATTACTATTACCCTCATTTACAGAGGAAATTCAAATTCATACAGCTAGAAAATGGCAGAGGTACAAGTTAAATCTGGACAGTTTGGCTCCAAAATTCAGAGTTCTCAGCCTGTACACTATACTGCTTCTCCAAAGTCTTACAAATTGTTTTCCCTTTCAATTTCCTATTTTCTATAATGGGAACTGTTTTCTTTTTACACATGCTATGTTTTCAACAGCGACAACTACTAGTAATTGATAAAATTAGATCCTTTTAAATTTAGAGTTAAGAAATGGATGGTATTTTGTAATTTAAGTTTAAGGATTGACTAATAATTACCAAAATGTCTAAAAAATATATTTGAAAAACCACTTGGGGCTGGGGATGTGGCTCAGTGGTAGAGCACTCAACTAGCATGTGCGAGGCGCAAGATTCAATACTCAGCACCACATAAAAATAAATAAAGGTGTTGTGTCCAACTTCAACTTAAAAAAAAAAAAAAACCTTAAGCTCAATTTATGGCTGACTTTAACTCTTAGAGCAAAAGTAAAATAAAAATACAAGCTAAGGACTATGTTTTTCTACTAATATTGAACGTACATATAACATTATATACCAGTTCTATTCCTAGGGACCTATATAAAAGAACTATAATGTATATTTTCCATAAGACGTGTACTAGGATATTTAAAGAAGCCCTATCTGTAATAGCCCTAAACTGAAATCCTCCCTAAATGCCTATCAATAGGAGACTTAGCAAATAAATTTGTATTATATACCACAATTAAACAACAAACAATAATGAAAATAAATAATCTACTACTATACGCACCAACATAGCTGAATCTCACAAATAAAATGCCAATGAAAGAAGCCAGACATACAAGCATATATTACCATGATACTATATATATACTATAACATGATTCTATTCATATTATGGACAAAATCAGGCAAACGTCATCTATGCTATCAGAAGGCAGAAGAATACTTTCTCACAATGTGGGTGGCTGGAAGGAAGCATGAAGTGACTGATGGGGTTCTGGGAATGTTCTGCTTCTTAGAGTTGGGGATTACACAGGGGTATTCAGTTTGTTAAATTTCATCACATACACTTATGACATGTATACTTTTCTGCATATATGCCCTCCACTAAAAAGTTAAATAGAAGTTGATACTATTTTTATATATTTGGATATAATTTTTAATGAATTGAAAAATTTAACATGCAAGGAAACAATATTACCATCATTATCTAATATCTGAGTACTAATCATGTGGCAGGTACTATGTTAAAATTTTTACTTGGAAAAACCTCTCTTAATCCTCACAAACATTCTATAGAAATGGGTATAACTGTTAGCTCCATTTACTGATGAGAAAATTGGAAACTCAGGGAAATTAAGTAATGTGCTAGAGTACAAAACAAATTCAGATAATTCTAACTCTAGAGAATATATTAACAATTTTGCTATACTAAATTTTCAGTGAAGAATTAAGTTGGATACATCAAGCCAAGAGAGAGCCAGGAACAGTGGCGCACACCTGAAATCCCAGCAACTTAGGAGGCTGAGGCAGGTGGATTGAGAGTTCAAAGCCAGCCTCAGCAATGGGGAGGTGCTAAGCAACTCAGTGAGACCCTGTCTCTAAATAAAATACAAAATAAGGCTGGGGATGTGGTTCAGTGGTCGAGTTTCCTGAGTTCAATCCCCAGTACCAAAAAAAAAAAAAAAAAGTAAGAAATATTCGAAAATGTTTATCTATATTATATTAGTTCAAGTGGAACCTCTAATTGGGAGGAAAAATTAGTCATAGTATGGTGTGCCAAGCAAGAGCCTAAACAACTTTTTCCTATAATCAAAGTACTTTCTTTAGTTCAATGTATTTATTCATGCCTAAGAAAATGTAAATAAATGTGGAGGGTTTTTTTTTTTTTTTCCCTTTCTTTTTTTTGGACCAGAGATTGAACCCAGGGGCCCTCAACCCATGAGCTACAGTCCTAGTCCATTTTATTCCTTATTTTGAGACAGGTTCTCACTAAGTTGCTGAATCTGTCTTTGAACTTGCTATCTTCCTTCCTCAACCTCCAGAGCTGCTGGGATTACAGGCATGTGCCACTATACCCTGGGTTAAATTTCTAAAAATCAACTCTACTTCCCTACTCAATTTTATGACTTTTTTACTCAATAACATAATGTATTTAAGATACCACAGCATGTGAGGTAAGTATTATTGCAGCTAAGCTATGTCAGTGAATGGTATCTGAGAATAGGTTGATGATTCACATTCACAGTACAGAGTTACCAAAAAATTTTATGAATGGAAACAAAACAAATGCATTATGTACAGTTTTAACATAGGTAACACAAGGGAAAACAATTCCATAATCAGTTAAAGCATTTGGTAATTTACCAACATTAAATTTACCTCTTTGGAGGGGATAGCGGGAGATGTGAATACTGTCATCCAATAGGACCACACAAACATGACAAAGAACAGATGGAAAGCCACAAGGTAAACAACGGTCTTTCCTGGTAAATAAAAACAAATAACATTTCATTGAATTCAGGTGAAAACAGGAAAAAGCATTACATTAAAACACAGTATGTGGGTCAGGAGACCTAATCCAATAAAAAATTTAATTAAGACATACTAAAACATCAAATATATAGACTCTTTTATCTTTATGATGTAATATTATATTTGAAGAAATATTCTGTTCCTGAATTTAAGGACTATCAGACTGGTTTACAAATAAAGACCACAGCCAGAGAAGAGATTTGATTTTATAAAGTTGCTGAGGATTTGAGCTAAAAAAAAACTTCATTTATTCGCTATATTTCAGTTCTCCCTAAACAATAATTTTAAATGACTTAAACATTATTTAAAATGATCCATCACTATAAACATTAAATCCAAGGAACTAAAAACTGAAAATAAATAACTTATAATCCCCAAGAATAATAAGTAAAATTGAGTAACTTAATCCCTGTATTATTTGCAAAAAGTATTCTAAATTTCATTTTGCTGTTCAACATAGGCTAATAAGAAAACTTTTTAGTCACTCTAAATTTCTACCTTAACTGTTTCCCAAGTTGATGTAACATTTCAACATCTTTATCTCCAAATGTTAACTTGATGATATAACTTCTAAAGCTTTTTGTTGTGTTCTGGGAGTTTTTCTATTTGAAAGAAGTAGAACTAGTTTACAATAAGCAAGAGCTATGTACCAGGTAGCTGAACTGTTTTTCAGTTTGTAATGCAGCAACACAAACCCACTGAAGATAACAAAGTATAAAGTGTAAAAAGTCTGAAATTCTACTCATTTTTAAAGTTCAGATCAAATAGTATTTCTTCCACAAAAAAGTCTTCTCCATTATTTTCAGAATTCATAGTTATGCTGCATTTTTCCAATCCCTTTCCTTAGACTTCAATTAAAACCCCTTTTGAATAAAGTTAATTGCCTAATACTGATGAACAAATATATGCAAACACAGTAGTGCCTGGTACATAATAAATCCTCAACAAATACTGGCTGTTATTATCATTACTGTCCAAGTATCTTAATTCTTATTATAAAGCTAACACATATTATAAAGCTAGCACTGACCTTCCTTTTCTTTTAGTCTGAGATTATTTTTCCTTATATTTTGGTTTTAAATAATGTTCGTTCTTTTTAAAATTAAAAAATAATAAAACTTGACAACCTTATTAGAACCCAGCCTTTTTTTTTTAATTATACTGGTTCATTTCAGAGACTGGACGCTGGGGTCACACAGCTAATTGATGCAGGGACCCAAGCCTCAAGTAGCTCCCCGTATCTTCTGGGTAATCAGTACAATTATTTTCAACTCTAATTTCTTCTCACTGTTTTCACTGCCAGTGCCTACGCTGCCCATCTCATTTGGATTGCTGCAAAAGTAAAACTGGTCTCCTTGCTTCCTGTCTCTTGCTTACATCTTCACGGCTAATGCTAAATGTGTTGCTCTAGTTTCTTCTCCCCCTGGACTCTGAGAATTCCTGGAAAGTAACTCCATCTGCAGGGCCAATGCATCCTAATAAAACTCTGGGATTTTATAGTCACCATATTCAACTTTCGCTACTCAAATAATCATTCCAACCAACTTAGAACACATATATTGTATGCTTTGTTTCCAATCCTCACAGTAGTCTTTTATGATATTTTTTGAGTTCATAAACAAACAGTGAGGTTCAGAGAATTTAGTAATTTGTGCAATGTCACTTATTTACTAAATGATAATGCCAGAATTCAACCCCATATCTGTTTGATAAGAATCCAAGGTCCTTTTCATTGTCATCCCTGAAACAGAATTCTCCTCCACTTTTTTTTTTTTAACCATTATCTAAATGGTCATTCTACTTCTGAGCCATCATTTGCTGCCAAAATAAAACTCTAACTACAACTTCCTTCTATTTTAAAGTGTGCTCTTTTCACTTCTGCTATTATTATTATTGACAATGAAAATTCTGGCATCTCAAAATCTTCATTTCTCTATGCTTTCAGCACCCTCTAGCCCAAACCAAAATATAATGAACCCAAAGGACTCCAAATCAGCGTTTTGTTTTTTCTTTGGAAAAACACGAGGGAGCTTAGGCTTCTATTGTGACACCAACTATGAGGCCATGTATCAATTTACTCTGCATGTTATCTTCACATAGTTTATTTTTTGCCTGGCCCCCATATTCAACCAAGCTTGTCATTCCTCATTTAAACACTGTTACATAGCTTAAAGATAAATAGCAACACTAAGGTCCTCAAACTTCTTAAGCATTTACTTACAACTAAGACAGGCATGCAAAAAATATTCTTGAAATATTTTAACATTTAATATCTTTTTACATATTTCTGCTCTATAGGACAATAAAGCAAACAGCTTACTTTAAAATATATTAATTCTCAGTTAAATAAAAAAAATAGATATTAAGTCTGTAGTACAATGTTTGGAATATAGTAAGTATTTAAAAGATGGTAGTTATTAAATTATAACCAAGTAAATATAATATTCTTTATTATGTTAAAAAATGATAGAGACCAATGCTTTTAACTGAGTTCAATTCATGTGACTGTTAATAATTACTTGTATAAGCTATTGGTTACAAATAATAAATAGGGTAAAATTTTTGTTAACTAAGCATGTTAAAGCTCAAAGAAAAAATCTGAACTTATCAATCAAAAGTCTGGGTTCAAAAGTCAACCTATAATTGAATTAACAAACATAAAAGTTTATAACAGGATTCTTTAAGAGACATGGTAAAAATAACCCATACTTTCAATATATAGGAAATAATTCTGATGTAACCGATAGGCCTACCAAGATGGACTCTGTTTCTTCCGTTACTGAAAAATTAGATTTAAGGGCAAAAATTTGATTTATATGCTTAATATCTAATTATCTCCAGTAACAAGAATAAATCTTTATTCATAATTTCTAACTGTCCAACTGTTTAAGAAATTCTGTTTTTTTCTATTAAAATCAATTTTTATTTTGAAATTTGATCCTCAATGGATTTCTGAAGTTTTCTTTTATTCTGGCAAAATTGTAAGAAAGGATTTTTTTCCCTCTAAGTATTATCTCTTTGATTATTCATTATAAAAACTTTAATTTCTTTGACTCATAATACAATTTACAAACTTATTATTATTTTTTTTTCTAATTGGTCTATTCACTTGAATCATGCCTGCATCATCAAGGAACAAAATGTGCCCTTCTGAATAATCTGATGCAGGATTTCTCAAAATTACATGTGTATGGATATCCCTTTGAAACCTTATTAAAAGGCAGAATCTGATTTAATGGATGTGGAATAAAGTCTGAACTGCTTCATTTATAAGCTCATACATGATGCTGATATTGTTTTATAGATCACATTCTAAGAAGCAAGGATCTTGGCAAAACCTTAATTGTTTATGTGACTCATTAACAATTTATAATCTTAAAGCATGGTTATTTTACTAAATATCTTTGAGTTGGAAAGTGCTATTTTCAACAAATTTGTAAGCAAGAATACCATCAATGAGATTTAGTCATAATAAAAGCAGAATTCCCTCTCCTCAACTAAAATTCATATTAAGAATTTAAATAGAGAGTTCTGAAGAACATACAACACAAATTTCAAAATTTACCCAAAGAAGTTTGAGTTCTAGGAGCCTTACAAAATAATGGCTATCTCAATTTATACAAATAATACAAAATGAGAATACACCGAGTGGGAATAAACCCAATACTGCATCTCCTTTAATTACTTAAAATTTAAAGATACAAATTTTCTTTTTGAAAAGCAAAAATAAGTATTCATTACTAAAAACTATGAGGAGTGCAATTAATATACTATAAGTCTTAAAATAATACTATAAGTGCCTTACCAGTTTCTTCATTTCCAGAAATAGTAACTAGAATAGAAGAAAAAAGAGTGAATATACTTTAAACATTTTGTACATAAATTTAAATTCAAGTTGAATATTCATCTTAATATCATTTTCATAAACTTCAAAAACATTAAAATAATGTTCAAAAATTTTTTTAATATTTATTTTTTTAGTTTTAGGTGGACACAATATCTTTATTTTATTTTTATGTGGTGCTGAGGATTGAACCCAGTACCTCACACATGCTAGGAGAGCACTCTACCACTTGAGCCACAACCCCAGCCCATCAAATTCTTTATCATCAACATTACAGTTACTTAAGAACTTTTGTCAATTTTTTGCAGGGGGAGGGTACCAGGGATTGACTCAGGGGCACTTGACCACCGATCCACACCCCCAGCCTATTATGTATTTTATTTAGAGACAGGGTCTCACTGAGCTGCTTAGTACCTCAAAATTGCTGAGGCTGGCTTTGAACTTGTGATCCTCTGCCTCAGCCCCGCAACCACTGGGATTACAGGCACACGCCACTGCACCAACTTAGAACTTTGTTAATTTTAGGTGCATTAACATAGTTAATAGTTGTGACATTTTCTTTAGCTCTTTGCTTAATGAAACCTTAAGAATGAACAGAACCATACTCTATGGTACTCATAACTTATTCACTAGTCTGTGATGCACCTTACCAACTTCTTTGTGAAGGCTATATTCAAGATAAATTTCCTTTTTAGGAAAACTGATGCTTGGCTGGGGTTGTGGCTCAATGTACAGCACTTGCCTAACACATGCGAGGCCCTGGGTTTGATCCTCAGCACCACATAAAAATAAATAAAATAAAGGTATTGTGTTGAACTACAACTAAAAAATAAATATAAAAAAAGAAAGCTGATGCATATTAATTATATTTAGGGGTACACTGCAATAATTTAATATATTTATGATGAAGAATGATCTCAAATCAGGGTAATTAGCATTTCCATCTCCATCTTCTTATACATTTATTATTTCTTTGTGTTTAGAGCCTTCAAATCCCTGTTTTACAGTTCTTCATAAAACATATAATAGGTTGTTGTAAACTATAGCTATCATATTGTGCTGTAAAACACCAGAACTTCTATCTAATAGTGTTTTGGTATCTGTTATACAATGTTCCTCTCTTCTCCCTCCCCTCTACCTTTTCTAGCTTCCAGTAATTACAATACTACTTTCTTCTTTGAGATTAACTTTTTTAGCTTCTACATGAGTGAGAACATGTTTTATCAAATTTCTTTTTTTTAAAGATCTTTATTTTGTTCATTTAGTTTTTTTTTTTTTTTTAAATTGTGGTACTCAGGATGAGGCATTCTAGGCAAGCGCTCTACCACTGAGCCACAACCCCAGCCGAGACAGACAAATTTCTTTTTTGACAGGAATAAAAAGTAGAGGAACTTATTCCTATAATTTTTAGAGTATTTTCTCTGAACACCTAAATACTTAAGAAATTAAACTAGGCACAGAAAAGTTAATTTATTATCTACCGCTTTTATGCATTTTCCATCTTGTATTACTATTTTTTTTTTAAATACCAGGGACTGAAAACCAGAGGTGCTTAACCACTAAGCCACATCCCCAGCCCTTTTTAATTTTTTATAATTTTGAACAGGGTCAAAATTAAGGCTGGCTTTGAACTTGTGATCCTCTTGCCTCTGCCTCCCAAGTCATCGGGATAACAGGCTTGTGCTGCCATTACTGGTTGTTATTACTATCTTGATGAATACAACTGCAGTCTAACCCTGACAACTCGGGAAATTACTATTTTTTCTTTCTTTCTGGATGGTCCAAAGTTCTAATGATTCTAAATCTATTTTAAATTTGTCAATTCTTCTTTAGTCCCTACCAATGCCTTCCTCAAATGCAACAGCTATAGCATCTTCCCACTATCAGTTTAATACACCCTTACCACTAGCAAATAGGATAGTTTGAATACTCTTCAATATCTGAGTCACTTTCAGAATAAAGTGCAAAATCTTCAGGGTAGCAAACATTACAGGTTTGCCATAATCTCTATTGCTTTAGTCTCATTATGCCGCACAATTTTATTTTCTATTTTGAGCAATTTCCTGAAGATATCAAGCAAGTTTACACGTACAGTGTGCTATCCATTTTCAGGGCTACCCCCCACCCCCAATATTTTATTAGTTGTTGGTGGACCTTTATTTATTTATATGTGGTGCTGAGAATTGAATCCAGTGCCTCACACATGCTAGGCAAGCACTCTACCACTGAGCCACAACCCCATCCCCTTCAGGGCTCATTTTGAATACTACCTCCTTTGTAAAACCTTCTGGAGTCCCTCTTTAGGAAAAAACACTCCTTTGTATCACCACTGTTCACTCTTCCATGTCAGGCACACTTTATCACTTTACCATACCATCTCTCTCACTTTTCTTTCCCCCCAATTACTGGTGACATATTTGTCTCACTCTACTAAAGAACTAAAGTGTGGAATCATACAGTAGAACAATAAAAACCCTGGAACGTTATAGTTCCATCTCATAAATAGGTAAACAAAGGCTCAAAATGGTTGAATGATTAGCCCAGGGTCACAGAGTATATTAAGTGTGGACATGATTTGAACTAAAAATTTGTTTGCACTTGTATTTCCTATAATGTCTCTCATTATTATTCCTTATCTCAATGCCTGATGCACAATAGCAATGCTTAAGAAATGTTTATTGTTTCAGGTACAGTGGAGCGCGCCTGTTATCCCAGGGACTCAAAGGCTGATGCAGGAGGATTGCAGGTTTGAAGACAGCCTCAGCAACTTACAAGGCCCTAAGCAACTTAGCGAGAACCTGTCTCAAAATAAAAAGGGCTGGAGATGTAGTTCAATGGCAAAGTGCCCCTGAGTTCAATCCCCAATACATAAAAGAAAGAAAGGTTGGTTGTTTGACTGCCTCAAAATTCAGTTTTGACTAAAATCTCTTGATAAAATTAGAGAACACAACTATTTCCTTAACAAAACAAAATATATCTACTTCAATCCCAAGCCAGCATAATTTATAACACTAAAAAAATATTCCTACTAAAGTCAGGTACAAGTTTTTGATTACTTTTTTCTTTTAAATGATGTTTTAATTCAGATATCTTAGATTTGTCAGGCAGGGCCTGGGATAGTTAGATCTTATGTATATCATTTGTATCCCATACAGCATTTCCTACCAAAGTGTACACTAAAAACATTATCATTTCCTTACTGGTATAAAAACTGAAAAGAAAACAAATGTTATCACATTGTTGTTGTTGTTGTTTTTGGTATAGGGGATTTAATTCTGGGGCACTTCACCACTGAGCCACATCCCCAGACCTTTTTATTTTCTATTTTGAGATAGGGTCTCATTAAGTTGCTTAGGGCCTTGCTAATTTGCTACGGCTGGCCTCAAACTTGCAATTCTCCTGTCTCAGTCTCCTGAGTCCCTGGGATTATAGTAGTGTGCCACAGTACTCCGACAAATGTTGCAACTTTTTTTTTTTTTTTTTTTTTTTTTTGAGGGAGAGACAGAGAGAGAGAGAGAGAACTTTTTTAATATTTATTTTTCAGTTTTCGGTGGACACAACATCTTTATTTTTTATGTGGTGCTGAGGATCGAACCCAGCACCCTGCACATGCCAGGCAAGCGAGTTACCACTTGAGCCACATCCCCAGCCCATGTTACCACTTTTGGAAGCTAAAATAAGTTTATTTCTTGCTGGTCAAAGAAAATAAATTGAACAACTATTATAAACAAGAGGTCATAGTGTACAAAATCTGATATGCAGAATCAACACATTTCCTATCAAAAATCCGATAAGCAGAATCAACTCATTTTCTACTACTTGCAATCATTAGAAGTGACAGTTGATCTTAAGTTTTACTTACAAAGGTGTCTAAAATATAAAATATGTAAATGAAAGAAATGAGCAAGACTTACATAGGTAAAAACATTTTAATTCTTCAGAGGGACACAAAATAAAATGTAAACAAGTGGAAAAGTAATGTTCTCCATAGGATGAGTCATCATTCAAATGTTAATTGTCCCTTAATCTGCTTTTTCACTTTTTTTTTTTTTTTGCATCGCTAGGATTTTTTGCAAACTTTTTTTTTAAGAGAGAGAGAGAGAGAGAGAAAGAGAATTTTTTTTTAATATTTATTTTTTAGTTTTCGGCGGACACAACATCTTTGTTTGTATGTGGTGCTGAGGATCGAACCCAGGCCCCATGCATGCCAGGCGAGCATGCTACCGCTTGAGCCACATCCCCAGCCCAGCAGTGCTAGGATTTAAACCCTGGTCCTCATACATGCCAGGTAAGCACTCTACCACTAGGCTTCATTTCTGGGCAAATCTTCCCTAATCATAAGTTTATCCCAATAAAGATTTTTAAAAATAATTTGATGGACTCTAAAGTTTATTTGTTTAAAAAAAAACTTGCATAAAGAAGTAGGAAAATGCTGAGTACAGAGAATAATGAAGTAAGACTAATCATGCCAAATACTAAAGCATGGGCTGGGGTTGTGGCTTGTCTAGCACGTGTGAGGCCCTGGGTTCGATCCTCAGCACCACATAAAAATAAAGGTATTGTGTCCAACTACAACTAAAAAAAAAGTATAGTCATGTGGGGCTGGGGCTGTAGCTCAGTGGCAGAGCACATGCTACTGGGGCTGTAGCATGTGTGAGGCACTGGGTTTGAGTCTCAGCACCACATAAAAACAAACAAGTAAAATAAAGGCATTCTATCCATCTACAACTACAAAAAAATAATTTAAAAAAGTACAGTCAAGTGTTGCTTAACAATGGGAACATGTTCTGAGAAGTAGCAATTCCAGTGTTATGTAAACATCGTAATATAGTGTTTTAATACAAATCTAGATAACACGGGTCAATCACTATGTGGTCTTTTGATGTAATCAAGAGATGCAATAAGAGCCAGGTACAGTGTTTCATGCCTATAATCCCAGCAGCTCTGGGAGGCTAAAACAGGAGGATTGTGAGTTCAAAGCCAGCTTG